AACCTGAATTCAAGAGAAGATTCTTTTGGAAAGAACGTTCTTCGTGGGATTCAGAAAAAGCTGATAAAGCATTGCTTAGAGAGCAACCAAAGCCATCTTTCACCAGTTGTTTTGCAGCTGTAATCCCATCTCTCACCGATGTTTCCTGTCCAGGGGATCCACCGATGAACCTGAAAAACAAACCGTTTACATTTCAGAAACTAAGTTTGAAACTTTTTGGCACTGTATTCAACACTCCGATGTCCATATCCTGTCATTCGTTGTCGGAACCCATTTGGTAATTTTGTGGGGAAACCGTTTACACTCCAGAAACTAAGTTTGAAACTTTGTGGCACTGTATTCAACACTCCGATGTCCAGACAATATCCTGTCATTCGTTGTCGGAACCCATTTGGTAATTTTGTGGGGAAACCGTTTACACTCCAGAAACTAAGTTTGAAACTTTGTGGCACTGTATTCAACACTCCGATGTCCAGACAATATCCTGTCATTCGTTGTCGGAACCCATTTGGTAATTTTGTGGGGAAACCGTTTACACTCCAGAAACTAAGTTTGAAACTTTTTGGCACTGTATTCAACACTCCGATGTCCATATCCTGTCATTCATTGTCGGAACCCATTTGTTAATTTTGTAGTTAATTTGAAACCTTAATTTTGGCCCCAATAAACCCGCACCCCACTGCACATCTTGTAGAAGATTCTTCGTGCAGTGCCGCTTCCACCGGAGACAATGTCAGTGCCTGCAAGCAGCTCAACGGGGAGAGTTGCTAAGTGAGACAATGGAGAACATTGGAGAACTGAATTATTTACGTAATGTTTGTCAATGGTTATCATGGATCCCAGTGTTGGAGAACAGTAAATTGACCGACTTTTGCGACCCCGATGGGGCACCTTGTTGACCAACTTCTTTCTTTTGTGCACATCGTCCTGCATGCGCAGGGAAGGTTTGAGGGAGTAAAGCAGACATTTAGTCAATTTTGGATTGCAATGCACATCTTCAAGAACTAAAATAACATGTGAACACTCCAGATGGACATAAAATCTGCGATATATAAATATCATTAATTAGAAGAAACAGGTGACTTGGTTGGAGCTTCACGAGTTTAAACGCTGGCTAGGGGGATACATGCAGAATAGTTGACCTGAATATATGCACTTTGATGGCTGCAAACCTTAATATACTCTTTTGCAGAGTCAAACACTTTTTTGCAATGATAGGTTGAAGAAAATCCTGAAGGTAGTTGATTCAACAACTAAGAGGTAGATCGATATAGATTGATCCTGATGGATTTACATGAATGTAAAAAATGGGAATAGATTTATGTATATAGATGGAACTATAACTGGTATAGATGGTAAAAACCAAAATAGATGTACATAGATGGATAGATTGATATTGATACAGATGGATATAGATGAATGTGGATGGATGCAGATCGATATAGATGGAAATAGATGGATACAGATGGAAATAGATGGATGTGATGGGTAGATACAGATGGATATACATGGAAAGATGGAGACATATGGATATAGATGTATATGGTGTAGATGGATATACATGGATATAGATGGATGAATATGGAAATAGATAGATATAAATGGACCTGGATGGACAGACACGTGAAGATGGGGAGCGTGCCAACAGGTCACACTATGGTCCTCTACGTCGTGTTGTGGTCAGGCGCCTCGATCTTGACCTGCGTACGGGATGTGCTGGCAACCATATAGAATACAGGGTTTATGAAATCGATGCTGCTAGGTTCCCTAAACAACTGCTATCATCATCAGAATGCTTTTTTTTTCGCACGATTGAACATGTTTAGGTTGGTGTTCACACCACGGTCGCAACTGGAGGTCATCTTGATCCATTTCAGATCAAATGCAGAAACTCTTGCCATCAAAACAAATGCCCAGCCATGCCATGGCCACGTTCGCAAACCATCCCCCGGACACGAGAACAAAATGTCTATGTCAAACTTCTTAACATTGCTAACTGTGGCCAAGAAGGTGGCCCAAGATGAAATGTTGAATTATCTTCGGATTTGGTCCTGTGGCCCCAGCTCTAAAGCTGATCCCCTAGCACTTGAAGTACAGGCACCCACTCAGCTATGAAACATCTCCAGACCAGGGCTATTTGGTTGCACCGGTCTTGGAGCTTGCGCCAGGCTTCGAAGGATTCCCAGCCGCCGCTTTTGGGGCAGCTTTGGCCTTAGCAGCACTCCTGGGATTGGCCGCTTTGTCGCTGGCCCTCAAAAGGGCTTTGGAAAGTTCCAACCTCTCACGAGCCATTGCGCCATATTTCTCCACCTGCGACGGATGGGAACAAGATGTAACATAAACTGGGTCGAGGGTGCATATCTAAGTTCACAAGACTCTTGACTTTCAAACTCTACAATCATGTGAAAAAATACCAAAAGGAAGATACATTGAATTCTTGTTGTGAAAGGGTTGCCTCGGTGATGATACCCACATAGTGCTTGTTTTTCGATTTCTTCTTTCCAATCAAGTCCTGGAGCGAAGCCGCACATTCCTCCAGCTTGATCGCCACAGCGTTGAGCTGGTCAATCAGGTCCGACGACATCTTGATGGGCTTCAGCTTGAAAGCGCCATTCCTCAGAGTGGCCAGTGGGGTCAAGGGATTTCACACCAAACTTTGAAATTCATGGTTCATGACCACCACAAATTACTCTTAAACATATGCCGTGGGTCCTGCACTCATTTACATCCTTCAAGACTTTGTTCACAAGTTGGGTAGCTTTTTGCAGCGGAGTTTGTGGCGTCACCTGCATGGTCACTGTGAAACTATGGGAATTAAAAGGGGGCATGACTGTTGGAAGATATCTACATACATGTATACGTATAAATAGAAGAATACTAATGTATACATATATTATCATATATATATAGTTTACATATGTGTATGTATATATATACATATATATATGTCTTCAGATATATTTACATATACATATATAATTTGCATCTATATATATATATACATACATACATTTATAAATTCAACAGTGAGGTTGAAGAACCCATACCTAGCCTCACGGGCAGCATCGCCTTGCTGAGCCTGACTTCTTCTCTTATTTGTGGCCTTTGCCGGTTGGTTGCCACCCAAAGCACCCATAGCGCTAGCCAGCTTGTCACAGCCACCTTTCCCTGTGAAGTCTGACAACTTCAGCTGCGCATTTGGGTCCAACACACCGCCAGCCTGGCAGACCAATGCTGTTGAGAACCCTGAAACTGTAAGTGTGAAAAAAGACAATTTTTACATATGATAAATAGTTTCAATTTCAGCACTGCAAATGCGATGTCTTGTGACAATTTCCCTATAAACTTGTTACATTGGGGATGCCTTCACGAACTCATCTAGGCCAGCTTGGTCGATGCACCCTTCCATCTCAAGTTTCGTAAGACGTCGCACTTCGGTGATGTTGGACATGTCCAGATTGATCATGGTGAAGAAAAGCTTCTCCTCCTCGTCATCGGGAAGCTCGGGGTCTTGTATATACCTTGGCTGATGCTGAGGCCAACTACATAGCTGATGGATGGGTGAGGCTGGACTGACACAGGGTGCAACCAGGGGGCAACCCCAGGGACAACTTACGCTCAATCAGCTTTTTGGCCTTTTTGCCACCATGTCGATCCTCTAGCCATTTCTCAGGTCTGAAACCCCATTTGATGTTCGAACTTTGGGATTCAGTAAGGCCAGCTTCATATTTCAGCACCAGGTGTTGCACATTCCCACCGACCTTTACAAAGTCGGCAAAGATCTTCTGCCGTTGGTCCTGCGATGGGGCAACCATTAAAGTTTTTGATGGACCCCCAAATTTAGTTCCCAGATCTTTACTGATTAAAGGGTGGCAAAAATGTCACAGCAAATGAATAAACCTTGTGCTTCTGAAAATCTTTGTTCAATAATTTATCTGTTGGATTCCCACCGTAAAGAAAGCCCCCCACAAGTCTGGATCTACAATTGCATTTTCCTATATAGTTGGTGGGGTTGCGGGGGCCTTTTTTTCCTCTATCTTTTGTAAAGCTGGTTCACCGGTGTGGACAACGAATGGCCACTCCAATCAGCAACCCTGGCTCACCAAACAGTTTCTATCTCTATGTGTAGCATAACTATAGACAGTGTATGTAAACATTATATATGCACATATATTCCCCATAATCTCATCCATCATCATCATCATCACCATCATCATCATCATCATCACATCATCCATCATCACCATCATTATCATCACCATCATATGTAATCATAACAAAGTATGCAGATGTTCCTGCAAGTTTACTACTTGTATTTTTCTTCGGAAGAAAAGTGCACAACTTCGGTTAAACACCTCACAACTGCACGTTTTGTGTTTTTGTCAGCAGAGCCACTACCTAATTTTCTGAATGACTGAACCCTCCATTAAGTCTTGCGTTGGGGGAATTGTGATGCTATGGTTGTAACCCTAAAGTCACCCCAGGCCTCAGACTGCAAGGCTGCCACCATTTGGGCAGGACAAAGTCTCATCTTCTTCTTGTTCTTTCGGAACCTGAGAAACTTCATCCACATCTTTCGGTGGGTGGTGCTGTTGACTTTCATGTTGCTCTCTGCTTCTGCTAGCTTCTTCTGAACCTCTTGCTCTCCTGTCTCATCCTCTGGGGTCTTCTGCGGGGTCGCCTTTTTGACGATGCTCTTCGGGCTAGTCGGCTCGATGGCTTTCTCTTCCTTTCTCTTCTTCTCCATGTTGCCTTCCTCTGTGTTAGATACCTTTCTCTTCTTGGGCACCTCCACCTTGTCCTTTGTCGTGTCTGACTCTGCCTTGTTTGAGGCTGCTGTAGCAACTTTCTTTTTCTTCTCCACATCCTCAGCGCTGTCACCTTTCTTCCTCTTCTTGCCGTCTTCAGTTGAATCTGCCTTGCCACCTTTCTTCACTTCTGCCTTGCTATCTTCTGCCTTGCCATCTCTGCTCTTCTTTGTCTGCCCTTCTTTGCCGTCCGTCTTCACTGCCTTGCCGTTCTTCTTCTCTACCGTGTCAACACTCGAAGATGGCTTCTCTGACGTCTCATCGTCGGTGCTCTTCTCTGCCTTTGCTGCCTTCTTCTTCTTCTCTTCCTGGCCGTACTTGTTTGCATGCTTGTCTGCCTTGCTCTCTTTTTGACCTGCCTTGGCATCATGCTGCTTTGACTTATCATCTCTCTTTTGCTTCTTTTCTTTTGCCTGCTTCTCGCTAACTTCATCCTCGATATCTGCATCTTCGCCTTCACTGCTTGCACCCTCCTCTTCAGAACTCTCTGACTCCTTCTGGTCCTCCTCCTCATCTTCATCCTGTTCATCCTGTTCTTTTTCACTGGCTTCTTGGGCTTCAACCTCTTCGTCATCCTCATCAGAATTCTCTGAGCCGCTTCCTTCATCCTTTTCTTGTTCCTCTTCCTTCTCCTTCCGGGAAAGGTAAGGCCAAATTGACCCCTTTACTGTCCATCTGCGAACATCTGTTTTGGGGAAAGTAGGATTCTGCACAAAACTGTCAACAGGTTGGCTTTTCTGGGCCTGCTGCTCTGCTTCTGACTCCGTAGACCCAGAAGAGCCGCAGTCAGAATCTTCCTCTTCGCAAGATTCCTCTTCTGACTCATCTTTCCTGACCTCCTTCCTTTTCTTCACTTGTTCTTCTTCTTTTTCTTTTCCCTTTGCCTTAGCCTTTGCATCCTGTCTGTCCTTACCTTTCTTGTCCTTGTCGTTGTCAGCCTTCGAGTTCGTTTGAACCTTGGGGACCTCTACTGTCTTGGCCTTACCTTTTCCTTCTTTGGTCTTTGTCACGGTCACCTTTGTCTCATCATCTGAACTTTCCAACCCAGAGTCCTCTGAGCTGGAGCTGGCCTCCGCTGCCTGCACCACAATAATGGAGTGTGCACATGACTTGGTGCAGATGGAATGCAGGAATGTCAGATGGAAACTGTGGTCCTATTTGTATATATATATATATATACATGTAAATGTGCTTGGCCGATGTGCAGGGCAAATAGCATATCCATTTTGGGTGTCCCTCGTTTTGGGTGAAGCACAATCACATTACCCTTCAAAGACAAACAGTCAGGCATCCATTCAATGGGAATTTCAAGATCCTAAATTGGAGGTGCCTACCATATATATGTAAGGCCTGTGTAAGGAAAAAACCCATCAAATATATATGGTACAGTACCTCAATGGATTGATCCATTGGGGGTGTGTGGCATGTGCAGATGCTAATGGTTGATTTCTGGGACCAGACCTGGGAAGCTTCACTCTCCGACGCAGAAGCTGTCATTTCCTTTGCTTCCTGGCACAGCAGAGATTTTACCACAGTAGTGCTATCGATATACATACAGACATACCTACCTACCTACATACATACATACACACATTAGTTCATATTTAATTGAACCAATAAGTAAATGATATATAAATAATAAATTGAAGACTAAAAGATATATAGTGACATATGTTCTATATTATATGTGGTTTATGATATATATATATATATACATATATATATATATATGTATGTATGTATGTATATGCTCTGTACTCATATTTCACCCAAGATGGTTAATTTAAAAGATTTCAAGGTTCTGTTTGTGTTCAATTGATGGAAGTATACCCCAACCGTTTGCCACCCAGCACCATAGCTCCTTCTCACGAGCAAACTGTGCCAGGATCTTGTCAGCTTCAGCCGAAGTCATCTTCCCACCCTTGGAGCTTCTCCTGGTTTCAGGCAGGGCATCACCTGGGCGACGTTCACCTGGAGTGTTTTCGGCAACTATGGGAGTTACCTTTGGGACACCGTCAAAGGTCAGCCGCCTTGCTGTGGGTTCTGAAGACCCCCGACTCCGTTCTGCCTTTTTGGCAACTTTCACATGCTGTTCTGCCTTCCTTAAAGCTTTTGGGTCTGGGCTTTTATGCCTTCGACACGGGTCTGGTGTTTTGCATCTCAGCCTCTTTTCGGGAGCCATGACCCACACTTTTTCACCACTAAAGCCGAGTGACTGCATAAATGTAGCAATGGTGAAAGTTTACTTAATGAGATCGATCATTTGAAGTCAGACTGTTGGCAAATACTGTCAAATTGTGAATTCTCATGGTGCAAAGTCAGATTGTCGACAAATGGGAGCCATTTTTCTATGAGATTTCAAACATTCCCCTTGAGATTTCAGTTGGCAACGGGCCAGCACACCCCAAAAACCTTCCAAAATGTGATGAATGCAAACCCATGAAAATTCACGTGAAATCACGGGGTTTTCACGGTTTTTTCACGGTTCACGGGTTGTGCTGGAATCCCCAATTTCATCTAAATTTATCCATAGATGCACATTGCATCCTCAAATGCAGAACATTCTGCAAAAAGAAGCTACACTCCTCAGAGATCAGCTAGGGCTGCAATGACAGGACGTAGATTGGCATGCTTCACCCAGCCAATATCCTAGGATGGGCAAATTTGAGGAATCCAATCACTATATAAATGTTCGGCAACATGTGAATATATGCAATGGGCCCGTGAACCCGTGAAGTCGTGAAGCCGTGAATCCGTGAAACCACCCTTGCCGACAGGTGTCTTTCATCTCGCGCTTGGGCTTGTCGAGAAGATCCATCCTGTGGCACGGAGGCACAGAGCTATATATTTAGATATATTATCTCCAGGACTATAGCTGCTATACATGGCCATGCATCATTAGCTTATATATTTATGTTTATATATAATATATATATATACCCAATGCCACCTGTCTTACAAATACACATTTTATAAAGAGACATGAAACACTTTATCTCTATTAGACTCAAACCATTCAAATGACTGAATGGGTCATAGCTGGCCTGAGGGTGTATCCCGATGCTTTGATTGCAGGCCACTCTCTGATAAACGTTTCAGCCACTGCACGTCCAAAAAGGATTGGGTAATGCTGGCTTCGTTTCAGGTCAGCGTCGCCAGCAACACGTTGAACACCACTGCCATCAACGTACCTCCATGAAGAAATATAAATTATTTCAGGCTTTGAGATACTGGAACTGTGGAACTCCAAATGAAACTGTTCCATGCTGAAGTGATGGGTTCATGTGTTCAAAGCAACAAGCCTGCGAACCATCTTTGCTCCCCATTTTTTGTCACAAAGAGGCAGGTAAAGATCTTTGATCAAAGCCTCCACGTTGCTGTAAAGCCATGTTCCCTTGGGACCTACAGAGCTCGCGATGTTGATGTTACACTCGCAATGTTCATTGTAATCACTAAATGCATTCTAACGAGTAAATACTAGGGGTATTACATGTATGAGGTGTCGAAGTCTCATCGTCCGGGTATCTGGTCTGAATGAGGCTGAACACTTTGCCGGAAGGCCCGCTGAGTCAAACCCTCAGTTCTACCAAGTGGCTGTCTCCACCATAGCTTCCCATCCACACAAATGCCTTAGAATGGGGTTTCAACCCAAACCAATAGTAGATGTTGTGATATGTTTTTAAGCTTGAGTTGCACAATTATTTTGGCCCCAGCGGCTTTGTAAATCCGGAATTGCCGAGCCAGGAATTGGAAACATGGGTGATATTCCATCACGCTTGTACTTGGCTGCTCCAAAATAAATGGTAATCCAAGGGCGCACATCATGGTGAGGCAAGCCATGCATCTGCCCACCATGACATTCCTTAGGACAGGAGCTAACCATATTTTGAATAATTCGGCTGGTAACTTGGAAATGAATCAGCATTTATGATCGAGAAAGGAACTTTTTTCCTCTTTGCGCAATTGGCTTGTGTCCCCAAATGTGCTGGAAGCCTTCATCCTATAAATCTAAGCCCTTTACTTGTCCCCACCCATGCCACGAAATTGATCTTGGTGAAGCTAACGTAAGGGATAAGTCTAAGGAATAATCTTTGGGCCCTCTTGTACAATTTTTGGTGTGGGAACAAGCCCAAGGGTACCCCTAAGACTGATCGCACAGATCTTTGCCCCAAAAAGCCCGATATGGGCCAAAGCAGTATTCACTGCCCTTTGGCAGGCAGGGTTTTCCCTAATCCTCGGCGTTTGCTCCAATGGCCTTCATGACCTTTTGGGCAGCCGCAAAGACATCCTCTGCGAAGGTAATCCTTAGCCAGGAAGGCAGCAAGGCATATGTGCAAATATGTGTACATGCACATATTCAAACGCACGCATGCATGCCATGCATTCATGCATATATACATGCATACATGTATTTGTATGTTGTATGTATGCACTTATATATATATGTGTGTGTGTGTGCTATATTGTAATGCATTGTATCATACAATTGTATATTCATATGTCCATCCTGTGAATGATGGTGGCACTGTGTTGTGGTTTTAGATGTAATCCCTCTTGTAACCGGCCGCCAATCATAAAGGAATGCCTATTCGATAAACTGCTGGATATGTTTTAGGTTTGGGATGCACCAGAGGTTCTGAGAGTAAACCTTTTCGACAACTTAAAGTGGATTTTAGAAGCCTGGAATCTGAGAGCTTTTCAGCGGTTCTCCGTTGGTGTCACTCTTAGGCTTAAAGGCCCGCTGGCGCAGAAGGACTTCTACACGAGCCTTGCCCTGCACCACCCTTAGATTCAGTGGGCCGTGGGGTCATCTGTGGGGCATGTGCAGCTAGCTTTGCACAGTAACATTTTTTGGAAACCCATTTCTATCAAGACACGTGGTATAGGAGTGTTGGCCATGTCGCAAGGACGTGGGGTGGAACTCAGCAGGGAGGATATAGATGATCTCTTGGTATTCCGGAGGGAAACTTGCCAGAACATCTTCAGAAGCTGTTGGCTCTGCATCACCATCACCTCAAACAATGCTTTATAGCTGTTCGAATCTAAAAAGTATTTGTTCAGCCCATGAATGAATGTAGACTGTGAAGTGCACCCATTGGTAACACTAACATGTGACACTATGTCTCCCACATGCTTTGTCCTTCCCAGAGCCCTTGCTCTTCTTTGCTGACTTTCTGCGGCTTTGACTTCGGCTCTTGCTCTTCCTTTTCTTTCCTGTAGGTCGTGATTGAAACTTGTTGCATAAGACCCATAGGTCAAGGTTACAGGACAAAGGTTGTGAGCAACCAACACAAATCGAGGTTGGAGTCTCACCCACATGAACCCACCTTGCTCTTTGACCTCCACAGCTTGCAGCTCTGCATTCCAAATTTGCGACTTTGCACGCTTCAAACCTTTCGGTGCCTAGGATAGGGTCCCAGAGTGGAATACCATGTGGTGGCTTATAAACCCCCTGATTGGACCCAGCACATGTCTGAACCCTTGATGACATTACCATATGTATATATATATATTTATATATATATACTTAAATATGAGTTTCTCTATGTATCTTTTTATATTTGTATGTACAGGTATTGGTTTTATAACCTAAGGCCACACACACATTTATAGCCCCATGATTTTCCCTTGATTTCCCAGCCATGGGGCAGGGATTTGCAGCTCTTTCTTTGCCTTGGCAATGTGCTCTGCCTCCTTGCTGGGCTTAGGCTTGGACCTTTCAGGGGAAGGATGCTCCGCAGGAAGAGGCACTCCGTCTTCCCAAGAAGGGCCCAAAGGGATGGTGGACGCCAAGCTGACCTCATCTGTATCACGTACCTTAGCCTTGGTCTTCTCAGTAGCCTCGTTGTGGACATCCAACAAGATGGCATTCAAACGAAGGGCATCATCCAGCCCTGGGGGGACCTTGATCAGGATATCATCCGGGACATCCTGGCTATCACCCGGGACAACCTGGCTATCCGGGAAACACTGGCTTTCATCATACATGTCCTGACCATCGATTTCTTCACTCACGTTTGACTTCTCTTCTTCAGCTTCCTCCCCCAAAGTATCCCCTTGATAATCCTCCGCATCATCATCGGAAGGCAAAAGCAGAGGCTCGAACCGGTCCAAGACCTAGATGCCGGCTACTGGCTGGGGTGAGATGAAAAAGGATTGATCCCATCCCAGTTGTACATTTTGATATTGTTAAGGTCCCCATATAGTCCCTCAAAAATGAATAGTGGACGAAGGGGTGTTGTTTATAGCAAAGGTTTGTTGGGATGATTCTGCTTTCTCGCCGTTTTTTAGCTGATCCAGATCCAAGAAACCGCATCCCATATACGATCCATCTCATCAGAATTGCAACTGATGTCGGAGCCTTCATCATCACATTTCGGGCGTTCCTACAGGAACGCAAAATAGAAATAGGGTGCCTGATTTTTTACAAGTTCGCAGTTTCTCCACTGGGTTGGGCTATATATGTATGCTAGGACATCTAAGTGATCTGTTCACTGTTGGGACACTGTCCTGCTCCTCATCCATCTCAATCTGGGATTCAGGAGTTGGATCCTCGGTGTCCACGGTTTGGGCAAGTTGTAAATTAAAATAACACCCAACTCAATTGATGATTCTTTTTTTGAAGATTCCAGTTCTTACCAATACATAATGTTTGAAGGCTCCAGTTCTTATCAATGCTGCAAGGGCGCCCGAGCCCGCATGCAATCTTTCAGCGACTGGATGTAGGGGAATCGCGACTTACTAGGACTGTTTCGCCACAGACTGCCAGGGCCGGTAGAAGATTCTTTGAGGGGCAAATGCCACCCAAGTGAATAGGAAATATAAATGCATATATATCTAAGTATATATATATTTTTACTTATTCATTTTATTAACATATGTAGTTGAATACACGTTTATGTACATAGGAACATGTACATGACAAGTGGTATATATATATATACCTAACAGGTAAACTATACTAAATATACTGTACTATACTGTGCTATGCTTTACTTTACTACGCTGTAATGTACTGTAGTGTGCTATACTGTACTAGACTTTACCTTGCCTTACTTTATGTTTGCATGGATGGATGGACGGGTGTTTGGACGTGATGTCTGTATGTATGTATGTATGTATGCATGCATCCATGCATGTATGTATGTATGTATGCATGTATGTATATATGTATGTAATGCATGTATGCATGTATGCATGTATGTATGCATGTATGTTTGTATGCATGCATGCATGCATGCATGCACGCATGTATGTATGCATGTATGCATGTATGCATGTATGTATGTATGTGTATGTAATGTAATGTCATGCAATGTCATGTCATGTCATGTAACGCCACGTATGTTTGTATGCATGCATGCACGCATGTATGTATGTATGTGGATGTAATGTAATCTAATGTCATGTAATGTCATGTCATGTCATGTAATGCCATGTCATGTAAGTATGTATGTATGTCTGTATGTATGTTTGTATGTCTGTATGTCTGTATGCCTCTATGTCTGTACGTGTGTATGTTTGTATGTATGTATGTGTGTGTGCATGTATGTATGTCATGTAATGCAATGTACATGTACATGAAAATGCACATGTAAATGTGAATGTAAATGTAAATGTAATGTAGTGTAATGTGTAGTGTAATGTAATGTAACGTGCAGTGTAATGTAAAGTAATGTAATGTAATGTAATGGTAAGTATGTATGTATGTGTGTATGTACGTACGTACGTATGTATGTATGTATGCATGTATGTACTCCCCTAACGATAAGAAATACACGTATAGATCTTTGCATACGAATGGGAATACCTACATGTACATATACCTATACTATACACATATATATGTGTGTGTGTGGATTTGTGCTTTAAATGGATTACCACATGTGGGTAATATGTTTGTCATAACCACTGAGTGATTGGCATGTATACATCCAAGCATAGCCCCAAGACATTGTCTAGAAACAATATGAATACACATTCCATTCCCAGCCTTCGGATTGCAGACCAAAGGATCCGGGACTGGCTCACAAGGGTCTCCAGCACATCCCCACCAGTGCTCAGGTCCATATTGGGCCGCAGTGCCAAGCCCTGGAAGCAGGAGAAGGACCCCTGCCGGTTGTGGGACGGGTCTAAGAGGGTGCAATTGTTTCCATGTTCAAGCTTCAAACAACAGTCAACAAACTTTTGGGATCAAAGACAACCACTTACAAGTGCCTTGGCTTCGTGGTTGAATGCTCTCCAGAGAACTTCAAGCTCTGGTTTGGTAGGGCAACGGTAGCAAAACGGTTCACATTCCAGAAGGACTGAGATACACCAATGGTTCTTCGACCTTGGATTGTTGGCAATGAAAAGGTTTTGAAACTTGGGAATGGTTTACCTGACAGTTTTCGTGACAATTGTATTTATGTTCACCAAGTAACAGCAGCTGGTGCTCAGAATCCCTTCGAAAGTCGCCCAGAAGAATTGGTTCACTGGGGGTCTCGTCCAAACCGACAATGCATCGATCCTGCAAAAAAACAACATGATCCCCATGCATCAGGCCTTCAGGGTTCTTTTGGGTTGCAATTTGTGACAGAAAAGGAAACCCTGCCCCACCAAACATATCCAAACATACATCACCTTCCAACATATATTTATATAGATTACAATGATTATATAGTATGTTTGTACTTTTCCTATCACCCCAATGCCCCCATATCAATATAATTCCCAGAGGGGATCCTTATGCTCCGAGCCCATCTGTTGGAACATAGCCTGCCCCAGCTCTTGCAGGAGCTCCACATGTTCGATACTGTCCGAACATGGCGAGGCAGCGCCGCTCTCAGTTGCCATGGAATCCCAAGCAAACAGGGTGAACTGCTTGTGGTAAAATTTTGGGAAGCCTGAATACGGCCATCCAAGACGAAACATGAACAGGTACAATTATATTTGACATTCTGGTCTGCATGTTCGGGCACTTTTCCGGTGTTTGAAAAACTGCTTGACCATATATACAAATATTTATATATATTTTGATATCATCCCACCCAATTAATTTTGCAGTCGGGCATCGCCAGCTGCACTGCTGAACACTGCTGATATCCCAATGGCCTCTCCTGCGATCTCCCAGAGGTATGCCTGAATTTGACAGAAACCAAAATCTTGACCATAACATATTTGATTTGGATTTCAAATGGATTTCTGAACTTTCAAATGGATTTCATAAACTTTCAACTGCTTTATTTGCTGCCCGGTTTCCGATTGATCCAAACCCAGCTGGAACAAACCGGTGCAAACCATGCTAATCCGGCCTGTCGCAGGATTGCCATCTACTATGAACGAAACCTACTTGGCCTGAAAGGACTGGGGTGGTTTGGTGCTAGCATGAACATGGTGTACGTGCATGAAATAATGTCCAACAGGTCCCAACAGATGACCATGAATGCTACCCATAAGAGTCAGTCTATCAATCTATCAATCTATCAATACATGATTATACATCCATATATGCATGTAATTTTCTTGCACCGATTGATGTGCAAAGCTCACACCCATTTGCACCTCTTTAAAGAGGCGGATGCACAGGGAGAGGGCGAAACAGAACCCCAAGGGATTCAAGATGTCCTGGTAGATGCCATCGTCAGCAATCTCATAGGTCGCAGCGGAAAACCCATAGTACCTCAGATTAGGGCCCCGTTTCTTGTTGTAAACCCAAAAGAACTCAAGGTTTTGATGTCTCCTCACCTTTTGCAGATCTTGGATTTGGTATGTGTTTGTGTTTGCGTTTACCACTTTACAGTACCAGTGAATAGAGTTTGCCATTTTCTCACCAGTTGTAATTGTAACCACTTGCCATTTCTGCTGGGCTGGATTTTTAAAATTCTGTTGTACTGTAAGCTTTGCACTGGAAGCCACGTGCCACAGTCTTCACTCCGGCAAAGAGCTCCACACAGGATAGGTCCTCGAATTGTGGATGGAATGTGCCCCTAGGGATCCCCAATCTTGGCTGCGCAGTTCCACTTGTAAATGGATATAGTGTATCACCAACGTTGCAGAGGGTTGTATCGTAGATCATCATGTATCCTAACTAGCCTTTCCTCAAGCACAAAAATTAAAGTGATTGCATTAGTTGGGATTAACTTGATGAATGGAAGGGGCCATTTAACAAGCCAAGTCACGAAATCAGGGCTACCCATGTGCTCCATTGTCTTGTCGATCATCGCCAGCAATGAAAATGGCAAGCCAGCGCATACCAGGATCTGCAACCTGAAGGGCGCGTGTGCGAGATACTTGGACTTGCATGTTTGGTCAAATCCAACAACAGTGGTGTTCCATCTTTTACCAAACAGTGACCAAACTGTGCAAACCCGTGCGCATCAAGTTTCACCTAAGACCATTGAAGGTTTTCAGGTTTATAAATAATGAGAATGTATTGATAATTCATATATGGCGATGTAAAAAGTTTGTGAAAGATACCATCCATCAAATGACGAGTTCTCATATCAGAAAGCACTGAAGAAAAGAATCATCTTGAATTATGTTACCTACATTTGTGGTGTAGCAGTGTGGCTGCTGCGTGGCCCATGCATAAAGAAACTTCTCTGAATCTTTCAATGGAGTGCGGTGAGGGCCAAGCCCTTGATTCCTAAACCTTTGCACATGCCCAACTCCGTGGTTGTATCAAACAGGTTTTGTCCACATTCATTTGATTTTTGTCAAGAGCATGTGCAGTCAAGAAACATGGCTGCGAACTTGGAATGCAATTTCCGAGACAGGGAAAAAGGACAGCGAGCTATGGTGGGCCGCTGCGCCACAGGACAGGGGCGCGCTTTCACCTTCTTTGCACCCTTGCCACACTTCCCACCTTTCTTCTTGCCATGTTTCTCCGATTTTTTCTGATTCAACTTAACAACTTTGCTGGCAGCCATGGCAATTAGCAACGTCACTAAGCCCGGGGGAACTTTGTACCCAAAATGCTGCACATCCAATTTTTTTTCTTTCAGGACACACATGATCTTTAATGTGGAGGTGTTCACTGAACCGTCATCCAGTATAGACAACCTTGGGGCCCCAACTTGCAACTGCCAAAGTTTCCATGGGTAATGTAAGTAATGAGTTTGATTCAGTTTGAAATCATGAATTCAAATATTGATGTTAGGTAACCCTTTTCCGACAATTTTACTTTGGTTAATGTACCCCAAGTTTTCAAAGAGAGCACTATAGAATGGACTTACTTCGTTAAAGATTTCAGCCACCACTGTTTTTGGGGGTGGGACGGCACCTGCTGCGATCTTGGTATAGCCCATCGTTTGCCATCCTTGCAGAAGCAACGCAGTAGGATCCTATAATTATACCTTATACACTTGAATTTAGTGAAGAGCCAATGGAAGTAAATGTAATCACAGATCGGGGTATATATTTTTTTGTCATATCGAAGGTAAGGTTGTTTAGGTATCCCTTGTTTTGTTTTGGTTTGGGTTTGGTTTAGGTATCCCTTGTTTTGGGACGTGGGGAGCAATCATAAGACACATTTTTAAACTTTTGGATGGGAATCTGAAACAATTTCCTCACCAAATGCTACAAGATTATCTTTGTAACATTATGTATAACATGGCCCATGCAGTCTCAAAATGGACTTTCGCCAAAGCAGTCCTGATGTTGACATCCACAAAAATGCAAAGCGCGGCATGACCTGCCACAACACTCCATCTTGGCCTTACACATGCACATGTGCCTCTACTTCCAGCGCGATGGGACATGAAACAGGTTTTTTCAATCACTGACCAGCCTTGGCTGCGATAGCCCCGCGCTAGCAGCCACGTGCGATCATGGTAGCGGAGCTTCCGCGCAGAAAACACTATTAGGTAAAATGACAGGTGAGTGAAGATCTATATATGACTACACCTTGCAAGAAACCATTTTGTCAGAAGCATATGCTATAGGCAACTGATGCCACATGAAACACCTGCTTTGACTTGAAGTTTTGGACACAGTTGACAAAGCCTGCTTTACAGGGCACACCCCCTCCCCGTGCTGGCATGCGCTGCGCGAGGGAAGCGGGCTGTGCACACTGCATGCCGTTTATGGAAAAATATTGAGGGACCGACTTCCCCACTTCAAAATGTTTGTTCCATGCCACCCTGTGCTATAGCTTTCCAAGTCCAACAATCTTCGCCATGCAGGAATCCAGTTTTTGCTTTCATATTCAAAAACAAGTATGGAATATATACCCCACGGATTCCAACCCATGCATTCTGGTGTTTGAAATTTGTTTGTGGCTTTCGAATATCAGTATGTACCGTGGCAATGCTTGACCCAACAACAAACATTGCTATGTTTACCATGTGAACTAAAAATGATGAGCAACATTTTATACATATGTATATAAATATATTCTGAACAGAAAAACCGGAAGACAAATATATTATATCAATGTTGCTCGACATTCCTTTTCTCAGAGCGCAATGTTGCTGAAAGAGCAGCAACATCAAAATGATCAATTCCATCGCGCATGCGTGCATTGCAATCCGAGATGCGATTCTTTTCAGTATCGGACGATCGTCATGGATCCGACATCCGATCCCAATTTGCATCATGATTCCGATAATTCAATCGCATGCATCCGACATCCGATCCCAATTCTAACGACATCCGAGATCCAAAAATCCGATTATCGGATTAATCCGAGATCAAAAATCTCATTATATCGGACGATCCGACAATTGGTTCGAACTCATCCGCGATCCCACATCTCGTATTTCCGACTGCAATTCTTGGACTTCCGATCGGACACATCCGACAACCATGAATCGTGCATGTCGGACACCTTCAGACATCAAAGGTGTCGTATGCTCATGAATATAGTAAATTATACAGATAGATCTCTATAAGTAGATAGATAGATAGATAGATAGATAGATAGATAGATAGATAGATAGAGAGCTAGATAGATAGATAGATAGATAGATAGATAGAAGATAGATAGATAGACAGATAGATAGATAGAGATAGATAGATAAGATAGATAAATAGATAGATAGATAAGATAGATAGATAAGATAAGATAGATAAGATAGATAGATAGATAGATAGATAGATAGATAGATAGATAGATAGATAGATAGATAGATAGATAGATAGATAGATAGATAGAGGGCTAGATAGATAGATAGATAGATAGATAGATAGATAGATAGATAGATAGATAGATAGATAGATAGATAGATAGATAGATAGATAGATAGATAGATAGATAGATAGATAGATAGATAGATAGATAAATAGATAGATAGATAGATATACAGATATATAGATAGATAGATAGATAGATAAATAGATAGATAAATATATAGATATATAGATAGATCGATAGATCGATAGATCGATAGATCGATCGATAGATAGATAGATAGATAGATAGATAGAAACTAGATACAGTAGATATTTCTTTAGATAATCATAAAGATAGATAGATAATTGTGAAATAATTATTGTAGTTGACAATAAATGCATCTTTGCGGATATGACCAGTATCAAAGGGATGTATTCTGATTCGACGATAGTGACAGGCATATTAAAAGGTTCCAGGAGGTGCTTGAATTCTATAGTTGCTGAATCAGATTTACAGCCCAAGAGAAACCGTTTGTTTTCCAAACAGCCAGATGAAGTCAAATGTTTCATTATGGTTTTGTCGCATTAAAATGGCAGCAACAAACAAGATAATCTGCTCCCCGGTAAACATGATCCCAATTATGTAGATTAAAGTGCATCTCCATGTTGAATCTCGGCCGATCATCTATGTTTGTGGGGCATTGTTCAGAACGCCACGTTGCCCTTGAGGCAATATATGACAATATCAACCCCAGATATCCCCAGATATCCCCAGATTTAGAAAACCAAAGAAAACCTGTTGATGATTTAGGGGGGCTAACAAAAAATAAATGCTTGGCTGAGTCCACCACCGACAGTCTGTCCCACCTGAGGCAATTTGCAGGTGGAGCAGAGGCCGACAGATGAACCGAGAGTGAGGCAACAGGAAATTTACAGGCAAATGCACCTATAAAATCTAGGAGCAATAAAGATTGGGGCTACATACAATGAACCAATAAGATCAATAAGAAATAGAACGCTAAATAAACAATAAACATTGATGAACATTGATATTTCAATGAACCAACAATGGAACCAACAACAAATCAACAGATTTGGATTTCATGGTACGACCACTAGTGACTGGTTGGACAATTTCGTGGGATTTTCAGATTGTGACCTGTCGGATCAAGTTCCATGGTTGCTGTCAACCGATGCCATAGGATCAATCAAATACTGAAAAGATTTGAAAAGTCAACCAATGGAGTCCTAATCCCAATATATACTACATCTCAGTACAAGCGGAATTTCTTAGAAACTCATGGAAATTGATCTAGTCAATCTAGTCGCTGATTTATTCCTACCGCTTGCCCACGCATTTCCCAACTGCAGGGGTAAAACAAACCACTGCAATGCGCCTGTCATTTTGGCACCACAAGGCAGCCACGCTGGCTACAAGGTCTGAGTGTCCCCTTCCAGGCGGTTTTTCAAAATTGCGATTGAACATGTGGTGAACACACACATTCTATCACATTCTCATGTAATGAACGCAATGATTTTGTAATGATCGTAATGCCATGGCAGAATTCAATTAATTACATTGTATTATAGCTATAGTATGTTATAGTTCTCATTTCTTGTGGAAGAATACAATGACGTGCTGATCATATTATCCTCAGAGTCCCTCAGGAACACCGTGTTCGAAACTCCAGCGCTGACGCGATCATCGTTTTCATGCTGACCGTGCTGACCATCCAAGGGGCGTGGTTTTAATGGCAACATGAAAATATGTACTGTATATGCAATACAAGTAGAAAGCATGATATAGAAATCTATATGTCGATATAGCCTATATAGCATGATATGTTTTCTATATTCTTCCGGATGAAATGGCATTGATATACAGCTCTATAGAAATCTGTGGCCGAAAGATAAACCATGCCACCAGCCATCTGGGGGTCATTCAATATGGGATGGTTGATTATGGAGTGTGCAGATCGTGTTGCAAATGGGGATGGTGAATGGGTTCCATTACAATGGCTATGAATTGGGCCTAGGGCCTTGATCCAATGATTGGGGAAATGAGTATTGACCAACATGCACCTGGGTATGTCCAAACAAATGAGAACAGGATGATAAACCAGTTGAGGTTTCCGTATGTTTCTGCGTTTTTTCTCTAAATATGTTCAACCGTGTTCTTGGATCTGTTTGGATTTTTTTATTCTGTGTGATTTTGTATGAACCATGTAGATGCAAAATAAACACATCATGATGTAAGAACTCCAGGGGACCTTTATCCGACAATCCCATTGTACATCCCTGTACTCTATATTGTGAAACAATCCCTCCTCATCAACCTATGTGAACTCAACAAAATCAAATTAAATCCAACCAAAGGATCCATTCAAATGAGTTCAATGCTGCAAGTCGATCATATCCAATGTGGATCTTTGTCGTGTACAAGGGCTATGGCTAGCACCCTGTGTTATCTTCAGAACAGGGAGACCTAGAACTGCACCCCGAAGTGTACAAAAAATAAATGTTGGCTTTACCTGGCTTTACCATCATGCCCTTGATGTGTCTGCATATCTCGTTGACACGGAGACGCAATTTGCGTCTGGTCTTTTTGTCGTGGCTGAGTGACCTTGCACCCAGCGACCAAACCCAAGATCAGCAAAGCTGTAAAGCAACGCAATAGATACGCAAGTTGAACACGCGGAAAAGTAAAACAAACTAGACATATCTAGAGCATCCTGGACATATCTAGAGCATCCTGGACATGTTTTTGTTGGAAAATCTTATGGGGACCACGGGACCACTATATAGTCTTTTCGATTTTTTTTTTGTGACGTTACAAGCGATGCTGTTTACATCTGTTTACTATATACCTGAGGCTTAGGGAGAGGAAGTCTTATTCGATCTTATTCCTTATATTACTCTCGGAACATGATAGAACTCAGAGATCTGTGATATGCATCGTATCATGCAATAAATCATATGTATATAAATTTTATAATAATCATATATCATATATGTTATCATTATATATCATTCTATAAATTCATTCTATATCATTCTATAAATTCATTCTATATCATTAAATAAATCATTATATTAATATATCACTTTATAAATCATTCTATATCATTCTATATCGTTCCATATCCATGATTGATCTGATCATATCTGATCTAAACGTTACATTTTGGCAGGCTGAAAAACACCGGCGCTTGTACCCTGAACCCGGCGCTTGCTCGGGGCTACTTCGCTGATGCTGCGCAGCTCATAGTCCTATGCCAACCCTCGCTAAAGAAGATATCGATGCAATGGAACAATGGGGGATGATACACCTGCGACCGAAAGGAGATAATCATCATCAGCAGCAGCAGCAACACCAAACATGAATAATTAGTGAATATCAAGAACATTTCAACAACAACATTCAACCATACATGCAAGCTTTCTTGTTTCACTTTGGATGTTGACAAAGATATACAGCAACTTATTTCACAGGCTTTGTGAGGCTGAAATAATTGATGGTTGCAAAGGTGTATATAAAGCCATATAATAAAGACATTATAAGTGGTCACCAAGTGCACGATATGCAACCATGGGTATAGTATGTCCATGCAGTGGACCCCTCAGACCCCAAACCCTATGCATTTCATGCAGCAATACAAAGGCTTTTCAGGTTATGGACATACATGAAGATGTTCAGACAGCTCGTATGGCTTTTCTTGACATTGAACAATGCACAAACAAAACTTGGAGCTTTGTTTTGGAGGACTTTACTATATGCTAATTTTCGTCATGGCATTTGATAATAATCACCATATATCAGCATCATATTTTTTTGATATACTGCAAGACCGATGCAGCCAACGTTGACCAGAACCGCTCACTTTTCCAAGACCTCACTAAAGACAAGCCCACTGTGGACTTGATAATAAATGTGCTGCTGGGGGAAACAAACAAAACAAAACTAGTGCCAAGGAAACACCAAACTTATCCAAATTTGCCAAACTTCTCTTGAATGGTTTTGATGCCTTTGGCAACCTCTCGAGCGGGGAATTTGGCATTCGAACCGCTAATGCCACATGAATCATGCGCAGCAACTCCTTCAAAGTTCGACAAGCAAATCCTGTGTCATTTCTTTGCGATGGCAAGATGGATGTTGTTTGTCTTTTCCCGCTAAAGGCCATGACACCAGGAGCAGGATCTCTTGCCTTCTTAGCATTGCGAATTAGGCGCGAAAAATCTTGCAACTCCAAGATCTCAACGCGTAGCAGCGTAGCAAACCCAAAAGGGACCATCATGTGTCCAGGAACCCTATGGGCCATCTCCAAAACAATTTGAGGTCGTGGAAGCCTCCGTTAAAAACTTTGCCGGCTTCAACACGACCTTGGCGGTGACCAAGTAAAGCATATTAATATACCTTGGCGGGCACAATGCTCCCGGGTCAAAATCTACGATAACTGCATCAAATTCTTAGTGTTAGTTGCCATACTCGGTGACTTCCCCAGTGCCACTGAACTGTGTCATGCAGCTGTTTGTTTCGTCATTCTTGTTGCTTAACTCCATGTCGATTAGAACATCATAACTGGTTGGTGGTTTCAACCCCTCTGAAAAATATTAGTCAGTTGGGATGATGACATTCCCAATATATGGAAAAATAAAGTTCATGTTCCAAACCACCAACCAGTAAAATAGGCAAAATACTTGTTGCATCTGCGCATCCCAGAGGTCATCAGTGGCTTTTGGTACTGCTGCAGAAACACCAGTTGATCTTGATATTGATATCTTGGTGTTTTTGTTGATTCTCTGCCCCAAAAAAACATAAAAGTCAATGAAGCACTGCCAGTTTTCTATTAAACAAATGTGAAGAATAATTCTGTTTACTCACTCAAAACCATTTTTTGATGGGATACTGCCAGTTTTCTATAAAAGTGTAAAGAAATACTGTGGATGGTTACGAAATCCAGGACCATCTCGGATGGTTGAAACCCTATAAATAATGGGATAAACATGGATAAACCATCTATCAACTGGCGCCAGATTTCCTCCATCCACTGTATGTTTACTCATCCAATCCTGAGCTAAACATCAAAGTGTATAGTTTCTAATGTCGTCCAATGTTGGGGCATTTGGTGTTTCATTTCAAAAACTAACATCAATCGAAAAAGCCCGTCCAACTCCTGATAAACACACAAATATCGTATGATTTCATCCAATCCCCTTTTTTTCCGGCCATCAGTTAGAAAGTTTGAACATGTTAATCTCAACTCCTGGTGAGCCTGCAATAATTGTCCCAGCCCAGAGCCTCCCTCACTTGAAACCACCCAAAAAATTGGTTGCTTCTACCATCCGAGAAAATAACAGTTGAATCAGTTGAATCATGTCTCATGTCGAATCACATAATCCCTATATATGAATATATATGAAGATATATTACTGCTGGTTTCATAGCAAAACTACCAAGTGTTGATTATAAATCAAAACCCTCTGGTAATTTAACATAGCTATGAAAAATCACCATGTTTAATGGGTAAATCAACTATTTCTATGGCCATGTTCAATAGCTATGTCCGTTCGAGGCCGCCAAGGTGCAGCCCCGGTCATGCCATTGGTTTGTCCACCTCAATACACACCAACATTCTTTTTTGTGGCGTCAACCAGGGCTTACCAACCCCCCTGCAAAATGGTGATTTAACTGGGGAAATATCGGGATATGACTATAGATATCATGGAATAGTACTGGAATATGACTAGATTCACTAGATCTAATGGAATATGATGGAATATAACTAATGGAATATTCTATTACTAGGATATAGAATTTCTATTACTGATCTAATATTTCTAGTGGATATATATCTATATATATATATATCATGTTATTACTAATGGAATAGTCATGGAATATCAATGGGGATATCACGGGATACGGGAACCCCGGGATACATTGGCTGTAGGGTCACCTTTGGTGAAATCATAATATCCATCGACATCCGAATTGTTTCTGGTGTGTTCTTGAAATCACACATCGATGCTGATTTCATCTGCATCTTTCTGGACAACTTGTAACAATATGTGCACAAGATTGAAGTAGACCGACTTTGGGCGTGTTCCCCATCACGGTTTCTGTTGCCGAGTTTTCGTCAGAATCTCCAAGTCAGTAACCCCCAAACATATCGTGGGCGTGCCACTACCATAGGGGTACCCCAAAGTGTTGGTTTAAATATGTGGGATAAATTTAATTAACTGTTGGGGTACCCTATTGGAAAGCCTAAAATATTGGTTGCTTCAAGTCTTGAGAATCCCATTTGGATGATAGATTCATATTGGCTCGTGGCTCACTACGAACCAGTTGATCCAAAGGGATGTTGGGTGATGAAATTGCTAAACACAGTGTTTTGTCCGAAAATTAAGGCATACCCCTAACAACTGCAGATTTGATGGGGAACATGATGAAAACCTGTTGGATTTTAGTGATATCCAATTTCGGACAAACCCAAATGTCCAATACGAATTGCTTTCAGGATTTTCCAAGCCGAGCCCCAAACCGCCAGCTGGGCATTCACAAAAGCCTCTCATTGTGTGTATTTTGCCTTGGCTGCTTCTATTTCTAGTGGTCTATGTATCCATACCCATAGGATCCATGTATGGTATATATGCTAACATTTGGGGTATATATATAAATAACATACATGGATCCTATGGGATATGTTCTTTCTTTCTTACCTGGTTTTGGCTCCGAAATTGCGTACCGATGGACTGCCAATCCTGGGGACGGCAGGGCTCCAACAAGCCAACCCGAAGCAATGTTTCCAACATGTCAGCAGTACCAACAACCGAATCCCTACAAGTACTGCTCAATCGAGATTGGAACAATGCATTCCAACCCCCTCAAGAAGTCGATCTGATCGTACTTTTAGTCTTTCTGGTTGAATCCATTTCTTGGTAGTTACAAGTTGAAGTCCTATTTTGGTCAAATCATGTCAAAGCATGTCAAGTCTCGATGTTTGCTGGTTAAGTCTGAATGTTGGTTTGTCAATGCTAGTCAGACATGGTTAACAACTACCATTTTCGGGCCCAAAAACAGCTGTACCAAGAGGCTGGGGTTGGTGCAGTTGGGGGCCGCTTCGAACCCAAACTCAAGGAGGGAAGGAACAAAAATTCCTGGCGCCGCTCGATGAAAAAAAGAATTAAAACTCCCCAGGATTTCCATGGACTTCCCTCAATGGATTGTCAGAAACCCCAATGCATTATTGCCAATAATGAAATTATTGGATAGTATAACCCGGGATAATAATCAACCAACAGGGGTTGCAAGAACACTGCGCTTAAAGAATCACACATCTTGAAAGATGGGTCGCAAGAACATATAATGTTTGATGGTAGAAACCAGGTTTCCCTTGATTTTTAGCTGATACCAACCCAATGCTCCTGGCACTTCGGCGAATGAAATGGTTATGTTCAAAAATCTAAGACTCTGGGACAAGAAATGTTGGTCACGGTTGCCTTTTCGTTTTTTGGGCACCCAGACTGATCTATATACATATAGCCAAATTTGAGTGGACGCATTGGAACATGGAGGATACATCAAAAAGAACGGTCCCCATTTTCCACCCACATGGGTTGTACCCGATATTATGTATACATAATAATTGAAAAACACTGATCTTTAACATGGGATGGAATGCGGCACGATATTTTCAGAGAAATCCTGTAATGGTTCTGGTTATAGACATCCCCAAGTGTATGATGCTTGACAAAACTGCCTACACATGTTTAAACCCATAACAGTAATGTTAAATTGATTACACATAGGGAATTGGCGATGTCTTTGAAAATCCAGTTCCGGATGCCTATAGCAGTTTTTATTGCTATATACTTTGTACATAGCCTTTTCTTGAGCTATGCCCCGCGGTACTGAGTGCAAACCTCCCATCTACACGCAGCAAGTGTGTGCTTCCCATGTGTGACTGTGAGGAGCCGCTGCTATGTCTCCGACAACTTAGAAACACACTCACAAACCTTAGAAAGGATGAACCGGTTTCCCCATATCTGTTTTGGGCCTGTACACTTGTCATTCCAGCCAGTCAAGCAAGAACTCCACACAGTGGTTCATCCACAAAAGATTCAAACAGCACCATTTCACATAATTCAAGAGGAATGCAACATGGCTAAGCGCGTGAACATCCCCATGTTTCATAGCCATACCCACTACCAAGCCTCCAACCGCAAGAAAAAACACATGCTCACACATGTTCAAGTGCCTTTACCATCTAATATATAGTATTATGTAACCATCAAGTTTGGGTGACAACAACAACAATTATATCATAATGTATTTCCTTTTAACTTAATACTGCCACCACAAACTGTCAACATCCCAGTTCCTGGCCATCACAGACCATAACATGCTATGATTCTTTATTGTGTTTCAACTATATCCATAAAAAAATAGCAACTATACCTGTATCATCCATTAAACAAAACATCTTATACGTAATCCACCATAATGTACCACAATGGACCATAATCATAATCCCTACAGACCCAGGTTGTCTTAGTCAACCATGTCATCCATCTATATAAATGCGTATAATTCACCATTTCTTGCCTAATCTATGGTACCCTCCCCCCAAAAAAGAGCTGAGACCAACACATAAGGTAATTGTCACTATAAATGTGTGTGGGATGCTACTTCATCCGATATGAATCTGTCCGAAAATCGGGCATAACTTCCCAAGTGGCCATTTTTAACAGGGACATGCCAACCATCCACCAGGTGATTTAGGGCTATCCAATTTCCAAACAAAACCATATCTGGGTAAATTATAATATTTCACTAACCTGAATTAAGGCCATTTTGGGATGATTCCCCTTACTAACCATGATTTCCAGTGAGGTCGCAGTGAGGTCGTTATAATTTACCCAGATGGATGTTTCTTAAAATAGGAGTACCCCCCAAATGATCCAAGTCATAAAACGACCATCACTTCGCCTTGAAACAACTCTGGTGACGACTGAACTCCCGGCCTCCACGTGGACGTGCCAGTGGATGCCACCAGCAGACTTCTTCGCGGCCGCCTTCATACTGGCACGTTGAAATGATGTAGCATAAATCATACCCTGTGAATTCCCTATGTAGCATAAAGGTACTTGGATCCATAGGGATTAATAAAATAATCAGGAATCATGCATCTAAAAACAGTTTAATGCAGTCATATCAATTATTGTTTGTTTTGTTTATTATAATTATTATTGTTATGTTAAGGTTGATTTTAGAATATATAAAATGTTGGTAATATATAGATCGTGGCAGGTTCACCTATTGTTCATGTGTGTGTTTGAATCATACACGGTGATGTAGGTAATGTAGTTTGTTGCATGATCACCACTATTGTAGTATGATTTCACTTTGCATTTGTTGGGCAATGTTTTAGCGGGACATATGTGGCTTCGTCTGCAAATTTGGGGGAAACGCAAATCCATTGGTTTTGTGAAAATCAGCGTCCGTAGTACTTTTAAATGAGCAGATAATCATAGATAATCCATAATGGGGGGGCGGACATACCATCGTATACCCCATTTTCAAACACAACCATTTTCTTTTCATCTACTAACTCGTTCCCCGCATTGACCGGACTTGCGGCTTGTACCTTAAATCCAGGATGTTTACTAGTTGAATCAATGTTGAATCCTTAGGTTTCATCATTTGCTGAACCTACCATCCCTCCATTTTACAGAAACCCTGCCTATAGTTAAATAATTGATTAAGGAAGATTGCTTTGCACTCAGACTCGGCGATTTCCGGGGTCGAACTCTTCCAATTTGGAGGTTTCCTAAACTTTAAAGGTACCCCAAATATCCCCAAATCATCATAAATCATCCAAGTCATGGACCAACACATACCATGACTTAGCATTGAAACCCATGGTGATGACTGGGGATCCTCCATTAAAAGGGTGGTCAAATCCAGTGGGGAAACCTTGGCGGCGTCCGCCAAGCCAGGTGGGCCGCAGACGAAGACCATGGCCTGAGTAGTTCGGAAAAACCGGGAGATCATTGGGGGAGCAGAAAACCATGAGGTATCATGGGATCATTACCCTCTGGTAATTTAACATAACTATGGAAAATCACAATTTTTAATGGGACGATCCACTATAACTGGCCATTTTCAATAATTAGCTATGTTAAATTACATTAAATTACCAGAGGGTACATGGGATCATGGTTTTATCAATGGGAAGAAACCACGAAAAATAAAAATGTTGATCCCAAAGAGGATATAACCTGTGGGAATTCTCGAGGATTTTCACCACCGGCTACACATGTTGCTGGAGAGTTCATCGGCTGTTTCGACGGGAGAACAAAACACAACATCATACAACATCTACATACTACACATAGAGATCCAATAGCTTTGACCAATAGGTTTGAGCATTTTTTTGATGTAAAAACGTTGGAACATTCCGTTGTCGCTGGGCTCTGGTGAAAAAAAATCATCCCAACTGACCAGATCTGACCGTCAGTCAAGAAGGACCGCCTCTAAACATGCCAGTGGGATGTACCAATCTTGATAGGTAGATCATCCAAAGATTGCTGTAGATGTGAGCTTCTTCATACTTGTGACTACCAACGTGTATGTAGGTTAATACCAAGAACTGTTTCTTCTACGAGACCCATCACTCATCAATTGTTCAGTCCCCGTGCTTTGTGAAGCATGGCAGTAAAGGTTCCCTACAAGCAACAGCAAAAAACATGAAACCACCATGTGCAAATGTCTGGTTGTTGGTTTCCTGCAGCAAAAATGCTAGCAGGGGCATTGTCATATATGATCAGATATTCTCTATAATTCGCCCAGCAAATCACCCAGCCACCCTCCCGTCCAGGCCAACAGACGTTGCTGACACCCTCCTTAACGTAAACCTGCCCGACATTATCCAACCACTGATACAGATCCTGCCGCGTCGAGTCCACGGTGTCTCGACCAGCCATCCATAAACCATCCAGCTATTGGAGTACCCCCCCATTTATGAAATTTATGGGACGCCCCCTCCACTTTTATATGGCTCTAGCATTTTCAGATATACATGGCTAGGATCGTCCTTGAGGTCATACTTGGCCTGCAGAGGCAGATCTGTGCCTTCCAACAAAGCAATGAACACCGGGATATACCACGGAAATTTCATGGGATACTATAGTTATCGATGTCAGCCAACGAATCCCTTCGCCCGGTCATGCTATATAATTAATCAAACATCCTGAAACCATGGTTTAGTAAAGTAGGAGATGAAACATGATGAAACCACATATGGGATCATACGATGGGGGTGAATATGAACGGGGGATGGGATTAGTCAAAGATAACCCGGGCACTGGATCCGAGCTTGGTTTCCTCAGGAGCAACCAGATTGCATTCTGGCTACAAACCTTATTCAAAATGATAAACAGAGAGTCAGGGGGATGAACCTGGAACAGAATAAAACATGCACTGTATAGGGATGAACCTGGAACAAAATAGAACATGCACTGTACATGCCATTATATTACTGGCCGACAATTGTTGCATGCTACCCGGTTATTGCAGAATCACCACACTGTATAGAAGTTCTTCAACTACTTCAACCTGCTATTTCAATATTTTTCAATGGTGGACCTGCATAACTTTTCCTGCACCTGTTCGCTGGAAAGTAGGATTGTATTTTCTGAAACAACTAGGGTTGATGAAAGGAAACGATCGATTGCTTTTTGTTTCAAAGCCGAACGCGTTCTTAAGGAAGGCATCATCACTTGCCAGACTGGACTGCTTCTTGGCTGCACATCGGGACACGTCTAGCTGTGTCTGGTATCATGTTCCTCATGCAAAAACATGTGTTTCATCCCCCAGAGTATGGATATTCCATAGGTTTTGTCCCATCCCGTAGCATTAAACACCCGGTAGCCAGGACTAACCTCGGACATCCCGCGCGTCACAATGAATTTAGATGTCATACATATAATTTATAACCGGACACACAATTGGGATACTAGCAATGGTGTACATACCTTACATTAAGTATATATACACCAACATGTATTTATATACATATTATACATGTATATTATTCAAGCATCATACATCTACATATTTCTGCATGGTAAACTCCAACAAGCATCAAAAAGTAACCAATAGAGAAACTGCCACCGTTTACACAGCCAAGATACCGCCCTCTTGCGTCCCGGAACCTCTGCAGAATGTCCGCGGGGTTGTGAGAAATGATATGATGGGTTGCTGTTCAATCTGTTTGGGGGTTATGGGGTTATCAATCATATTATCGAGTTAAGTGCAAGCAGGCCAACTAGCATAACAGTCCCGGCGAAGAAAAAATAAGCTAGCACTGTAGAGGGGTGAAATCAAGAATGGCCGCCAAATGGCAACCAAGGGAGTGCCCAATTTTTTGGAATGTGGTTGCCAAACATTGGTGTGTAAGAATCCAAAATGTACTGCAGGAGGTAGTATTTCGGACTTCTGCCTAGGGCCTAGAGTCAGTACATCCCTTGGCAAGTTGGAAAAATGATAACAGGACAATCATCCACACATATATAGGTGAATTTCCGCCTCAGGTTGCCCTTAAAGCCTTAGCCTTAGAATCCCAATCAACTGCGAAGCAAAGCGATTTTCCTTGGATGACCGACTTGGGGAATATGCCTCCGTTTGGTGCAAAACCATAAACGTTTTGGTATCCCTTGTTGCATCGAAATGTTCCCAAGAATCTGGATAAATCATTGATTATTGTGATTATTAGGTCAGATGATCATCACCCAAAATAAATGACCCATTTATCGATAAATTATGATCATTCACCCCGCCAATTGGGCCCCAAGGAACCGTTGAGCTGTACGCAACTCTGACTCAGCTCCAGGTGAGGCTCCAGCAATCTGAGTTTCGACGCGTCAAAGTTCGCTGAAAAAAGATGAGGGACTATCAGAACACATCCAATATTTGATCTATTAATGATATATTATTAGTGATAATATATATATATATAATTATATATATAATGATAAAAATTCATGATACTATTTTCATATACATCATTGTTCAAATAGTTTAATAATGTATATTATGATATTGTGGTTGGTTGGTGGTTTAGCCACCCGTCTGAAACATATGAAAACAAATTGGGACCCTCATCCTAAGGATGAACATGAAAAATAACTCTTAGACACCATCAGTGCCAATATTTGTGCCCAAACAAAGTTTAAAAAGGTCCAACGGCCAACATCTGTCCGTGATTTCCAAATTTGTACCCTATAATAGATATCCCATGATGGCAGCCTAATTCATAGAGTAAACTTAAATGTTACCTTGGGGACGTGGATCAGGTGGGTTCCCTTGAGGTAATATTAGCGTAATATGAAACCCTCTCCTCAACTTACATAGTCCTTGCCTTCAGTTGGGGGTTCGAAGATTAGTATCCTCCAAACATTGACTTGTTTCATGGTCAAACTGTTATTTTGGGAGATGGTATATCCCAGTGTAACCCATTGAATATATTCCATTATAATAAAACTATAATGTGGTAAACCCAATAATATTCACCGGTTTATTTTTGGCTTTCCCACGTGATATCCCAAAAAATATCCCTCCATCCCACTACCCATTATATTCCATCATTATAATATTATATTACCCATTGTATTCCATTGTAAAATCGCTCTATCCCATGAAATCCCACTATGAACCCATGAATTTTCAACCCAGGGTAGCAATTGCCTCAGCATGGCCTCCATCTCCATCCAAAACAAAAACGTGTCAAGGTACGGAGCCGCGCGCTTTAAGAGCTCCAAGCTGCGCAAAGACCAATACCTGATGCCATTCCAAATGCCCCGGTTTTTCCCATCTCAACAAGTACTAGTTGGTTGATAATGTGTTCCGTATATGGGTTATAAGTTGTAGTAATCCCCAAAAAGCCAGGTAGTAAAACTCCCCATAACCAATCAACAAAGATATGTTTAATCGTTCACCGTCCAAGCCCATGGTTTTACCCCCTGGTAATGGAACGTAGCAATTTTAACGGTCGCCCAGCAATATCGAAGGATGGACCCAGTTTACCTGTTGGAAATGGTGATCTTCCATAGCTAGGTTAGGTTTCGAGAGGCTTTCTGCTTCCTGAAATCTCCTGAAATCCCAGATGTGTTGCTGGGTGAAATCTCAGTTGCGCTCCTGAAATCCCTCTAGATTGGGCACGTGCCCCGGGTCGAAACGTGTTTTGACACTCTCAGAAAATTATACGATTATCCTTCGTAACTTCAGTCCCCTGAAGAACTATTTGTCATTCAGTCTTTGAGGATACCCAGGAAAGGATGAACACCACGAAAGAAATGGCTGAAACCACCCATCTGAAATGAGGCCTACCCATCTGGTATGTCAATTGGCAGTTATAAATCACAAACAACAAGAACGAGTTAATACCAACAAGAAAAGAAAGACAATGAAGGTGAACACATAATGAACAACAGCATAAATGTCAAAGAACAAACAAAGACAATAAGGGCACTTGCTGAGCCACCCCTCAAACAACGATGTTCGCATATGAACAAATCATACAGAATAAGTGGTGGAACTAAGAAAACGGTGAACTACAGTTTGTATAGCTACACATCTTTGGCCAAAACATGTAGATAAGAAAAATAGAAACTCTTCGCATGCCAGCAGGCTGAATGTTTAGTGGTTGAAACATTCCGCATCATAATCCCAGAAATTAAAACACATCTCAAACCAACGACAAATTTAGGATCTGATGACAGCCAAAACCACCGATTCTTAATCAACAATCGATAAAATCCGCACGTGACAGCGAAATCTTGCATTGCTCTGTGGGTATCATGGCTAAATTGAAAATAAAATACCCCACTAAACAGTATTTGTGCAATGTGGGTAAAACAATAATAAACCATCCCCCAAATCACCATAAATAGGTGGTATAAACTATTCCCAGATCGGTCGTTTATTCTTGTTCTTCCCACATTATAGAGGTTATGTTGTAATCCAAGAAAACCGATGAGTTCCGAGTCGCTTTACCAAAACTTTGGCTTATTTTTCCCATGACAGCCCTTTTGACAACTCACAGCCAAGCAGCAATGCGACCTAGCAGGGGATCTGGGGTCGCGGGATCCCCCAAAAAAACCCATGGGCTTTAACCACACTTTTTGCTGGTCGAATGACTCTAATGACTTCGATGATTGGTCCCGGGGTACCACCATGACTTTGGAAACTTCAAATTGAATGTGCCTCTGAATTCTAGAAGATTTGCCACTTGAAACAAATATGTCAATATGACTCAATAGCATGTTTGTTCGCACGGACACTCATCATATTCTGATACTTGTATAATATGTATATATATAACATGAAATGTCAAGAAACCAAAGGTTTTGGCAATCTATCCTGCACACACACACACACATTAACAGTAAAAAAACTGTATGTTCAGTTTGTTTTATGTGGACCTACGTCCGTACGTTGGCGAACTAACGCGTAAGCAAAAGCAACCAATCCCAAACAACAGTCATAATGGATCAGCCCCAAAAGTGAACAATGATGTTGAAAACCTGTGGCGTCACATTCAGAAGACTATCTACAAATGGTTTTCCACATCGAACTGTTGGTTTATCTTAGGGTATATAATATATCTGATGGTATATGTAAATATATATATATATACATATATATATATAGATTTGCAACTCACTCGGCAAGTGATTCATCTTTCATGTTGGTAGTTCAATTCGCCTTCCCTTGGTGACCCACTATAATGAGGATGAACGCCCCGTTTTGCCTATCCTGGCATGAACTGAGAGTTTACTTGAAACAACTATCTTTAATGAACAAAATGAAGATACTCAATCGACCTTGTTTAAACATCTATGGCTTACAATGTCTGACATTAGATCATGTACTTTTCACCACTTAATCAATTATATTTTGTCTTAATATACATCTGAGTATATAAATCTCTAGAAAATTATCTATTAGTCATTCTATGTCTATATACATAGTCTACATACACAAATCATTTTTTCAAACCACATTTTTCACCCACGCATTTTTGGGGTTTCAACCCATGATTTTTCTCCCACCTTTCGCCCGGAGATGTCACTGGCAGCTTTGGCCAAGGACAGGCCAGGGGTGATGCCGACACCTGACAGCTAGACGAATCACCCGCAGCTATGGCAGGTGTGGCAGCTATGGCAGGTATGGCAGCTATGGTTGGTATGGCAGGTATGGTTAAGGTATGGTTAAGGTATGGTTAAGGTATGGTTAAGGTATGGTTAAGGTATGGTTAAGGTATGGTTAAGGTATGGTTAAGGTATGGTTAAGGTATGGTTAAGGTATGGTTAAGGTGGTTTGGTCTCCAAAAATATGACCTATCTGAAGCTATCTGGTGAGTGAAACCAGATGGATATCTGAAGCTATCTGGATCTATGGACATCATCCCCAGGATTTATGATGATCGATATATCGATCATTTTCTGGTGGCTGGTTTCAACCAACCCCTCTGAAAAATGATGGAGTGTGTCAGTTGGGATCATGGAAATTCCCAAGTGAATGGAAAAATAAAACATGTTCCAAACCACCAACCAGGTATGTGTGGGAATGCTTAGGCTGATTTCATAATGATTGTAAATGTCATGACATGTCATGAATATATATATATATATATGTATATAAATATATATATATATATATTACTGGCAAACCTATTGATGTCGGAATGGTGGAGTTGATTTCATGATATATTTCCCCGAATTTCACCGTGGTTCTATAGGAGTTACTTCAGTCCATTTATAACTGATTGTTAAGGAACTCAGTCCAAAAAAACTTATCGAACAAATGTTGGGGGATGAGACCAACTCAGATTAACCTCGGGATATAGTCAGAATATTATGGAGATACAATTTGATATGATGGAATGTAGCGGAATGTAATGGAATGAAGGGAATATATATATGTGTAATATAATAATAAATATATATAATATAATATAATACAATATAATATAATATAATATAATGTATCTATACATGTATTATATATACATATCATGGAATATCATTGGATCGCCTCGGTGGTTTGTTGATCCCACACAACGTTATTAGTATTGAGCGACAGTAGGTACAGCAAGCCTGGTAAGCCACAAAATCAAGTGGTTGAAATCACCAACCAAATCATGATATGGCAATGAACATCAGAAGGCACTACAAAAAACAAATGAATCTGAGTCATTTAGGGGATTCGGTTAGTTGGGGGACTTGCTACCCATGGGTTTTAGGCCACTCACAATCCATGGATAGAAATCATCAGAATGTACGAAACCCTCTGAGCAACATTGAACAAACGGTGACCCCTTAACAAGGAGGAAAACAATGGTATCGGAACAGTTTCAGTAATCCCTAGCATCGCAGTGCTTTTACATATACAGGTTGAAGGGTGATCCACCAATCTATCAACAAGTTATCAACAAGTGGCAGGGCCTCCATGTAACATTAGAAACCACCAAGTTCCAGCACAAACAATGACTCCGCTCACAACCTCTATATATGCAACCTTACGAACATCATACACCTTCACCTTCCGACCCCCAAAAAAGGGGTGAACCGGGGAACCCAATAAATGGCGAAATTTAGTATACCATGATATACTGCAAAACCATCAACTCTCAAATCCTTTTTTCCTTACTGGTTGGTGGTTTCAACCCCTCTGAAAAATATTAGTCAGTTGGGATGATGAAATTCCCAATATGGAAAAATAAAAAATGTAACCACCAACCAGCTTACTGTATATAGTGAGACCTGAAAAGTCTCAAGACGCCTCCAAAGACAAAGACAGTTCGCTGCATACCTTTCGCTGGTACACAAGGAAGACCGTGCGGACCCTGCGGCAGAGATGTGATTGCTACCTTGACCCGCAAAGCCACGATATTTTTTCAAAAACATCCGTTTTGGGGGGTGGGAAACTGGATAAAACACACGTGACTTGTTGATGGTTTGATCATCCCAACTGGCACCGGATCGCATGGCTAGGTGATACGGGGACCCTCCAGGAGCCAAAAATCATCTTTCATCCATATCTGGGTAAATTATCACAATTACCCTCTGGTAATTTAACATAGCTATGGAAAATCACCATGTTTAAATGGAAAATCCACTATAAATGGCCATTTTCAATAGCTATGTTAGTTTACCAGAGGGTAATCTGAAATGAACATGTTCCCTCGTATTTGCCAGACCACAAATAAACCTATTTTGGGGGCATAGTTATATATATATATATCCCTTCCTAACCATGATTCGAGTGAGGTCACAGTGAGGTCACTATGATTATCTATAGTTCAGCCAGATTGGGCCATCATCCAGGATGAAAATCCCGAAATCCAGTCGTGGCCTAGATTTGATCCAGACTTGCTTCATGTTCAAACACAACCCCACTAGAATATGTATAATATATATATAATTTATATATATATAATTAATATATATATATATATATAATTAATATATATATAATTAATATATATATATAAATAGTTAATATATATATATATATATATACATAGTTAATATATATATATAATTAATATATACATATATAATTAATATATACATATATCTTCAATTTCTATATAAGATTGAGATAGTATATTCTTCCGTGTCTTTTATCTTAGTTTCATAGTGTTTCATGTGTTGGAGGAAATCATAGTTTTCATCTGAGTTGTTTCAAACATGTTCCGATGTTAGCGCTGCCACCTCCAACTTCATCGGAGGCGCGGTGCCACCCTCGGAGCGGTGCCAGGCACCAGGCAGCGCTTTTCGTAAGGATGATCCAAGATATGTGAGATATGTGAGCAGTGAAACAATCATAGACCATATATATATATTGATGGCTTGCATACCAACCATAGATAAATAGTAAATTTGAAGATGGTTTACTATTGCTTCACTTACAGAAACAATGACCCCAAGATATGGCCCAGGCCAGCCATGTTGATACGCCAGTTAAGCTGTTGTATCACAACTGTCTGATGGGTAAGTTCCCCTTTTTTCGCTGGAAATGTGCAGATATTTGGCGTTGCTCGGTTTGGACAATAGCCATGTATTTTGGAGCGATGCCCCACTCTGAGACTAAGTCGGGTATATGTTGGTCCATGTACTGATATCCCAAAAATGTTCAAAACATATTGTTTTGTTATGCCTTTTAACACTGCATTTTCTCCAGAAAAAAAACTCCACCAATAATAACAACTATCATTGTTTAGAAACAAAAATAACCACATTCCTCCAGTCATCCAGCATGTTTATCCAGGCAAACCCATAATATCCTGATTAATGATGATTAATGTACGAATTCACCAACCTGAAAAAAAGAAAACGACGGCATATAAAGGCCATGTTGGGAAAGTCACCCTTACTAAACCATCATGTTTCTATATGTTTCTATCACCGTGAGATCCTTGAAAATCCCCAGGCACTGCACAAGCTTTGGCCAGCTTGGCGGTAAAGCCGCTACGATTAATCTTCATGAAGATCCTGGAGTTGGCTTGTGACTTTGGCGAAAATCATTGTGATTTAACGAACACTATATCGATTTGATGGGATATCCTACGAAATATACCCTATGGATCCCTATGGCTGTTTAACATAGCACTTATGATAACCTCTCCATGTTCAGGTAAGTAAATATAGGTAAATCATCCACAAATGGACCATTTCCCATAGCAATATACTAAACTACTACCGTTGTGTAATGGAATAGACTGGGATACTGACCAACACGCTTTGGGTTTGATACCTGAAAATCTTTCCCTACTGTAATGGCAATAACTTCGGGGTATACCCTTCTTTCAGACACACCGTCACCAAAAGAATGCTACAAATGTGACGGTAGTGTGACCGATTTCTTGAAGATGTTCCATCAATTTATGGTCATGAATGAATGGACACCTAGATGGTGTTGAACCACAATTTTCGAGGTGCCCCATGTTACCCTGTATTTGGTTTGGACCAAAATGGCTCATGGCTCTGGCAACTTGCCACAGGAGGGGAAGACTACTTGTTGGATCGGCCACTTTTGGACAGACTTGCAGCCAACAAGCGAAGTGCCAAATGTCGGGCTTGAGATCTACAGTTTTTCAAGACTTCATCTTGAAATGCCAAGAATTACCCATCTATATCAATTCTATATCCATATATGGGCCAAAACCCATGAAATCCCCTGGCCCCGATTCTTTTCACAGCACAATCGCTAGGATTCCCAGGGCTTCATCCCTCCAAAGTCCAGCACCTGACGTTGGAGTCTCCATCGCCCGGAACCAGGGTGAAGGGATGGGGTACGGAGCCCAGGCTGGGCACCGTCAAATGGCCCCACTGCCCGGCTTTGAAGCTGAAGTTCGGCACATGCCTCGGCCATCGGTTTTGGCTGATGGTCAAAGTACAGTACTTGGACTGTTTTGGGTGATGAGTTTCATTCTTGTGGTTACACACATTTTTTAATACTAGAATTGGTTATTAGAATGTTATTACATCTTTGCACAATGATATATAAATAATTATATTATATTATATAAATTATATAAATATAATACACTATAATACAGAGATGCTATGATTAAATCCGATGGTCTACCGCCATGATTGGATCCAGGATGATGTTTAAGATCTGGAAATCGGGAATGTCTATGGATGTCTCCCCAAAAAAAACAAGTGTCTTATAGTCTTATAGCGTCTTGGACATGTTTGGAACGGCTTCAGGTTTTTCGGTTAGGAATAAAGTTGAGGTCATCCCCAGTGCCCCTCGCAATCTGTTCCATGGCCCATCGACCCAAGGGGGCACATATTGATCGAAACAGCAACAGAAACCGTGAAAAGGTCACAGCGGCTGTGACCCCAACTCATCCCAACTGTCAGAATTTGTTCTGGTGGTATACCTACCCCTCTGAAAAATATGAAGGTCAGTTGGGATGGTTATTCTCAATATATATATATATAGAAAAAAACAAGTTCCAAACCACCAACCAGTGTTTTTTTTGCGCCAAGCTTCATGTTGAGGAACAAATGCTGCCCTAAGTTTCAGGACACGTCCAGCCCCGATGGGCCTATAAAATTTCACCAGGCTTTCGTTGGGGGAAGGGATCAATTTCATCATTTCAACAAAAGGTGAGTCTCAATTCCAATGGATTAGTCTCATTCTCCCCAATAGAAACATGCTCATTTGGAGGCAATATACTTCATTCGCTCGGTACCTTGGTGGGCCGTTCATCATTGCTGCTTCTGAGTTTCAGGGTGAAATGCATTAAACGAGTGACTAGAACTATGAAGCATTGGAAGAAAGGTTGGTGGCTTCAAAAAATCTGAACATGAGTGAACTGGTATCATCATCCTAGGTAGGCCTCTTGTTTGAATAAAACCAGCAACCAGAAGAATATGTTTCGCAGAGATGAGAGAACTCCTCACAGCATCGTGTGACCATAAACCCAAGTCTGAGATTCCACCAGTCTCATCCACCAATTCCAAGGACTTGGTTTCAACCTTTCCCGCGGTCGCCTGTGACAGCGTGACATGGGGTCCTCAAAGGATCGAACCAGGTACTCTACCGTGGCTTTGGACAAAGAACGTTTGAGAATGTGATCCCTGGGTCCCTCGAACTTTGGATATCATGAAAGACCATGATATACCATGTTGCATCATGATTCAACACAGTGGACCGTCCCAAACGACCAGCCTTCACCCAAATCTTTTGAACGAAGAAGAGGAGCAACGCAAGTCCATTTGCTCCTGTGCTGGTACGGCACTGCATCACCATGGTGCATGTTTCATATGTTTCCTGCATCTCCCAAGGGCAGAGAGAATGGGATATCTGCATCAGGCAATTCAGACAATGTTTGGGAGCTAGGAAAGGGTGGGGGGATACAGGATCATTTGATCATCCAGAGTTTGGAGAAAGTAAGAATTGAATCAGAACACTATCCTGGTGGCAATTTCTAGCATCCCAGCGAACGTATGACAGCGACTATCATCATTGAAACCCCAGCCACTCTTTCCCACTAAACTCTTCACACCCAAAGAAAGAGATACGGAAAAGCAAATTGTACACTGAGAGATTTTCTACCAGTAAAATCAAGTATAACAATGAAACTTCGGCTGCTTGTGACACTTTTAACAAACACATTTTGTCCATGTTTGACCACCCAAATTTCTCCTGAACCCCATCTTGCAGGTTCGAGACGCTAGAACAAAAACCACACTTCCAAAGGTTTTCAGTGCAGCACGCATTCTTCATTATCTTGCTGAGAATTAAGGACAAGTCATGGGTTTAACCAATATTTAACTAATCTTCAATATATATATATATATGATTATATATGGTGGTTCCCAAAATGGGGGTACCCCATTTTTCATCCATTTTTAGATTGGGATTTTCCATGAAATAAATTGAAATAAACCATCCAGCTATTGGGGTAGCGTAGGAAACCTCCATGCGGCGGAAAAAAAGGATCCTGCGACTGCGATAGCTGCCACGGACTGCAGGTACACTGCATGGCCAATCCTCGATGGCATGGTGAGACTCGGCACCCCACCGTCCGTCAAAATCCTTATGATTTGGGCAAATTATAATAATTCACTAATCTGAATTAAGGCCATTCAATTGGGGATGATTCCCCTTACTAACCATGATTTCCAGTGAGGTCGTAGTGAGGTCGTTATAATTTACCCAGTTATGATCCTTCTGGATTGCGCCACTAAAGTGACAACATCACGGACTACCCGGCTCGGACCGCAAGAGCAGTTGGTGATTCATCTGTCTTGAGAAGTTGGGATATCACCGATACCTGGTTGGTGGTATACCTACCCCTCTGAAAAATATGAAAGTCAGTTGGGATTTTTATTCCCAATATATGGAAAGTCATAAAAAATGTTCCAAACCACCAACCAGGATACAGTACAAGACCAAGAATTATGACCAACAATTTCTTAGATCGGAACTGCATGCCTCAACTAAACCATGAAACCGTGGATAAAATGATATGAAATGTGCTTCCGAAGCCTCGATTCTGGCTATTCATGCAACTCATCCCAGCAATATACTGTGGATGAGAATGAGAAGTGGTCTTCTTGGTTATCATAAGTTATCATGCATGGTTTTCAATATAGGGACCAAAGCCACACGTCACAGAACCTGTTGAAGGTCACCCCAGCAGGCCGTAAATCACATGTTGTGGGCATGGCTTTGCATCTACCGAGATCAAAAAGAGGCCAATCCTTGAGTGATACCGTTGGAGTCGGGAATTTCAAACCATAGACGAAACGGGCAATTATAGACAAAACAGGCAATTTCCAGTCCAACTCCAACATTTCATTGATGCTTCATCTGAACAGACTTGTCACCCCTCAGCACCTCCCAATTTTGTTGCACACTGTACGCAAGGTGACAGACATTATAAAAGCTGCAAGGATAAACATTGGAATATCATGGGTTTTCTTCTCATCAACAGACCTGGTTGAAGGATGTTAAAGGTAAGAATTGATATAGTTTTTTTTGTTTGGATGAGATACAGATTGATACAGTAGCCAGTGGTCTCCGGATCTTTCCGGATGTTTCCTCGATCTTCAGATCCCATCGCCATGGCACATGTGAATGAAGCAAAGCAGGTAGCCCCAAAAACTCATGAAGTGTATCAACTTGAACTTGTCATAGTGCCTTAAAAGGCGGCCACGGGTCCAAGGGTAAAAAGGGTCGCTTGTTTAAGGGAGGAACGAGTGGGTAAACTTCAAGTTATGGGTCCACGAAGTCTAGGAGCTTGGATACTTTGTCGAGCAAACAATTCTAGACACTTAGACAACTCTAAGTTATCTGGGCATTGCTTCAAACAAATCACTGCGAGCTGATCAGCTAAGGTTTTGACTTTTGACTGGAGGGTGTGGATACTTCAAGATTTCTTTGACAACGGTTGGTGCAAAATGGATGAAGAACGGCCAGCCTGCACTGTCTGACGAACGCATCTTTTTTCGGGTCCTACAATGAATCACCTTGGTGCTGCATAAAGTGTTTTTTGTGTTTTTTGATTTGTGCGCAACTTCCTTGTAAAATGCATGTACCCTCTGGTAATTTAACATAATTAGCCATCGAAAATGGCCCATTTATAGATGATTTTCCCATTAAAACTTCCATTTATGAGGGATTTTCCATGGCTATGTTAAATAACCAGATGGTACTGTAATCTACTCATCTTGCACATAGGAACATAATTCTTTGGGACCGTCACTTAGATGCCTTGATGATGCCCAATGGGCAAGGCGACTGTCGATATCAATCATGGCTGGTGGGCGGTGCCAACCCATCAGAAAAAAAAACTACGTATTCAACAATAAGAGCAAGTGAGAAATCCACGATTTAACTCCACCTGTGGGAAAAAAAAACTACGACCCATATCACTATAATGTAAGATGTTTTTTTGAGATGGACTTGCCTCAGCCACCCTTATTCTCAATTCCAAGTTGCACCAGATGGGCAGGCAACACGCCAAAAATCATCAAGATAAGCCCGATGAAACCTCAGCGCCCCAGGCGTTAACGGTGCCAATCATGGGCCACTGACATGTGGCAAAACTGTTGCCCCAAATCACCAAAAAAATAATCAAGGTAAGAAACACATAGAACACATATAGGAAAATGAGCATTCAATTTGCTGGCAAATGGTTCACAATGCTCTTTGGTTTCCCTCTGACACGAGAACCATGGAACTGCTTTGCAACTGTCACTCCCTTTCCTTTTTTTGCCTATATAATGGAGCAATTTGAGTAGCAGTGCAGTTGTTTGCTGTTCCATTTCACCATTTCACCACCCCCGACCTGCCCTCTGGTTTTCCATATACCCAGCTTTGTCATGAATATGCTCAGGTTCAACATGGTGCCCCCACTTAGGTAACTTGGTTTCAAGCCAGGCTAACTGTTGGCTTTATAAGGGATGTAGCTATATTACTTAACATTACTTATTATAACTGGGCTAACAAACCAACATACATATCTGAGCCCGCAAAATTTGCAGGCAATTTACCTAGATTTGTCACACCCTTAAGCAAGTGATCCCAGTGATCCCAGAATTTTCCCCAAAAAAAACCATTGGTTTTCCATAGATTTACCATCTTTCCATATCTAAAGCCATCCACGACATCCACCGGTCCGATCAGAAACCCAGTAGGAAGTGCCACTCGGTGAAAACTTGCCTCTCCACCTGGATGAAGGCGAACACGCCATGGACCTGAGACGATTTGCCGAAGATCTGGGGAAAGCGGGTTGTTTAACCAGTTGAATTCAACTATGTTTAACCAACTAACATGTTTAACCAACAACGTAACCAACTAACATTTAAACCAACTGACATTTACTATAGTTGAACCAACAACGATGTTTAAACATGTTAACCAACTAACATGTAAAGCGTTGTTGAATTCAACTTTGCCGAAGCAATGTCACAAATCGGGTGGAACATGATTTCTGAACATCGCCAGCCACAACACAACAGCCACTGCTGCCACTACCTCCGCCAGGAAGCAATACCCACCACCAGGGTCAGCATGCCGATCACTGCATGGATTCGCCACGCTGCCTCTCTGGTCATCTGCAAAACGTCGTGCGCGCCCAACTTGAAGAAGGACCACCTGGGATGGAGATGTTTCGTGGAACCTCAAAATACTTCAAGCATGTGCATACTATATATATATATATATACACAGACTATAATATATATATATATATATCGTGGAAGTTAACATGTGGCCAGGTCGACTATAATTTGTATACCAAGTAGATATTGTCAGGACATATATTGTGATATATTGTGTATGTAATAAAACATATTGAGGCGTCTGCAAGAACACATGCGGCCCTTCGTTTGCCGTGCCATCTGGGGCATTGTGCCGACTTGCGGGGACTTCTTTTGGTTGCTGCTGGCTAAAAAAATCTGATATCAAACCTGTTGATGAAGCATGGTGTGCCCGCAACCTGATTGTGCATATCACATTCAAAGAAACTGCAGAAGAACATATGGTGGACAAGAGGCAGGGATCGGCAAACAATAATATAAATAGTAGTGCAACTAAAATGTGTTCAGTGTTTATCTTGACTTGAACACTTCGGGCTCAGGTAAAAATGATATTAATGTTGGACCGCGGTCTCAAACTCTCAAAGCATTGTAACCTTCAGTTGCTTCATGTTTATAAAATCTGGCTGGTGGTATACCTACCCCTCTGAAAATTGATGGAGTGAAAGTCAGTTGGGATGATGAAATTCCGAATATGATGGGAAAGTCATTCAAAATTCCATGGTTCTCAACCACCAACCAAAGGTTATTAACCATCATTAACCATATATTAACCATGTATTAACCATATATTAACCATATATTAACCATATATTAACCATATATTAACCATATATTAACCATATATTAACCATATATTAACCATATATTAACCATATATTATAGACATCCCAAGTGACCAAAATATTAGGTTCTCATGGGATCATAGCTGAGCGGCACCAGCGTGAGGGCAGTGCCGAGTCCAGCGGCTATGCCAGTGGACTTGTAGCTATTCCTCAGGGACTTCACAGTGAAAGATAGCGGACGTCATGGTGAAAAACCACCAGGAAAAAAAAAAACAACGTCTTCTGTGAACTGTTCCCTTAAACATCCAAACAAACCAACTCTTGGAAAATTCCTGAGGAATTATTTATATATTATATATATATTTAAACAGGAGTCCTGGTCTTGGGCTTTCCCAACTCTCAAGTCGTCGCCCATCTTAATGCTTAAACAGTTCCCTGTCATCTTCCCTGATCTCAAAGCGATTTGCTGCTCAACATAGCAACTAATTCTCTTCATAATCAAATCAAATGGTTGTCATTGTGCTGTCTTAGTAATCGGTTTCATGTTGTGTTCTTTCAAAATTAAGATGCTTGTCAAAATACCAGCAAACGAAACCCGGGTCTAGCGTCGATCTATTTATGAACTGGGGTCCCGAAAATTGGGGAAGTTGTGCATATGATCGGGTTATGGATTATTAAATCAGATACCAGGGGTCCCATGGAATTAGGTTTTATCACATGTAATCAGCATTATTCAGATCATGTGAAATTCATTTAGCATTTCACCAGAAACATGTTTGCCAACTTATGGATAGCGATAACATAATAGTTATGCAAACGAAACACGTAGTGCAATTTTTATTATATATAAAGGACAAAAGCAGCAGCAACAACAACAACAACAACATAGTAATAACATAACTAATCACAGCAACTAGTATTTTTATCCTTAAAACATATGATTAGTTTTATATTTCTATATCATTAGCATGCTACTATCATCATCATTACTAGATATACATATAAGAACTTCTCATCACTTTTCGCCAGCCCAAATATGAAGAAATTTGCGACCGGTAGCGGAAGGCAGCACGCCGCCACCACTGCGATGATTACGGCAAGGATGCCCATCACATTGGCTGGAGTCCATTGCTTTGGACCTCGAAAAATCGCGAACATCTTTTTCGAGGTCTCGAAACATAACTGCAGGAAACAACACAGGTCACATTTTGGGATGCATTTACATGTGTATATATATATATATAAGTATGTGTACTGCAGTATGTATATATATATATATATATATGCGTAAGTGGAGTATGATTGGCAGCCCCAAGGGCTAGTACGTAATGCCACCGGAGGCAATCACACTGTGATTCTCTTCAGTCGAGTGGGTGGGCAAAACCAACCAAAGATTTCACAGCACATATATATATATATGTGTTCATATGTACATACCTGTCCTCGTGATTGTCTATATGTCACAAGATATCCGAGATCTCTGTACATCTTTTTTATATCCCCGGACTTCAGCGGCACCTGGTTTGAACCAAAGCCTTGCACAGCTGCCAGTACAGCAAAGGGAGAAGAGCATACCCATCAGCGCCTGGGAACTCCACCAGGATGCCAGGACGATTCCGAGAAAAACCCTCATGTGAAAATATTGAGCAGAAAGCACCGTGGTGGTGTTAAGCCAACCAAAATCATTGCATTATAATAGGACGCATATATATATGATACAATTTAATGCGTATAAACAGTGTGTATATATATAAAGCTTTATTACAAACTGTATAAGCATATAGATAAGGAAATGGTATACATATACGTATATGTACATGTGACCAATAATATTATCAAGGCTTGCCCGGAAAAATGATTTACCCCCTTATGGGCACAATGGTTCTATGAATTTTATCAACCATCGGGTAACCTATTGTCAAACAAACCCGTTTTTTTTAATTAGTGTCAATTACCCTCTCGTAAACTAACATAGCTATTGAAAATCACTCTTTAATAGGTAATTCAACTCTAAATGGGCCATTTTCAATAGCTATGTTAACTTACCAGAGGGTATGGTAACTGAAATGTCAACCAAGGGGGATATACCGCAATTACTCACCAACCATCAGGCTCTTGAGGTCCATCCGCCTCCTAAGAATGAACGGTCGCCAGCAATCCTGTATGCTCTTAGACAAAGAACATGTTGGGCCTACTTGGGTATGTCCAAGACTGGGATGCCCCCAAGTTGAAGAGTTTATCATGTTCCGTATTCAAGTGGCAACCAGGTTCAAGCAAGTTGACCCACTTGGAACAGTGTTCAAATTCTCTGTCAATCCATTTAGAAGAACGGGATTTCCAGTTCATCACAACAATCCGCGACAATGCCACCCAATAAATCGCCACTCAAATAGGTTGACTGGTCACTGCTGATATACCTACAGTATACATGTTGTTTCCTTTTTTGATTATCTAAGTATATATATATATATGTTTTATACATACAATGATCAGGTGCTGGGATTACACCAGCGGGGGCAGTTCCAGTGAACCGAACATTTAATCCTGGTTGGTTTATAGGGATTCCCCGTTCTTAGGTTATTGTAATCCCCAATATATGAAGGGTAGTATAATCTCCTATAATCATCAACCAACAGGGGTTTACACCAACAGGGGTTTACCCAGATTAATGGTTAATATATATATATATATATATAGCTGATAATATGGTTAATAGTTGATAATATGGTTAATATATGGTTAATAATATATATATATGGTTTTCACGCTGAACCTTATGGTTTTGAGCCCCAGAAGCTACGAAGAAGAGGGCAGCAACGAGGCCAATTGTGCCACTGTCCAAAATTTCAGCATCCTCAGCCGCGTTCAAAAGCTGCGCCGGTTGGGCCATGGAGATGCACTATCCAATATGAACAGGGGACTATTTTTCAAAATCATGGGATAAACATCATATTTCAATGATCTCAATGGCGATGATTATTTTTCATGAACAAAATGAGATCTCGGAACGAAAATCATGGGATTGATGGTTTCAATGCCCATGAAGAATAGGAACGTCCATGAGGAATCTCATCCGAAGATGGAAATTCAAGATGCCACGTCACACACCCGGAATAACCATTAAACTGGTTGATGTTCATCCATCCTGGAAGGCTGCAATCATCGCCGCTTCAAGATATTTTTTGGTCGAAACATCATCTGAAAAAATCATGGAAACTTTGAAAATATATAACCACACTTAATAACAATATAATATACGGTATGTATGTATGTATGTATCTATGTATGTATGTATGTATGTATGTATGTATGTATGTGTATATACATATATTATATATATATGTAGCTTGCAAGCCGAAGAGAACCACACAATGTGTGCTTAAAGTATTTACAGACGCATGCAAACAGGAACACATGACCAAATGTGCTGAGTGTTGGCTCTGTTCAAACCTGTGCTGCAAGCCTTTGCCAGGCATTTCCGGTGACGTCAACGTTGAGCTGGTTCAGATCTTCTATTCTTGCTCCACAATCCAGGACACTCAGATCTCTTACAGTAATTGAGACAAAATGCAAAAACAAAGCACAACAGAGTTGTTGGTGCAATACTATATATATATAATTATATATGACAACAAATATCACATTATCCTTTCTGTATCAACATACAAAAGTACATTTCATTCTATCCAAATTAACGTTGGTTCAACACACAATTTTGCAAAAGCACAATATTATGCATATATGCTCACATTATATGCATTACATATAAATACTATGTATCATAGAAACAAAAATCATATAATTGAAACAATATACAACATGTGGTACATACATGATACATATGAGGTATATATTTATATGGTATTAAGATATAAAATAAGCGTAGATGCATGCATACATAGATAGATATTTAGATAAACAAATATACACATAGACAAACAGACAGACAGACATGTAGATAAAGAATATATATATATAGATAGATCGATCGAGATAGATAGATAGATAGATCGATAGATAGATCGATAGATAGATCGATAGAGATAGATAGATAGATCGATAGATCGATAGATAGATAGATCGATAGATAGATAGATAGATACATAGATAGATAAGATAGATAGAAAGATAGAAAAAAAGATAGATAGATAGATAGATAGATAGATAGATAGGTAGGTAGGTAGGTAGGTAGATAGATAGATTGATAGATAGATAGATAGATAAATAGATATATATATATATATCAAACCAAATAAGCACACACATACACACATACAAACATACAACCATACATTATGGATACATATATGTGTATACATAGATACATATATACATAGATACATAAATACATATAAACATAGATGCATAAATACATCTAATAGATACATAGGTAGATACAGAGATACATACATTCATACATACGTACATATATATATAGATATATATATAAATAAAACCCAAATGTGTATGTATTTAAATACATATATATATATATGTGATAATATGATGAATACAAATATACTGTATCATGTACAAAACCAATGACCCAAAACGTGCACTGCCAAAGAAAGTGTCAACACTTTCCGGCTTCACCCGAGACTCTGTGGGACCATCCGTGGTTGGAATCACCAAATCGACCAGGCCCCCACAGATGCTGGCGGCGTCTGGGCCGTTCGGATCTGCACCTTCCGTTGGAACTGAATGCCAGGAGAAATATATGAAATATGGAAAAGTAGTGGACTGTAGATGTATATATGGTCTCGTGTTCCGTGTTCCTACCCCCCCAATGGTATGGGTCCCCAGGTAGCACCCCCTTCCCTTCTATTTGCAAGCTATTGGCAGCATTTCTAAGGTCCAGCCTCGTATTTTCCAGGTCTTTGCAGCATTTCTGATGCTACCTTTTAGACGACCTACGTAGCACACATACTCCAAAGTACCTACGTGCTACCTATAGTCATATATACATGTGCTAATCTACTTCCTATTTACTACCTGTGTACTCTCACAACACTAAATGTGTTTAACATATACCGTACCTACCATACATTCCAATGATACCATACATACCATAAGAACTTTGACCATACATACCATACCTATCATACCTATCATACATACCACACATACCATACATATGAAACATAATTACCACACCTACCACACATACAATACCAAACATACCTGCCATACATACCATATCTACCTTACATAGCAAACATTCCATACCCATCATAGTAACCATACATACCATACAGACCATACATACTGTCATATCAAACATACCATACCCAACAGACTTACATACTACCATACCTACCATCCATACAATACCAACCATTCATGCCATACATACCATAACTGCCATACCTACAAAACATAGCATACATTCCAAACATACCATACCAACCATACATGCCAAACATACCATACATATCAAAGATACCGTACATCAAATAAATACATACCATACTCACCATACTCACCATACCCACCAGGAGGGGGACAGTACCACATGTCCACCACACCACAGGGGGGGAGGGGGACAGTACTATGGCTGACCCATGACCATGGCCGGGGGGGAGGGGGTTGGAACGCTGGACCATATATATATATACACATACATACATGTATATATATATATTCATATATATATATATGTAAAATGTATGTAGAATATTCATATATATATATACAATTCATATACATAAATGGAAAGATAATATATATATATACATAAGTATATACATAAGTATATACATAAGTATATACATAAGTATATGCATAAGTATATGCATAAGTAAATATATGTATATATACATATAAAACAAATATACTATATTTCAATATATCAAATTGCATAGAATACACATATATCATTTTAATTTGTTTCTATATTACTTTTACTATAAAATGATAAATTATGTTGTACTATATATTGTATTATACTATATTTTATTATATTATATTATATTGTATCATATTATATGATTCTGTGCTATATTGTTTCATTAAGTTGTAATGTACTATGTTATATTATATGCTATATTGAGGAAACATATTGTATTATATCATATTATATTATATTGTATTGTATTGTTGTGCATTAAATTGTATTGTATTAATATAAACAATGAAATATATCATATTTAAATATATATTGTTATATGAAATTTTATTACAGTACATTTGATTATGCTATATTAAAATCATTATATTATGTTATATTATATTGTTTAATATTAAATGATATAATATTATGTTTTTTGAAGCATATCAAATAACATCACATTAATTATATAATATCAAATGAATTTACATAGTGTATTCTTACTCTAAAATATTTAATCAAGCTCAAACACCACAAGAAACAAGTATTATACAATATGTATTACGATTATTCCGTGTGAATATACACACGTGCGTCATACATGTATTGGAGGAATCATTAGAAATAAAACGTCTGAGAATTGGCTTTCGAACCCAGTCTTGGGTGATTTACCCCAATTTATGACCATCAAATTGGTGGATGGAACAGGGTATCCTATTTTCCAGACACATGGATCTGTATCACGGGGGCTACTAACTTCTGCCACTAGGCTCTGCGCACAGAAAACGCAAAAAACGAAAGGATCATCTCAAAATGGGCTTCCGCCGGGTACCTGCCATTCCCTCAGTCATCATCCAAAGTAGGATGGAAAGGCAAAAATCGTCGGAACCCCGATCGGCAGGTATGTACCCACTATATCCAGGGATCCATTTTTCTTCCATGATTATATATATATACGTATAAGACTACATGTTATTGTAGTCCTCTTCCCCAGGCTTGCTCCCAGCACCCCAGATACAAAGGCTGTTGAATGGCTAGGTAATTGTGGCTATGATTTACTTCTAATGGGGTGGAGCAACCCTGTTCCCCTAGTGAAAAGTGTTCCTGGAGGGACCACATTCCCAGGCATCCAGGGCTGAATGCTTCGAAGCTGCAGGAATAGTGACCAAAGGTATAGGTCCTGAGGACCACATGGTGAGATGGTTCAGTTTAAGTATGCTTAAGTTAAAAGAAAAAAACACCGGCAACTTCAAACACTTATTTTAGCCCTAAAACCAATGCTCCCTTCGCGGAAACACCGAGTTGCTGAGTACTGGTTGAATAGCCTGTTGCATCCAAGGTAAAGACACCTGGCGGAAAACTACCCTCCGGTGATTTAACATTGCTATCATTGCTATGGAAAACGGGTCCATGAATTGATGATTTGAGCCTCCAAAAAATGGTGATTGTCCATAGCTGTAGCTTCATTTACCAGAGTAGCGGGAAAGTATGGGACACTAATCTGACTAATGGGTGAGTTCTTCAGCTGCTTACAGGGTATGTTTTGAGAAACACTTCTGGTTTGTCCAAAACTGGAACTAACCCAGGAACAATGGACAATTCATGGGACATGACATAAGGAATGATAAGGAATGATAAGGATAGAGTGGGATATGTAATCAACGTAACTCCTGCCATGGTCAATTGACCATGCTGGGGAATAATCCCATTGGTCGTGCCTGTTGCATCCTACTGTTATGAATAGAACTTGGGGCACCAACATATCCAGCTAAATTGTTTTATGCATGCTTAAACTCACTTGGGGTTATGGTGAGTCTATGTGTGGATGGTTTTATCATGGTTTATGACTATGAGCTGCATGGGCATCCGATTTCTCCTCTACTGTGGTGAACATATATATAATATAAATGTATTTGTTTCTGGTACCCCTATATAATAACAACAATAATAATATAGAGCCACAATCGACAGGTCTCTGCCGATGCACAAGACTACAATTACTCCTGGATTGATACTGGATATATCTAGAGCTGAATAGGCTATCATAAGCCAATCCATTTCTTGGGGGATCCTTTGTATAGCACGAGTACACGTACAGAGATTCCTGAAACCTACCCACATCACGTAGGATTGGTGCCAAGGATATCAGTGCAAAATACTGCAAAAAACTGGCTGCCATCATAGAACATCTACTGGAAGATCTGGTCTTACGATCCAAAGGCTCCGTGTGTTTCTTATAATTCTTGAATTGTTACTTGGTATATGTTTTTCACATGTGTATATACTGTCTATATTAATCGGTACTGGAAACAACAGGCGAAAGCATGGTCTTGGGTCACCAGGACTAGAGTTTTTTTTAAACCTCTCAGTTGTTTTTTTGTTTGCAGGCCAATGCCAACTACCATAGCTGGGGACGGTTGTAATCTCACTTGACTTATTTGTGGTCATATTGGGGATGGTTTATAGCTGAACTTGCCACATTAATCACCAAGTCTTCACTAGAAGATCCACTGACAGATAAGTAGCTAGCGCAGGTGGTATCAGTCAATTATAACCCCGTTTATGGAATGATAATATCATTTAATTATAATTATCCTATTTCGATCTATTTTGACCATGTAGAATTGGTAAAGGGCTTTACCCTGCATCACCATGATTGTGTTTTCCTTGCTTTTTCGTGTCCGCGCCTCTAGGAGCTGCACACGGTAAACTTGATGCTAAGCTCTCAGATCATATGGCATGGTCTGTGGAGAAGATCCACCAGTGGCAGTTTGTTTGACAGACTTGGACAGTTCTGTATTAAAAAACACAGATATAAGAGATGCACAGTGTCGAAAAAATGCCGAAGCCAGTGCTTGAATTACAATAATCTTATCAAACAACATACTACGTGCGAACAATGATCCAGAAAATTAGACACGCTTGCAGGGTTTTGAGATGTTTCAGAGAGATCAATATATTGAAAATTCATGAAACCTTAAAAGGCGTCGCAATTTCATGATGGCCGGTTCAGGCCAATCCTAGGTATAGACTTTGTAAAAAGATATTGTGCTGCTGAGTTTGACTGATCTTCCCCCAAAAAAAGTACAGCACCAAAATAAGCTGTACTAGTGACCCCCACACTTGTACCTTGGCTTATTGCCTATAGATTACTATAGATCCAAGAAATAGATATCTTCCAGCATAGTTCACCATGGCTTAAGCTAACCCCAAATGATCCATGAGTCGACCACCGTTTTTTTGGTGCCTCGAACGCAAGCAGGGCCATAACCACAATAGGGCCACCAAAGCCCTCCCTGATCTGCTGTACACAACTGGGCGGCGGAAGATAAGCTTGAAACACCCTGGTCAACGAACATCAATGTGGGAAACCTCAGAGTTATGGCCCAACTAACAGTTATGTTATAAAGGTATAAATGGAATAAAATAACTCCTAGAACTAAGGTTATATTTATAGCTGTTTTGGGCCATAACTGCATGGTTTCCCGTTCACAAAATGATCTCCAAAAGGTGGCTTTTCCACATCATTGTTAGTTTACAGGAGGGTAACTTGCAGTTGGGTTTGCCTGAAGATTTTGGAAGATACACTGGAGTTTGATGCTTCTTCATCATGTTCCTTACTTGAATGGCTGAATCATAGCTTTTTTGACAAACCTGTTGATGTCGGAATTTTACGTCGTCACCGAAGCTGGGGTATGTCCTACACATTGGAACCTGAAACATCTACTTACCGGAGATAACAAATAAGATATTGCTGATTTGGGGATACCATTCATTTGAGGCTAGGGTGATTTGCAGGAGAATTGCATCTTGCTAGCATGGTATCGAGATCACACATTGCATGGGGCCTATGTTACATTCCAGATTCAGTGGTAAACCCAATATATAATCTTTAGCCATCCCATTCACAAACTATTTGGGGTCATGTTACATCCCAAAAAGTGGTATACCCAACAATTTACAATAAACTTCTACAGCAAAATGGTTTATTTAAGTTGTCCTGGGTATTACTCCAATCGACACCTCCACAAGTCTCCACTTCATGGAAAATAATTAAAACAAACTCAAGTCTGACCTCAGAAGGATATGCTCATTGTCCAAGTTCGAGATTTTTAGGACATTGATACGATAGATCAGTGAACTAGTCAAATGGTTCTTGTTCAAACCTTTGTCAACGTAATGGAGAGTCTCTACCCCGCTAGTAAACATATCAAAGCAAGCTACACCAACATCACTTGTATTCCATTAAAGCTTATGTTTCGCAGCATACAAAAGTAATCGTAAAAATACGAATAAACGCCAATTCGTTCAACACCTATTTACCACGGTGTGCCCAACATGAGTACAAGGTGGTGCCCCCCAGCTCTGCTTGTCTTTTTTTATGTTCACCCAGTCAACTATACGTGTATGTATATATACGTATGTATATATGCACGATTAATTATATATGATCATATATGATGTATATATGTAACATATGTAAATACACTCGCCAGAAACCCAACAGCTAGCCTAATTATTAACCAAGTTAACTGAGCTAAATCAAATACACCCTCCCAAATTTAAGTGTTGGCTCAATTCCTAGGTCCTTTCATATTTGATAGCTAAATAGTTAAATTCCAATGTACATGTAAATTGAGCCATTAAAAATACCCCTATCCCATCTCATTGTACTAGTTGGATCTAGTTGGTAGGTTTCCCTACTATAGGTTATCATAAGTTATCATAATCCTCAGATTCCTCAGTAAATTAGGTAGTATAAGATAATATAAGTCCCTAGAGTAACCAGCCTTTTTAAATGGCTCAATTGCACAGTGTTGTCTCATTGCTCCGCCAAGGTACGTTGTTGGTGCCTGGAACTGATGGTGGGCACAGGAGCGTGCTGCCTGACTTTCGCAAAGTTTTCTGGGGATTCATGAGGGTCTCCACCATACATCCAAGTATAAACGGTCAGGGATTGATGACGATATATGTATATATATATATGTGTATATATGTGTATATATATAACAAGTTAACATAGCTTAAAAGCCCCAAATACCAGTTATAAATGGGTATAAACGGATATTGGATTATCATTCCATACATGGTGTTATGGTTGACTTACAACTGGGCCATCAATCCATAGGATGGTATAAAGGTTTTGACCCATTAGCATATGAGTCAAGCTTCAACGCATCCTAAACTTGAATTTCCAAGGGATTGATGCATAGTGAGAAAGTAAACATTTAAAAATCCCAAAGATTTTTTTCTGCCAAACTTAGATGAAGCATCCTAAGGGGCATATTAATAATTTGTGCAACACTGCTGTAGCGGCAAGTCAACCAAACTCCTGTGGTTTAAAGCAGACACAACCAATGGCCAAACAACTTGTCTGTGGCCTCAAATCCAGCCGGCGTCATGGTTCAAGTTTGTGTCCAAACATGGTGGTTGAACCCTTTTGCATCACCGGACTTTCCCAAATTGAATTGTCAAGACCAATCAATCCGCAGTTTCTTGTGTTATTTGAATATTTGTTGATTGCAGTATTCTCCCGGCATATGACAACATCATCTCTTCGTGCTGAGACACATGAACCCGTCACATTCAGGCCAGCATCACACGTGGGTGTGCAGTTCCTAGGGCAACACGGAAAATCCCTCGGCCCCCGGCTTTCACCATTTAAGCCTCTAAGGCTGTGAGTATGGGCCCACTGGGTTCATAAGCCTGGATAAATCACCATGTTTCTTGGTTGCAGCTCAAGAATCCCCCTAAAATTGTAGGTATTTATGTAATTTTGACCCATGCCAAGAAGAAACATCAGTTCATTCACTCCTAAGCAGCTCCCTCGGGCAACAAACATCTGGAGTCTAGCATTCTCTCTTCCCGTTTTGTGTCCAACAAAAAGCTTGCAAATCTCAAGGTTTGCAACTCCAATAACCAGGGCTTGTGGTAGATATATCTATAGTCTATAGTTCATGGAGATGTCCATGTCTCTTTTCAAAAGAATAGACCAACTTATTTCTGAGGGGGGTGCCTTGTATATATATATATATATATCAGATATCATATATATATATACATATTCTTGTGTTTCTCAAGTCATTGGTGCTACCCCATTTCCACCAGTCAGATGTCCCCTTCTGCCAAGGCTCTCCCCTGGTTGAAGCTCTGTCACTGCAACACCCTGTCGCCGTGAATGGCGAGGGGCAACCCGAATTCTTCTGGCTGCATTATATAGTGGCTACTTAAAAAATGAGGCACATCATGAATGTCAAGGGTGCATATATGTCATAATTCATACATATATATATGTCTGTATGTATAATTATATATTATATAATTATATATATATGTCATATGACTGTATACTGTAGCTCTACTTAACTCTATCTATAATTACTCATATACAGTACATTCATCCTGACTTCTCTGGTTGAAAGCTATTTATTGTGCCTGCCAGCTAGTTACCTGGCAAACATCGTTGGCCTTAATGGAATCATGGTCTTCCATCCCATGATGGAAATCCTTGCCGTTGGCATTTTAATCCGTATGGGGTCATTCCCGATTCTTTAATTAGCATCGGAAAATAAACCATGTCTTAATGATAGTTGGTTATATATGGTTATATACGTATCCCACTATATTTTTCCATCGGCATTAATGAGACCCTAGAAATATCTCCCAGATCTCCCATCTGTCGCCAGACGTCAGCCCCTGGCCGTCGCATTGATGCAAGATCCACCCGTCACGGTTGGAATGACGCACTTGGGAGGATCATTGGGCCAGCACCACGCTGCGCGCACCTCAGGCTGCCGTGATTTTTCTGGTAATTTTTGTTGCTGATGCCTGGAAAGATTAGAGAATCATTGCTCATCCTTGCATTTGAGGGTCAATATAGCATCAGCTGCTGCGCCATAACATCCTCTACCACTGGCTCTGAGCTGCAGTTCATAAGTGTTGATGAGAAGTGCTTGCGTTACAACCGTAGCGCTTTTAGCCACAAAATTTCGGATTAAACAAGGCAAAGCACACAATGAGGTAGTGCTGGATAGCCAGTAGATAGAATAAGTATCATCAGTCAGGATGTCTCAGCTTGGCTCCACCCACTTTAGCTGGATGTCAAGCCAAAAAAAACACATCACCAAAGGATTTTCTCCAACTTTGAGGGATGATCCAACAGAATCACCCCCTGAGGCGCCCTGATCGATTCAGATTCCAAGGGCGTTTCGTTTCGATATCTCCGGTGATACGTATCATAGGCCGAGTTAACTCGCCATTTTTGGTCACTAAATACATCTAAATACATACTATTCTTAAGTGTGGCTGATGTTATAGTTAACAGAACATGATAGCTATGTGTCAGTCTTTTGGTTTCCGTATCCAAACTGAACAAAGAAGGATGTTCCAAGGAAAATATCTACGCCGTTTGGTGCAGCAACGAGCAGCAACCACTTATCTTACGTAACCATTTTCCCATCAAATTCCACCATTTATATCTTTTATTTTTGCCATTGCCACGTTTGATTATACCGGAGGGTAACTCATAATATAATATATATATATATAATTAATTAAATTCCAAGATGTTCCAAGACCTCTCCATGCCTACAGCCATCTACAAACATCTACTGAACCAAGTCACCCTAAGATGGGGCAACACCCAGGGGACCAGCTGAAATAGCGTGGCGCCCAAGATGGCCGTCAGCGGAGCACCGGACACGCCCATGGCGTTTCTTTGACGCACGTGTCGAAGACGACTCCACGGGTTGAGCCAACAGCTGCCGACGAACTCCTGAGGCACCTTGGAACAACTATAGACACTATGCCGCCACTGAAATGGAACCCATCCAATTACGTCACCAACGGTAGCCGGGGGCGATGGTGTCACAATTGTCGCACCACGTCCGATCTCCTGGGAAATAAGATCATAGATGATCATAGATGTAGGAAAAAATACAGTACCAATTTACATACAATTGGAAGAACATGAAAGTGGGAATTGGAATTTTCCCCAATTCAAATATAACAATAATCCGATCATGCCATACGTTTGGAGGGTCTCGCCCCAATAAGGAGCAGAGCCTGGCAAAAAAAAACAGCAATGACGTGTTCAAGAAGAGCATGTGCACTGCTCCACCCATCTGGATTAATTAATGCATGATCAATCTCAAAAAGGTTTGGAAGTTTAGGGTCTCTATAGATTTTGGTTCATGGCACATGTTGGATACCCTGCAACATTACTCTTTTGGGGCCAGTTCGGTCTTTTTTAAGCCCATTACCATCTGATTGTTTTACATAGCTATGGACAATTGCTCATTTATAGATGGTTCATATTTTTTGTACTGCCTTATTAGGAATGATTATAACAGTATACATATATATATATATATATATTAAACAAATATGTCCCTTAGCTATGTCAAATTACCACAGGCTACCAGGCTTCCTTTGGGACACCCAACTGCTTCACCCAACATGGACGCCATGCGTCGAGCGGCGGCCTCCAGGGGTGGTGTCTGGTTCATGGACCCCCAAGAAACAAATGTGTTTTTTGTGGGAAACCCAATGCCATAAACCTGCCAAAGTTTAGGTTAATGGTTATGAATGGTTGTAAAAAAAAACATATTGGAAATAACCATGATGATATTGGAAATGGTTATGGAATGGTTATAAATGATTACCTATGATGATTTTGGAAATGGATGAGATGGCAAAGGTGAAGCCACAGACAATCTCACCGCATAGGTCCCAGAACTCGGTGGCTGACTTAGGAGACATTTGTTTCCTATGATGGATAATGTACTATGATGGATATACTATGATATACTATGAGAATCAAGTGATATACCCATGATATACCCACTTTTACCCATGATATACTATGATGATGTACTGTGAATCGGAATGACAAGTCCACATGCAGGTTCGGATTGACAGAATGTACCACGGCCTAAGATTGTGATGCAGTGCATCTTTTCAGGGTGTGAGAGTGGTTGCCGCAAGCATGAGTCCATGTTCAAGAAGTATCACTAAATCGGAATCCGAATTTCGTTATGCCCTCTGTAGGTACTTATAGTCTATAGTCACAAAATCAAATGATTTTGATCAGTGGAATTCCCAGCGACCGTCGTCAAGGCGTCAAGGCTGGCAGCTGGATGGATTGATCTCGTCACCGTCGATGACCACAAATCGTCACCGTTGATTCCAACAAGTTTCATAGTATGAACAGACAAGGTATGCCAGTTGTTTGATGTTTCTTGATGTTGTTTTTTTGTGTATACATTTGAATTATTCTAATTCACCATTGAACACATGACTCATGCTTAGTTGAGAACCAACGGACATGATAATGAAATACAATGAACATGATCTCAGATCTCTACATGACATATCATTATATCATTGTCACCTTTCATTTGATGCAAACAATCTGCCCAAACAACGTCCACAGACATCATATCATCATAATGGTACAAATCAAACATCCCATCACCTTCCAATTCTCATATCAACAGCCAGACGGCCCACTGGATGGGATGGGTTTCAAATCACCAAATAGTTTTGCCTCAAACATTTGGGGGATTTCCAAGTAATGGCCACAAATTTTAAATTTGGAATATGAGGTCTTATCAGATGTGAGAAACCATGACCCCTTAAAATGGGAAAATATGGTACCTGTCGTAAACAAAATATTGGAATTCAAGAGTTTTACAGGTTTTAAACACCGCGTTAAATGGGAAAATGTAGTACCTGATGGCACTGATGGTATCTGTGGTAAACCAAACAATTTATATATATATAGTACAATGTACAATAGAAACTGAACACCAATGTCACCAGAGATGCGTTCAATATCGTTCTATAAACCATCCCGAAGTTGCAGGCTCATTGAGTTTACTGTATCACCTTTGGGACCATGGAACTCCACACCTGGGTAAAAATAAACAATCTCTTCTTGCCACGAGAAACCGTAAAAAACCAGACGGTCGGCCATCTATCATTAACTTGGTGATATACCTTATTATCCTGCATTATCCCACATTATCGCACATCCTACCATATTACCCCCACATTCCCATGAAATCCCCAGGGCAAACTGTTAAACCCACGGCTGTCCCACCCTTGCAGCCATCCGGCGCGGCTCTGTCACCACGATGCCTGAGAACATCACCGGAGGAAATGCCACAGGGAGAAGCTCCCAGCTACAAGTGAAGTTAGTTGACTCTTAACTCTTAATTCTTACCCTCTCTCTATCTCTCTATCTCTCTATCGCTCTATCTCTCCCAACACCCCAGAACCCAAGGGCAGAGAACAAGGGTCTTTGCATGTGGTAAAATAAACCATTACCCCCCTTCCCCCCCCGCTGGTGGCTATGAGTAATTATAGTGAGCCCCAGGAAACATAGAGTAATTCATCCCCAGTGGTAACCCCAAAGCCATAAACCATCCCAAAATAGATCACCATATTTACGAGTGGGATTTCAACCATCCCCAAATGGTAGGTTTATGGCAAGTTTGCCCAATTATGCCAGCAATAGCTCCATGATTGTTCCACTATAGTTACTATGGTTATATATCCCATTCACTATAATGTTTTATAAAAACCCGTCAATATCCCATTTATATAACATAGGATTGAATATCCTACAATATACCATGTTATTTTGCAAATGGTACCATACAATATTCAATATCCCAGTGGGGATTACTGGACCTCTAGTTTTGGACATTCCCGTGTCTGAGACTTGGCAATCGCCCACCTCCTGGTATATCGTCAAGCAAAGCCAATGGCACAGCCTGACGTTTTTTTTTGTGGGGTGGGGTGCTGTGTATATCATGACTAAACCTGATATCAATGTTAAAAAACTTGTGTTGGATGAGTTTCTAACTGTGTATATGTACATGATATATCTGTGGAACTCATGTCAACAAATGGTCCAATTTACATTATATAGATCATTTCAATTGTCGTGTTCAAATATAATATAGATATATAGCTCAATCAACAACAATAGAATGGTTTAAAACATATCAACTTCCTAGACTCACTATGGAACTCATCCAATAATATAATGGCTTTGTTATAAGTGTGGAACATCATCTTCCAAGCCCCATGAATTTGGGGTTCCCAAACCATGTCAATTATAAAATATATTCCGGACATATTCCTACTAAGGGGTTATAAAGACTCCCCAATAAACCAGTTCGTATTACGCCCAACAAACTAACCCATCAATTCCATTCACACTTATTTATCAACTAGTGTTATTGATGATTAGAAAATTATGTAAAACTAGTCAAACAGTTCTTATTTATCAACTGATCAATAGCCCATCAATTTTCGTATATCCCTATGTTATTGATGGTTATTGATGGTTAAAACTAGTCATAACCCCTAGAGAAAATGGACAAATCCCGCCAGCACATCGACGGCTCCAAAGGCCAAAGGGCCGTGGTTTTTCCTGCACCCGGCGGTGCAACCTGAGTGACCGAGGCACAGGTGGTCTATACTGATCCTTCTACAACTGTGCTGTCAATTAATTAAGAAACGTATATTAGACATTGTTAGACATATCATATATTCATATTGTATTGACACATTATATGTATGTATGTATGTATGTATGTATGTATGTATGTATATATATATATATATATGCACATGCATATTATAGTGAAACAAACATATACACACAACAACTGGGATGCAAGTCCCTGAACATCCAAGTATGGTATCCAACGGCCAATATCCTTGTTCTAGCTGGTGTTTTTTTTTTTGCGGGTATGTTTTGATTTGTGAGTTCTAGCAGCTAAGATACATGGGGCCAATGTACCTTCAAAGTTGGTCATACACTATCCTTGTTGTAAATCACACCACCCAATTCGGGGCCATTAGGGTCATGTCATATCATATCCGTTTGGGGGTGCCAAAAAATATGAGGACCATCCAGTGGACCAACTGGTTCAAGGAGTTTGGCTATTGAACTTCAACGCAGCTGCACTGGAATCATGTTTTTTTTTTGGTGGTTTCAAACAGCATGCAGAAGACCTGTGACTTAGGCTTGTTTCCCTCATGGGTGCATGAACAACTTAACCCAGTGCCAACCACCCCATCCTTCAACATTGTAAGCAGCAAACAGAATCCCAGAACAAAACACATACAAAACTAACAAACCCTATCCATCCAACTGGTTCCGGAGAAAGTGCTTCACCCCGCAAAACCATATTCCACTCGTAGACTGATTCCGAAAGTTACGATGCATTGTGTTGATGGAAGAAAATCATTCACCTTCCTCATCTCGAAACAAGAAACTAATTGCATTGGTGTGGTTAATACAATTGATAATATGATAAAAGCCCTGCTTTTCTGATGTTTCCTGTATTATTCCTGGTGTTTTTCCCTTTAACCAATCCAATGATTGGCCTACCAGGTACCCGCCGTATGGGAACAAAGGACGGCCCCGTCTGTTGCTCTTTTTTCTGTCACGCAGCTGCCCAACGTTCGCTTCGAACGGGTCGACGTTTCAAATTGTTGGGGTAAATAGAACTATAATTGTAGTGTATATATATATATATAAATATACACATATGCATGTATATAGTATAATATAATAAACTATATACGTGTATATAATAAACAAAAACATGTTATATGACTTAGATGTGTAATTATGTGTATATATATATATATGTATACGTGAAATGAACTAGAATGTTCCCAAACGTGGACGTGGATGCATCGTATTGGCTGAGCTTTCCCAGCTTCGACCAGGCCCCAACCACGCCGGCGTCCTAGGACAAGGCCTCACTGGAATGGATCATGAGGTCTGAAGGATCAACTAGATCAATGGATATCAATGGATTGGCAGGGTTTCATTGGGAAATCTTGGTTTTTCTATGTGTTTTTCTTGATTTTACCACTGAAATATGAAGTTTTTCCTCTGGGATTAGCATGTGAAATGTAGGAAAGAAATCGTCATATTTGCAGCATTTCCATGCATTTCCCACGGCCAAGGTGCAGAAGACAAGATGTGCTGCAAGGTCTTTCCTGGCGAGAATTTGTGGCCGGTTGGCGCTTGGAAAAGAACTCCAGGGGAGTCCATCTGGAAGCTCGGTCTTGCTATGCTTCAACACGTTTCAGCCCAAACAGAAGAACGTTGCTCGGGAAGAATAGCCCAAAACAAACAGAAACCAATATAGCCAATCACTTGTTTCCTGATTGTCGCTCTAGCAGGAAGGAATCTAGAATCTCGAAGGCACTTGAAATGGTCAAATAATTAATCGGAGCATGACGGAGCATTAAAACCAATATGATTGCACGTATCTCAACCGTATAGCTCCACAAATATTTCACTCGCGCACAAAAAATGGAAAACCATGCCTTTTCTATAGGGTGTTTGATTGTAATTGACCCTTGGACACCCCACATCAACTACACATCAACTACACATTGACTACACACCAACTACGCATCATGAACATTGTCAATGTCATGGTCATGATCGTGATGATGGTAATGATCATGATCATGATATGATCACCACCACCACATCATCATCAGCATCAGCATCAGCAGCATCATCATCATCATCATCATCATCGCCATCATCACTTCATAATCATAATCATCATCATCATCACCATCATCACTTCATAATCATTATCATCATCATCAAAATAATAATTGTATTCATTGTCTTCATTGTCTTCATTATCATCAACATCAACATCATCATCATCATCATCATCATCGTCATCGTCATCGTCATCAGCATCACCATCACCATAACCACAACCATAATAATCATCATCACCACCACCATCATCATCATCAACAACAGTCATCAATAATCAATCATCAATTATAAATAAATCATCAATCATCAATATCAAGAGTAAAACAGAAGAACACAAAGCAATCAACCATACACTCATTGCAAATGTTCGGTTGCATTTCACGACTTCACATTGGTCCACTGGGCAAAAACCACGAAACAGTAAGCAAACATGTGAGGTCAATGGATGAAATGCAATCAGTGTGAATCTATGTCTTCCTGTCCAGTCCAATACTAGGTTCTCTGATGACTTTGGAGTTGGCGAGGCCTTTTTGTTGATACCTTTCTCAGCTGATGACTCAGGAGGCATGTATATTTTTACAAAACCTGCTCGAACATGGGGTGAACCTGCAGGCTCTCGGTCAATGACTTGGGACTTGTTTGGCGCCATAAAATTATATCTTCTCGTTCTAGTGTACATTTATTAGAATGATTACAGTAAGATTGATGAATATCATCACTAACCTATCATGTATTATTATATCATTACCAACTTATCATGTACTATCATTCTTCACTTTTTTTTCTGGTTTGTGGTTGACCTACCCCTCTGAAAAATGATGGAGTTCGTCAGATTGGATCATCATCCCATTGGGGAAAATGAAATTCACCGAACTACCTGGCATTGCCCAAGCGTCGCAGGTGGTTTTGCCACTGCGCCAGCAGCGCCCGCTGTGGCACCACGCGCCACAGCTGGCGGAGCGCCGCTGCGGCGGCGCCGCTGTGGTCCTGCGCAGCGGCGGAGTCCAGGCTGCTGAGGAGCGCGGAGACCTCGGCCGTTTTCCATGGAAAAACGTAAGGATTTCAGAGGATTGCACAGAGAAACATGGAATTAAACAGATTATGAGGAATTATGATGAAATATGTTAATTTATGATGAATTATGATTGTGCAATGATAATGTATGATCGAAGGAAGTTTAGAAGCTAAACTTCCGACAATATGGACAGATGAAAAGCAGAGCAGGGAAGAGGCAGAGAGAAGAGAAAGATTAGAAGAAAGAAGAGTAAGAAGAAAGAAGATGCAGATGCGTGAAAAGGTAGGAAAGTCGCGACACACTGTGTTTTTCCAATGATTTGGGGCTTCGGAGGGTCGAAAAGTCGGCTCGCTAAAGCGGCGGGTGCGGAGCCAGCTGGCCAGATGAGACATGAAAAAGTGGACGCCGTTGTGGCGCGAAGCACATTTCCAAGTCAAAATGGACAAAACACTAGAGGATCGGACCACTTTTGGCAGTTGCGATGTCGAAAAAGTGCACGCCGTTGTGGCGCGAAGCACATTTGGAAGTCAAAACGTACAAAGCACACCATGGTCGGACCACTTTTGGAAGTTGCGATGTCGAAAAAGTGCACGCCGTTGTGGCGCGAAGCACATTTGGAAGTCAAAATGTACAAAACACACCAATGTCGGACCACTTTTGGAAGTTGCGATGTCGAAAAAGTGCACGCCGTTGTGGCGCGAAGCACATTTGGAAGTCAACATGTTAAAAACACTAGGGGTTCGGAGCACTTTTGGAGGCTCAGAGGTCGAGTTTCGAAAAAGTGCACGCCGTTGTGGCGCGAAGCACATTTCGAAGTCGAAATGTGCAAAACACCAGGGGTTCGGACCACTTTTGGAGGCTGAGATGTGGAGTTTCGAAAAAGTGCACGCCGTTGTGGCGCGAAGCATATTTGGAAGTTAAAAGTGTAAAAAACTGCAGGTTTTGAGCCTTTCTTGACGTGAAGATGTCGAAAAAGTAGACACTGATTAACTTAACTAACTTGACTAACTTAACTAACTTCACTAACTTAACTACCCTAACTTCGACGACAACAGCAACAGCAACAGCAACATCAACAACAACAACAACAACAACAACACCAACAACACCAACCACAACAACTACAACTACAACAACTACAACTACAACAACTACAACTACAACTAGAACTACAACAACAACAGCAACAACAACAACAACAACAGCAACAACAACAACCACAACAACAACAACAACAACCACAACTACAACAACAACTACACAACAACAACTAGAATTACAACTACAACAACTACAGCTACAACAACAACAACAACAACAACAACAACAACAACTACTACTACTACTACAACTACAACTACAACTACAACTACAACAACAACAGCAACAACAACAACTACAACAACACCAACACCAACACCAACACCAACAACAACAACAACAACAACAACAACAACAACAACAACAACAACAACAACAACAACAACAACAACAACAACAACAACAACAACAACAACAACAACAACTACAACAACAACAACAACTACTAGAACTACAACTACAACAACTACAACTACAAAACAACTACAGCTACAACTATATGACTGCAACTACACTACACTAATTACATTACGCCACAACTACAACTCCACTACCCTACAACTACAACTACAATTGCAGTACATCACACTACATCCAGCAGTTGTGGGTGAGGTGACCACTGCAACCATTGCAACCATTCCAGCAAACACAACTCCAACCACCTTTCGGTCAATCAGTGGATTCGCTCTGCCATCCATGAGTCACAACAACCAACGTCTCCTATAGGTTTCCTATTCTGAAACTTCCGCCACCGCCTTGTGCGGTACTACTGGTATATAAATTGTGATGAATCATTATGTTTTATGAGGAAGTGTGATGAATTATAATAGGTTGATTTATTATGAAAAATACATTGTTTTTATTATCCGGACTTATGGTCATTTATGAGGAATGATGATTTATCAGGATTTGTGACTGATTTATGATTTATGATTGAATGATTTACCGTCACGCAATGATGGGTTGTGGTTTAGTCCTTGTCAAGTGCGAGTTTTATCCACCATTTAACGTAGCAGCTTGGATGGTGGTGCCCCAGTTTGTTAGGTTAGGCAACTTGCTTTCTACTGTAAGCAGGCTAATTAGCTAGGACTGGCGCATGGAGGATATCAGTCTACTGGGCTAAAATAATAGGTGTTTACAATCCATCATAACTAGGAGGCACCACCTGGGAATCATCCAAGGTCGGAAAGTTATCATGGACACAGGATGAGTTCCATCAGTTTCCATCAACAACTGTCCAATACATTGGCTGCACCAAGCCAGGCAATTCTTAAATCCATGAATGTCAGTTCTGCAGCAAGTTCAACGCCGGGCCACGTAATCAAGTTGACATGGCAAGTTTAACGCCACCATTTCGTGTTTCGTGACACGGCACACCACTCCCACGATTCCCTGACAATTGCCATAGAAATCCCATGTACAAAAAGGAGTCCAAGCACAAAGAAAACAGGGTACTTACTTTCAAATTTGCTAATCTCATGTTCTACCAAAAACAGCCATCGAAATGGGGTGAATCCCATGGTATTCCCGATCGCCTGTGCAGCATCAAGGCAGCCCAGCAGATCAGCCAAGAGTTCCTCTCTGAGCGCGGTGATTTGAGGGAAAACCCACAGAAAACCATGGAGTTTGATCAGTTACTAATAGGAATTAGCCGCTAAGTAGCCTGTTCCCCATCATCCAGCTGGGAAATAGGCACTTGGAAATCCTGAATGTGTCAATCACTTGGAAGTTATGAGCATTTCTTCAGTAATTAATTAGCCTGATCAATAGCTCACAAGATCAGATCCGTGCCTACAGGGATGAAATATGCTAGAATGATCACTGGGCTGCAGTGCAATATACACTGTATCATACTGTATCAATTTGTGGTAACTGTGAACCATATCCAACACCTTTTCAGTACATCGACGTGCAAACAATGTTGGAAATTTCCTTCACGTTGCCCGGAACACCCCATGAAATGTGATGAAGCGGGGTTTGGAACAGCATATTTCAATTGGACATGGACATGTTCGTACTGTATGCTCAATCTGACTGGGTACAAGTTCCACTCTGAGCCATTATTTGGTAAGTGCTTGGAAAGCTGACACGGTCGACTGAGAGGTTGAACATCAAATAAATTGTGCTTCCAAAACCACGTTCTCTAAAGAAGCATTACCATCTTGTTATTTGACATAGCATAGCCATGGAAAATCACCATCTTTAATAGGTAAACTACCTATAAAAGGGCCATTTCCCATGGCTATGTTAAATAACCAGAGGGTATTTGTTTTGGAGAAAACAGCCATGGTTCGCTGCTTCGGTGCCATGACATCCCCGTCATCCCGGTGGCCTTCTCTTCGGACTGCGATGAAAGCGCGGCGTCTGCCAGTTGCTGCGGCAAGGTGTCGCCAGAGCTCCTGGAGTCGGCGGGTGGATCTTGGAAAATCAACCATCTCCTGTTAGGTATTTCTCCAGTTCATGTGAATGATTATCCAGATTGATCCATTTGCAATGTATATAGTATTATATATATATATATATAAAATTGTATATAATGATTATACTGTCCGAAAACCATAGTGTTGGTTTGAAATTTGGGAGGGTACTGGGATGTCTCGGGAGTATGTCATGGTCTGCCACCCCCATCCCAGGAAAACAAGGTTCAAGGTCCAAGTTATTTAGATTCAACCATTTGCTCAGTGCTTCCGACCTGTAGCGGGCAGGATTTGTGGGGGATTTGAAGCCCAGCATAGATTCAGACGACAGCAACAACAACAACAACAACAACAAGGTACAAACAAACACTGGGACCCCGTTCTCACTATATATCTCTTTTTGTTTCTACCATTAAGGGTACAAACAAACACTGGGACCCCGTCGTTGTTATTTGCCCCCCCCAACAACAACAACAACAACCACACATAATACCTTTCATTTCCCTGCTGCTGGACCCCTTTTTGTGCCATGAGCGGCCTGGATCCTCCAAAAAGGGGCCCAGCGCCACCTCAGCTCAGACCTTCGCCATTTTTCTGGTGCTGGACCCCTTTTTGTGCCGTGAGCGGCCTGGATCCTCCAAAAAGGGGCCCGCCGCAACCTGACCTCAAACTTGCTCCCATATCGACGTTTTCAGTAGCCTCGCCCCACACAGAGGCTGTACCTGTGTTAGCTCTCTCTGTTCCTTGCTCTCTGCTTGTGGCCATTGCTCTCTGTGTGGCAGATCCTGTCTGGATATACCTTCTTTGTTCCAGAATTTGCAAAGCATGCCCTGCATACCAGGGCCGCCTAGCTCAGTCGGTAGAGCGCAAGGCCCTTAACCTGAAGATTGAGAGTTTCTACAGCGATTTTTCTGCCAGTGAGGCTCTTGTGCCAATCTTGCGGCTGCTGGCCTTGCCGCGCAGAGAACAGTATTATTGTTCTCTCGTTCTCTCTCTCTCTCTTTAGAGGCTGTACCTATGTTATCTCTGCATGGCGTTACCCAAACAGCTGGGATTTATGGATTTCCATCCCGCAACAGCTGGGGTGTTTCATAGGTGATCCATCCCCTGCCGGGCACCCTCCCATCTCCTGAGTGCCCGCAGCCACAGGTCATGCCTTGGAGCTTTGGACCTCTGAGCCGCCGTCAGCATCGCCCGCAGCGTGGCCGGGCGCGCCGGGCGCTTGGCCACGCGCTTTCGTCGCACACGGCGATGAAAGTGGGACGCGCTGCGGCTGGCAAGCATGTCCTGAGATGCCCCGAAGAACAGTGAAGTTACCCCAAAGATCTTTGATGATCTTTGGGGGCGAACAAAAGGACTGTAGATTCAATGCCTAAATGCGAGTTTCTGGCGGGGATTTGACCAAAAATGCTTAAGATCGAACATCAACCATATAAAAAGAACCATAGTGCCATACAATGGTTGCAACATATGCAAGAGAAACCAGTTTGAATCAACCATTCCATGGGTTCCTCAGGAGACTACTTGTTTTGATGCCGCCAGCGAGCTTCATCCCCAATGGTGATCTCCAGTGAACGAGCGCCCCACAATCGAAACAATGGAAGCTTCCAAGCATTGGTTTACACTCCAAAAATCGACCGTCACATTGTTGATTTTGGGGTCCCCTAGATGTTGCCACTTTAAACGATCTGGTTGTTGATATCTCTTGTCTAATTGGTCAATAGTTGCATGTTCATTGGTCAATCTACGTCACAGTTCCACACTATATAGTAGCACCCAAAAAACAATATATAGTAGAAAAGTATGTATAGTTTGCCATGACTTTAGCAGGATTAAGACAGCTTGGCTCTTCCTCGGTCATTGAATGTTCTACTTGAAGAATTTGGAATATCACGTCTGGAGCCAAGTTTCTCCCAGCAAACGCCTCAAGATATAGGGCCGTGCAGATTTGGGCTCTCGAGCATATTGGCTCCACCAAAGGTTCATGGCGATTGCCACCGGCTGCCCTGCGGTGTTCATCGCCGTTCCGATCACCAGCGGACCATCCGCACACCCTCTGGTTTCGTCCACTAAATATCATAATATCTAATATATAATATCTCATTTAAGATATATTCATAAAGAATGATGTGCTAATATCAAATGCTCAAATATGCTCAAATATCATTCTTGATTTGCCACCATGTTTCCAGCGTAGAAGATCATGGAATCAAGATGAATCAAGGGTCCTGGGTCAACTATAATGGGACCCCTTGGGCCCTGGAGAATCATAAGCATCAAATTTGAGGTCTGCCGAAGGATTGTAGCTGTGCTGGTGATTTTGTAGGTCCTGGACTCTAGTAAACAAACATGGCAATGGCGAGGTTTTTGGAAATCTCATCTTCTATAGACTATAGATGTGTATACTATGGATATATATATATATACACACACATTACAGCATATATATATATATATAATATTATTTACTGTATATATACACATATAATGTCACACAAGGGATTTCTGAAATTTTCATCCCGGAGGCGTTTACAATAAAAATTCAAACATATAAACGTGTCCATTTCTTTCTCCTAGGTCCCAGACTGGTTGGTCTATCAGTGTATCAGTCTATCATTTTTTTTAACAATCAAACATTATGTTTGTCGCGGTGGTGCAGGAGTTCATAGTAGACGTGCATATCCCCGTTTGTTGCTGGTTGCATGGTGATATCATGGGATATCATGCCATATCCCAAGTTTATGGTGGGCAGAAGATCATGATGGAATTCTACCCACCATGTTGCCGCCTCAAGTTGGATCTCAAAAAACCTGACTCAGACCTGTGTTCTGTTCAAAAACAATAGAAATCCTCCCTTGAAAAACTGGTTGGTTAGTGCTCGAGCTAATCATCCACCGGAGGTTTTGAACAAATCTCACATCACATATCGGATCCCTATCAGAATCCCATTCAAGTCCCATGAAAATTCCAGTTTCTCATCTCATGAAGAAATCACCCAACAATAATCCAACTCCCAGTTGAATTTCCAGTAAAGTCCCCTGAAATTCATCCCTTCCAGGTTCCACCTCCCGCGGAGGCATCAGCGACGCCACTGGTCTTGACGTGGTGCCACCAGCCCTCAGGGATCAGTAAGGCATCTCCTGGCACGGGCATCGAAACGGGTCAACGAAAACCCCAGGTTTTTTTGTAAGTGATATATGGACTAGCTCTATTGATCTATGGGATTTTGGTTGGCTGGAAAAAACAAGTTATATATGGACTATGTCAATATGTCCATGATTGAGTTTTTGTTGGAGCTTATCTATGGATTAGAAACCACTTGCGGATGTGTGTTTACCCTCTGGTAAATTGACATAGACCCGGAAAATAAGTCATATTGAGTCCAAACTAATCTTCCGCACCCGATAAATGACAGGGTCGATTTTAATTTACTGGAGAGTAACTAATGTAGTAGTTATATATATATATATATATATAGTGACATAGTTAAAAACATAATACTTGCAGATACAGCAACTTGAAAAACAGCTGGGTTGAATGTTAACAAATATAGTTATACGTCTGTTTGTTGGACATGCAAAACAAACAGTTATACAGCTGGCTCCATGTGGAACAATGTTCAACCCTTTTGTTCTTGGGGCTGAAATATTTTAGGCTTCTATATGTTTCTGTTCATGTTAGGCATTTACTAAAGATTGAAACTATTCCCGAACATACATTCAGACAAGGAACCATATCTTTGGCCAAGTGGTTTCCGATAATATGTAATAATACAGTGTACAGTTTGACACCCTGCATGAAGATGACAATATCAAGTATATTCACTGATAGATTCTCATAGCACCGATCTGTTCACCAAACAGTACTCTGAAATTCAGACCAAAACAGCCTGCAAATAAATGACCGATAGTTTAACCCATATCACCACTATGTGATCATGGCCATGATGGGTGACTCATAAGTTCAATTACCAATGATTTGACGTCCCCTAGCCCTAGCCCTGTTTACCTGACCCATTTAGTCCATTAGGACTCATGAGATATTTTGTGTAGATGCTCGCGGGTCTGGGGGTTGGACACAAAGACTACGTACTCCAAAGCGCAAAAGAAGGTCCCATGTCTCAAATCCTGTCCCCCGCAGCAGATGTTTTATGAAACAAAGACAAAGGGGCCCGTATGGCATGCCATTCCATTCTTTGAATAGTATAGTTGTCAAAAACATGCTATTAATCAACTGTTTTCGATGAAATATTGGAGATCTAATCAACCAGTGCTGGTGAGAATGTCCGGCTGGCTACACCCCCACAATATAAGCCAGCATAGTTATTAATTAATCACCATGTTTGGTGATACAATTCCCAATCTTTCAAGTTTCAACACTGATTTGAACCAGTCCATTTTCAACAAACGGTGGACTTGTGGGACATCTACAATTTACATGGTTTCTCATGTTTTTGGTGATTCAAGTCCTATTTTTTCTTGGATTGATGAAACATATCTCAAATGTTGGTGATGCCGGTGCCCCCATTGGTTGCTGTGTTCTTCATGCAGATGTCTCATCAAGCCATGGGCCGAGTCGCCCATCTGCAGCTCAGTTTGGAAGCTTCTGGCTTGCTGCATCTTTGGCCAACAAGCTGATGCGCCTTGGAACTGCTGATTCTTCCCATGATTTCCTGAAATTAGCCCCAAAACTATGGGAATTTAAGGAAGGGTTGATGTTTTTCCTTTTCAGACAAACCCACATGGCCAAAATTGTTGGCTAGTTATGTTAGTTTAACATAGGATGAGTATTTGGGGAAGGATATGGTCGGTAGAGTGATGCATAGTGGAACTCACTATCGACTCAGCAGCGTGGATTGGGTCAAAGCCTGTGAGGTGCCAAACCTTGGGCCGGTCCGACCCACCAAAGCACCAGCCCTATGAAAGCCATCATCCCAAGTCAGCCGCAACAAGCCAAGCAACAAACACATCCCTTCAATCGCGCTGCCAAACAACAGTGTGGCACCTCAGGTCATGGCAACATGAGGCGCCAATGGCAACCCGTAACGTTTAGAATGGACTCAATGGACCTGAAAAATTGGATGGCGACATGATCTTTTACACCATTTCTGCTTTTACCAAATATGGGTTAGTCTAAAAATATATGAGATACCAAAAACAATGCCATCACAATGGATAAATTAGGGTTAACCTCAGGACTTCGAGGCTATCCTATTTTTAGACAAAGCCATGGTTACGGATCGCGAGTACTCTCCAGCAATCAAGGAACCACAAGTTTGCTTTCAAAGTTCAAACTCTCTCAGATTTCTAAGACCTTCAATCTTCGGAAGAGAAACCAAAGTTTCCAGCTGGAGATGGGTATCCATGAAAAATATGGGAAGAGGAGCAAAACTATATTATATATGTTGTTGTTGTTTTTGTTTTTTCGCATCCTATGGCAATGGTGATAGTGCAAAAACGGTGCCCCTGGGCCACTTCTTCTGTTCGCCCACATTGGATTCGCTTTGGTGTCCAAGGTTGATCTTGCTTCAACAACTTCGGTGGTTCCTTACGTTTGAAAAGCATGAAAACACCGCTCAGTCAACCAAGGATTGATAAATTCGGTTGATTGAGAATTGATACCTCCGCTATTTGTAAACTGGGGGTCGGGTTTCTTGATGGGTTGGAAATTGCTTTAAAAAAGGCGTGCTTGTTGAGTGAATCTTAGGTTTTTTTGGGACCTCTCTCCTGGTATAGTTCGCTTTGCAGTTGCAGTAATTCAACATAGTTATGGGAGATGGCCCATTTATAGATGATTTACCCATTAGAAATGGCCAAATTGTAGATACATGTAGACACCAGATTTGTCATCACCCAGAGTTTGGATTTGATACCTGAGAGATTGATCCCGGAGGCCCCCGTTGGGGATCCCAGCTTGTTTCGCTGTTGGGCGAAGGGCATTTTGCAACAGGTATGACATGGTATAGCATTGAGACCATCATTTGCTACACAATCTTTGGTGATGGAACAAGTCAAACAATACGTGGCGGAAAACATCTTATGGACATGGGCTTTGAAACATGCCAACAGTGGCAAGCTGAGGAAGGGATGGACTTGGGAGGAGCGAACGAAACAGGCAACGTTACCGGGCCGCGGCATGAGTCCTCCTCACGGACACTGGGGGCTCTGATGAAGTGAAAAGGCCAAGTTATAGATGATTTCACATGATCTACCCCTGGTCTACCCGTTCAACAATGTTCTGGTAAACTAACATGGCTGGAGAATTTTTATGCCAAATTGCCCATTTACTTTCGTTGATTTACCATGATTTATAGTTGATTTAGCTTGATTTACTTATCAAAATAACCATTTATAGTTGACTTACCATGATTTATAGTTGATTTAGTTTGATTTACTTATCAAAATAACCATTTATAGTTGACTTACCATGATTTATAGTTGATTTAGCTTGATTTACTTATCAAAATAACCATTTTTAGTTGACTTACCATGATTTATAGTTGATTTACCATGATTTACTTATCAAAATAACCATTTATAGTTGACTTACCATGATTTATAGTTGATTTAGCTTGATTTACTTATCATTTCATCATGATGTCCTACAGCCGCCGTCAACGTTTACGCTTCGCCGGGTCACCTTGGAATGATGCGCCCGCAGCGGGTCGGTGACCTCGTAGGCCCCCAGGCGAGGCGTCTGGCTGGGTGGAAAGAGCTCCACCACTTTGCTGCCGCGGAGGAGGATCAACAACCTATGGCGGGGAAGTGTGAAAATGATAATGATAATGATAGAATATGATAATGATAATGATAATCAACAACCTATGGTTGATAGAATATGATAATGATAATGGTAATAGAATAATGGTAATAGAATAATGGTAAATCATGGAACATAAAAATTTTATGTAATATTCTCCATTTGTAACATAATGGAAATAGAATATGATCAAATATTATCATCAGATCCATAATGGGAAACATAATATTATCGATGGGATCAATGATTGTTTGATCCAGAATGGAGAAATATTATGGATCAACAACCTATTACCATGAATGGTAATATAATAAGAATAATGCTAATATAATACTAATAATGGTAATATAATATTATCATCATGGTAATATACTGGTAATATCATATTATCATAATTGTCATATTCAACCTACTGTGGATGGTTGCGAAATCCTGCACCAGTTGAACACGGTGTTTTTCCCATGATTTTTAGGGTTTCAACCATCCGAGGTGGTGCAGGATTTCGCAACCATCCACAGTATGGCTGGGGAGTGTGATTGATTTCTCCATTTGTAACATATTGGTAATAGAATATTATCATAATTTACAATATCCATAATGGGAAAAATAATCGATGGGGACATGGAGAAATCTATAGTTGATGATAAATAATACTGGTGATGTCAAAAACAATGTTTGATAATTATTGATATAATGAATGAGATATGGATATGATGATAATGGATAACTTTGTCATTGATGAGAAGACATAGTGATGGTAAAAACAAATAATGGCATACTAATGATGATATCAATGATTGATGAAAATTGATAAAATGAATGATATGGATATAACGGTATATATACATATCGCTAATATAATAATGATTGGTTTCTCCATTGTCTTATCATTGTCAATTATAGATTATCATACCCATAGTGATCATAATGGATAAATCGAAAGTTGATGATAATATAACTGTTATATTAATCATTGATCAATAATGATTAATGATAGGACAATAAGGATTTATTATAATGAATGATAATGGTGATATAATGGTGGTAAAAGTGGTGATGTAATGATTGATAATAATGCATAAATCTATAACGTATGATAAGATCATGGTACCATATTAATCAATCATGGATACTAATGGATATAGAAATCAATGAATATAATCGTGGATAATGTAAAATTGTTATAATAATGATATAATCTAACACAAATAATCCTGATGGATATAAACATGAATGGATGCTAATCCATTAATTGATATCATAATTAAATGATGTGGACCATACTGTTCAGAAACATATGTTAATACCATCTATATGACGGGATTTTTCTTTGCATCCAATGGATATATTGCGGATGTAATATAATGGAAATACAATAGCATGATATATATATATATATGATGGTTACATCAACGCGGAAACAATCCTTATATAGCAGGATATGATAATATATAAATAAAAAAATATATTGGTGATATCGTGATATCGTATATATCTATATAATAATATATAACCAATTTTCACTTGATATGTCATCTGGGTTCTGAAATAAAAAATGAGATATCATATTTCATGGGGTAATGCAGTTTTTCATGAGATATAATGGGATATAATCAATGGATTAACCAATGATGATATGTTCCGAGCACCAAATCAGTTCGGCCATTTGGGGATGATTTGACCAATCCCAAACATCATCCATGAAAACTTATCTAGTGTAATATTATATTTCATCGCATGGTGCAATGGTGATATTAGAAATATTATGTGTATATATATATATATATCTAACTATATATATATAATAATAGGTATGTGTCTGACCAACTTGATGTATCTTGATATGACATTTGGGCGTTGATAACCTCTGGTCCTCCATATTAGGGGGAATAAACATTCGTAAATCCCCTCTATTTTGGGGGGATAAGCTAGGGTACAAGGGTGAATCGAACCATAGCCAACATTTTTAGTCAGATGTGGGAGGGAGAGGGCTAAAGTCAAAGTCTATGGCTGCTTTTCACACCCTTTCAAGATGTTTGTGTGGTTTGCCAATGAACCTGCGCAACTGACCAGAAGGAGAACCAATCAAAACTCCAAATTGTATACCTCCAACAACTTAAAAGAACGCAAATTGTTGCGAGACCGAATATTAAAACGTACTGAGCGAACATGTGGTTAGAAGTGTACAGCTGAAGAACATCCGTTCAAAGAGAATTGTCTTGAACTGGCACCTTTCAAACAATCTTCATTTTTGAGCAGGATGTTTGGTGCTGATGCTTTGGGGGGCCTCAAGTCATGACACATATTGGCTGAGACACATCAAAAGAGTTGCCTTTTGCGAGAGATAGAGTGTGTCTTTAGATACGTCTTCTCAAATGATTCTGTTTTGAGTGGGATATGAATGTGTTGTGTTCTCTTTCTTGCATAAAGATAACCATGAAATTATAACCAAATCCAGCCAAATAGCACTGACCTGGAACACAATAGAATCCAGTGAGTATACCCAGCAACAGAATCCAGTAGATCGTGTGGCCAGGATGTTGAGCTGGGAATGCTTCTGGGACAAGGGAGAAATTCTAAGCCTATGGCGATTTGATGGTCACTCTTCTGAGGTGCCAAGAGCCATACCCCACAACATCCAGGAAGATCTGGTCCCAGCAACCCATGCTTGGAGTCGTAATGCAGGTTGGAATGTGTGTCCCCAATCGAAGCCTTGGCTTTTGAACATGCAGCACCTCGTTAGGTCCTGGCGGCTTCATATCATCCGAAATCATCTCTGGCGGTCATTTCACCCATAATTACCCTAGGTTATCACGCCAAAATCGCTGAGATCTGTGATGTTCTAACATCAGATACTGTAAGAATGTCAAATTTAGGGATCCATCCGTATCTGTCGGACAGCCTAACTGAACTCAGGAGAAACCACCGACCCCGTGGAATGGTTTGCATGCGAATTTAGTTGCGCACAAAACAGGTGGATGCCTCAAGGCAACTCTTCTTTCCTTGCTAGATCTCAAAAGAAAATGGAAAGTTTGCTTCCAAATAATTTGAGACCCGTGATGACCCGTGCGCTGTTTTTTCTGCTTGTCTCACAACTATCTAAAATTCCAACCAGCTCATCCCAAAATTGGCCGTTCAATCTAAAGCAAAACTCCCACGCTCGATGATCCAACTTTGGCTGCAGGAATCCCAAGACCACCAATGGTGTCAAACGTCAAAATCAAGCCCTGCCAATCCAAAATCTATGGCGTTGTCGGTGCTAAACACAATCTTAGATAGTGGTACAGTAACAGCAGTCAATTCCAGAAATCCGAGTAGGATTTGCACATGTTCCCATGTGGAAACCATCACCTTACCAAATTGGGACTTCCATTTGTCCGTTCTTTGTACCACCGTGTCAGCATGACTTGGATTTGCGATTTTTTGAGGACCACGTGATTCACGTGACCATATCAAAGTATCCCCGTAGATTTCCCAGTTCTGTTGGATTTACCAATCTGAAAGTAAACTGAAACACACAGGGAAAAAATATAAACATTTGGGCACAATACTTCACATTTCTGACAAAGACAGTGAACTAATTACATGATCAATCCGGGAATCCGGGTTGATAGGAGACCTTGTGCCAGGTCGTGCACCGAGCAGCCCAGAGATTGGCAGACTCCAAGCGTTTGGCCCAATCCAGTTCCAAGCGACTCCCCGCATCCCCGCGGGAGAACGCGCAGCGTGTGAAGGGCGCAAGGTCCGTGACCTGTTGATCGTTGGAAAAGGAATCTCTACTGGATGAGTTAGGATCTTTATTGTTATGGAAGATCTATTTATTATTTATTGAACACATTAGGATTTTCAGGGAACATCTAACATCTATTAAACCAATTGGAAACGTTGGGAATGAATGCAACTGACCAATGGATCAATTTCAGGGGAAAAATTAACGGGAAATCGATGTGTTTTTGCCCCAAATAAAAAGGTGTCCTGCAGGTTTTCCCTCAAACCAATTAGTAGCATGGAACATCTGTAACTAGTTTTGGCTTGTGTCCCCGGATAACTGCAAGATCTGCTGGGATATACACCAGATTTTTTTGCCACTTAGCAAACATCATGAATCTTGCCAGCAGTTATGGCTCATGTTTTTCGCACAGTGACGTTGATGGCGATATAAAAATTAAACTACCTCTGGGGGTTTGACTTCGGGGTATTGGTTGGTAGAGAAGCTTGCTAAGGGCCCATGCCAGGCACTACAATGGTCACAATGTGGCAATCACTGGCACGGGGACAGGGACGACCGACAACCATTGTGATGAGATGTGCGTTGTTCTGACTTTGAACTGCGATTGTAATGTATTCCGCAAAACATCCGCAAGCCATCCATTGTTTAAGGAAACAAACAAACAAACAACAATACATTAATTGAATGAAGTGCAAACAGTTATACTCCGATCTGGATATGGTTGAGACTCTTTTTGATAAACTGGTATTTCATGATAGGAAATTCCATGTAATCATGTAATTCCCTTTGCTCTTCTTCATCGAGCTCCGAGTCAATCTCATTTACAGGATTGGGCTCGAATGTCAAACACAGCCATCAAAAATTGTACGAAATACCAGCACATGTTGATATTATTGATTGATCTGGGGTTCTTTCCACATCTTTTCACAGGTTTGCAAAGTTCAAAGGACTTGTAGCAAAACTGTTGGATCCTCAAGTTGGGGACCTTCCATACTGTATACCAGTGTATAAGTGTACCATTACACGACATTTTTCACAAGCAGACCTACTGAGATGTCACGCATAAAGATCAGCCTTGGGCAGCAAATGTTCCAGCGATGTATCTTCAGCGCCTCTCGACCAAATGGGACACCTCAATGTAGCGGAGAAATTGCTATATACAGTAAGCAGTAATATCAGAAACTATGTCATTTCATAAATAACATCGAGGGGGATATAATGCAATGTGTAACCAATCTGGTATATATATATATATCTACAATATATATGCTATGGGATTGTCTGAACATCGGGTACGGTGTAACAATTGTTTATGGCCATATCACAAACTGGGAGAAACAAAATAGAATCATAGAAACTTGTGGGTAAGGATGTACTCCTCCTTGGACAAATTAATAAAGTAAAAGCCCTGATTGATAATATTTCTAGCTAAAGCCAGTTTCTCATGCATTTTTCCCAGTGATTGTTGCAAAATCATGGCTAGCGTAGCATGCGTCACGCGAATCCTGCCGATATAGAAGTCCACAAATCATGAACACAATATCTATAGATATGCATATGTATATAGTCGATGTCAGCACACTAGGTATCTATAGATATCCATTATCTGTTTGTATCTATTTGTAGTATCTAATCAAAAGTATTAGCGCTGTTGAAGTGTATATATATAATATATATATAATATATATAATATATATATATATATGGAATTACAGACGTGCAGTTGTTGCTTTCAGCCGCATAGTTTGAAGGTTACATCTCCAACCCTTGAGTCTTTCGGTCGTTCGTGCACCTTTTGCTGGTTCTTAGTAATATATAATAATACGAGAGTCTTTCTTGCTTGTGGTTTGCTGCCCCCTGAGAAATGGACGTTGGGGATCAGCAACCCAAAGAGGGGTGAACAGGTGAACAAGTGTGGCCAATCTTAGAACCCCTAAAACTTTGTGTTAAAGCTACCAATATTCCACCGTTTATGACCAAACAAAAAAGTTGACCGTTGATTGATCCAGAAAAAAACGGAAAGTTGCAAGATGATAATGAAACACTGACATGCTTCTCTTTGTAGCAAGATACCGTGCTCAAATCAAGGTGGAAACCAAACTAAAAGCACCATCCAATATCATCCAAATTTATTTCCAGTTCTTTTGGTATATCAGCGTAATACAAATTGTACCAAATGTTTTTCAGTGTTTGAATTTGTTTTACATATTACCCATTATGTCCAGTTGATTGTCAGAACCGAGGTGCTGCACCAAGTACAATGATCGCTTCTCTTCCTGGTGGAGGGACTTTTTTTTTCGCGGCTTGAAACAATCAAGACGATGATGGTGGATACAGACCTGCGTGGATTTGGAAACTCCAGCATGAAACTAGATCTTTTCACTCGGGAAACCATGGTTCTTGATACAATGCCTCGATACAATGCGGGGCTACCCCGTAGTCATGTTTGTGGGTTTATGTTCACCCATTCAAATATATCATACCCAAGATAGTATAACATAATATAATTTAATTTAATTTAATATAATATAGTATACTATAGTATAGTGACAGTATAGTATAGTATAGTGACAGTATAGTATTGTTACAGTATTGCAAATACTAGAATAATCTAATAAACCTATATAACTTATAACAGTTCAATAAGCATGATAATTATATGCGCTAAAATACCCAAGATTTCACCTCGTTATCTTTACCAACTTAGCAGGTGCGCCTGCGCCTCCGAAGCTGCACTCTGCAGCTGCGCCAAGGGAACACGTTGCAGTACTCCGCCGAAACCTGGGATTATCTATGCTGATACACCATGGTTCAATAGTGGATTTAGCACATCTTCGGAACCACAAAAAGGGAGTGTTTAATATTATGTGCATGGAGTGTTTAATATTAATAACATCTTTGGAACAACAACAACAACGACGACTACTACAACTACAACTACGACGACGACGACGACGACGACGACGACAACCACGACGACGACGACGACGACTACTACTACTACTACTACTACTACTACTACAAGGTGATTAAACAACAGCGCCAATATTTTCCATTTTGTGTCATGGTCAAGTTACATGTGTTTTTTGTTCAGTATGCTCATCGGAATCCAACCTTAGAATGGGTACACTCATCCCGAAAGATAGAACAGTAAATCATCAGCAAAAATTGCTGGGATTTTTATGATTATAGCATCAATTATAAAATCATTTTTAATATATTATAATATCAATAATTATAATATCTATACTATGATACTAATCTAATTGTACTATCTGTTTGGGGATGAGTATAAGATATCATATCAACCCTCAACCAGGGGGCCCCGACCATCCCATGCAACTAGCAACTAGTGATGGCCAAAACAAATGCCCCACAAAAAAAAGTACGTCTTTTAACAAAGGGAATTAAATGATATACTGTTTATATATGTATATATACACACACATATATATATATATATATATATGGGCGGGAATTACCCAGGAATTGGAATAAGAGCAATGTTAAAACACGGAGAAACCGCAAGTCAATCCAACAAACAATTTCATGTCCCCTTGCTGAGAGGAGCACCTCAAAATAACCTCTATATGACCATTTGATCGAAGGATATGTATCAAAGGGATATTCTAAATCCTATACGCCTGCAAGTCAACATCGGTTGAAATTCCAAGAGATATAATGTGTAATGTTATATAGCATTGCTGAGTTCGTTGAAGTGAAGTCAACCTAAACTCTTCAAGTTCAATCAATCCTATGTTTCTGGTGGTTATAAGGTCATTCAAAATCTTACTATCAGTTTTCCAGCACAATCTTATCCACGTCAGAATTCCATGGCTGGGTTCCAGTAACCTTTCGTGATACTGGCTTGTTAATGGCGGGATTCTCATACTGGTTGATCATCACAAGAATATTGCATAACTGGATAGTATTATATAGATTTACATAGTACATCAATATATGACTCCCAAAAACACGAAACATTAAACAAAAGCAGAACCCCCGGACCCCCCAAACGAAATATCATCGACCAACAAGGGTCGCTTACGAAAAGTCGTTTTCGGCCTGAAACTGCAGCCAGGCACCATGAAAGTTCTGCTGATCACTGCCACTCACCTGCAACTCAACCTGAAGTTTGACAGGTTGTGAAGTTGACAAAGTCAGAACCGATCACTGGACTCGCACAAAATTGGAAATATGTGTTCTTTTTGTTGGGAAAATGAGGTCCCTCCGTGTTCCTTTTCCTGGTGTATCAAAGTCATGCAGCCACCACTAGATTCAATGTTGGCTAAAACGAACGCGCAGGACGGCCAGAACCCTTAGCCAAAGTAAAAGAGTTGCTTGAGCACTCCCCAAAAAACATTTGTTGGTGCAGTAAATTCATGATTCATCACATGTTCAATACTGAACACTCTTCTCTGTTGCTTAAAATGTATATATATATACATAATCGTATATACATATACACATAATTAGATATACACATACACATAATTATATATATATATACATATTATAATTAGAATAATATATATATATATATCAACATATATTATAGTGCATAGTGTGGTTTGGTTGCTTGTTTCAATTCCCAAGTCGTCTGGTAGTTCAACTGCTTCGTTTCCTAGCATCAATTTCCCTTGTATCTTATCTCACATCCTTCCACCCTTAAAGGCACCTTCTGTACAGTTTCTCACTCGAACACATTTTTTGTGAGTCAACCGAAACCGCAAATTTGTTGTCGAAAATTCATCAGTTTCTTACTACAGAAAAAAAGTTGTTTCACATCTAGTGCTTTAATGTTATCTGTGTTCAGTTACTTATATACTTGGACTATACCGCGAATGTTCGGCATGTGTTGACAAACCTTTCATGATAAACTGCCCATTCATACGTTATTATGATTCAAATGCAGTATCATTTGTGGGGAAGCCATCAATAACTCTCGCTCCCACACGGCCAATCTTAGATGATACCATGCATTCTTAAAAAGCGGGTTTTGTCAATATTCACGGTAATATTGGAATGTGATGTCATTTCTGTGACATTTTTGGCAAGAACACGAGTTGGATTTAACTAACCATCACACATCGGTTAACCATGGTTAACCCATATCTCTGAGAAAACCTGTGGTGGTCTCGTCGACTTAGAACATGGCTTATAAACCCAATCAACTATACAGGATGGGGCCCCGTTCGTTGTTGCGTGAACCGTTGGTTGATGTTAGTGGCTGAATTCTATGGTTTATGGTAGATATAACGAACTAGATAACTATGGTTAATGGGGTTTATAAACCAACAAACATAACTGGGGGGTCCCATCCTGTAGATATATCCCTCAAATATACCCATCCATTAGCCTAGCTTTGTGGCTCTCAAGTTACCTAACAGGGGCAGCAGCTTTTAACACTTCTTATAAATCTTATACCCTCTGGTAATTTAACATAGCTATTGAAAATGGCTATTTATAGTGGATTTTCCCATTAATAGCATGGTGATTTTCCATAGCTTTTTGTATGTTTACCAGAGGGTAAATCTTCTAACTTCTCTTGGTCCCACAATGTCCCACATCAACATTTCCATAAATTTCCCTGCTTATTTTCCCAGCGAGCAAAATCTTAAATGGCTACTTTGATGATCTTCCCGTCCATGCATGATGACACCAAAGGGTCACTTTTACCATTATATCCAAATATCCCATGATAATTAATAGTTTCTTAAATCGCAAATAAACAGCCATCACCATTGGTATCATTGCTTAGATTACCAAAGGGTAATCCCTTGGATGCCATCAACATTCATGACACGTGTATTACTTACATGCGTTAATTAATGGATGTTTAATAACACCACCCCATTAAGTGACCTCTTCTCCAGAAATCGTGTCAATGTCCTGATCCCATAAACTGTCAGTAAACCCATAGTATCTTATATGATCTACTATCATCTTAAATCCCTAATTTCTCTGATGCTAATTAAGTCATGTTTATTGTATCTGTACCTATCACCAGATACCCTCCGCATCCTCCAGTATCATCAGCTCTATGGATCGAAAATTACCATTTGATTTTGTGTCTGAAATTCGCACAAAAAAAAAAGCTGTTTTTCATCCAGAAAATCATTACTCACTCAAATGGCTCTCCTATGACTCATTCATGACTTAAATGGATAGCTGCTACCCATGGCTATCCAGCTCAGACCCAGCCATTCCCAGCCCAAGAAGCGCCTGCTTTCCGCCCTCCGCGTCTTCCCACAGCCTCTGCAGCTCCCAGTCCTTCGCCGCAACCGCCGCGAAGCCGCGCAGCAGCAGCGGCGTGGCGCGCCGCAGGCGGCGGAGCAAAATCTCCGGGTCTTCGGGCGGCACGAAGCACCTGGAAATGGAGGGGAAGATGCGCTGCAAATGAGGGGCTCACCATGAAACATGCGGATTTTAGCGTGAAACATGTGGATCATGTGGATTTTGCCGGGAAAAATGTGGATTTGACCATGAATAATAATGAATAATATGTGTATTTTTCCATGAACGATAGGAGAAAGTGTGACTTAGTCATCAAAAAATGAAGGAAGCCTGTGAATGATCTTGTCACATCTGTATTTTAGAGCCTGAATAGGATTAAAATGCAAAATATAATTCAGTTCATATTGATATATTCATTGCACAAAGTGTTTGTGTATATTTCATTGGGCTCATGCTCATGCTTGCCATGGTGGTGTTTGATCTCCAAAGTCTGCCACACCCAATTGCTTCACAGCGACTCTGGCACTGGAGACATGCGTGAAATTCGTGACGTTTCTGAAGTCATCTGGTTCAGATGTAGGATGCTGTAGTTAGAGATATGACATGTATTATATATTCAATAACCATGTATGATATAATGTAATGTATGGGGTCATCATGGCCCTGATTTTGCCCAGATTGGATCAACTTGGTGATTCTACTAACCACAAATCCTCATTTGGAAGCACGTAGACATGTATTGACACCCACTGCGGATGCTCCTGCGGTCTGAGACTGTGTGCTTAGAGCTTCGGGGTGTGATTTGTGTTGGATCGGCTCCTGACTTCTGCTGACAAGGCGTCAGAAGACCTGGATTTGGATGATATGTTGCGATGGTCATCTGTCCAGTCATGGGGTTTGTAGTCTTGACTCTTACTCAGTCTGTGACACGTTTATGCAGACTCTGCTACGGCAAGCTTGAAGGTCAAGAGCTGAAGGTCTCCATACCATGCACACTGTGAACATAAACAGTACCAGACCAGTACCATTATTGTAATATAAAAATAATATATATATATATATTATGACATGTACTCTTTAGGGAAAGAATCTAGATATGGACATCCGTTTGGATTTCCCTACAAACAAATACACCTAGCGGATTTTCCATCGATAACTCATTCGAGGTACGAGATGTCGATCATCCATAGGGATTATTAGGCCGTTCAAACATCTTCAAACCGACCATTTGTACCATGTTTGGTAACTAAAATTTGACATCTTTAGACCTTAAATTGCCAATTTATATAGACTCCATGAAAAACTACCTGTACCATTCATCAGCCTGTTTACCTAAACTATAGGCTTGGTTCAGCGCAACATGCCATGTCACGCCCTGCACCACTTTTTCACAGCATGCTGGTTGAACCTGGCAGCATATTCCGGGTGATTTCCGACATGGGCCGCCGGGTGAACCCTTTAGCAACCCCCAAATAAAGATAGAAAAGCAGAATCCAATCATAGCCAGTAAATAAGAGTGGAAATTTGGTGAATTCAATGTCTCCACCTTTTTGGGCGTTACTAGAGTCATGTTTGAGAAATCACATGTGTCATGTTTGGCGTAGTTCATACAAAAGCGTGCACATCTAAGCTTGGGCACTCCTTCAAAATCAAATTTGATCTTAGTGGAACCTGAAAGACAAAGAACCATCCTGGTGATATAGCATGCTTTTGGGGTTCCAACCTAGATTTTACATGGGAATCAGGTGAGGACGAAACCCCGTGACCCTAAACTTTTGCATTCACCCCATGGCTTCTGGATATTGCTGACAGCAATTCCATCTTTGCACATCTTTGCTGAATATATTTTCACTTCTGGTGGACTAACCCATGCAATTCTTGGAGTATTTAAGGGGGTCCTATGGATTCATTGATTCAGGTCAGCCCTCTCCCAACTCCCTGAAATGTTGAGCTTATTTTATTTTTTGATGGTAACAGCACATGTGCAACGGTAAAAACATGATATACATATAATATATATATATATACATATTATATGTATATATATACATATTATATACAATATACATATTATATAAATAATTATAATCATATATATATGTAAATATACATATTATAATCATATATATATATATACACATATTATATGTAAATATACATATGATTATAATATATATATATATAATTATATATATAATGGTCATCCCACCATTGTTGGGAGTCCTTCTGTTTGCCACTACAGTTCCCTGCTGAAAAGGTTGTATGACCATCCCACAATGTATACAACCCACTGTTTGACCAACGGTGCCAGTTCCACCAAGCAAGAGCGGCCAAGAGATGGAAAGGACAGTCGCCGCCCCTGACATATCATGATTCACCGGAGGGAATCTTGCGGGTAAAATTAGGTAAATACACATGGTGGCTCACCACAACTAGTAACTGCGTTATATTCCCAGTTATCAGTGGGGTAAGTGGGGTGAGCCCATGGTGATTAAGTGAAGTTATAAATTATAACCACGAACCACTTACTAACTGGGGTGAGCGGTGAGCTACCACCAAGCACGCAATTCATGGACGATCTGGGGTGAAAAAACTCAGTTCAAATGATGTTTGACCCGAAAACTTGAACATAACTATGAGAACACTTACCAACTCTCTCTACAAGACACACACACACAGTCACACACACAATATCACACACATGTTTAGTACTGATTCGAGCCAGTTGAGTAGTTTGAAAATCATGTTCACACCATTTTTCATAATCATTTTTTTGGAAATGATTTGAACCACCATCTGTTGAGAGCTTTGAAACAACGCCACAGGGTGAATGTTGCGAGGCTGTGGGCCAATGAAGCAGGCAATTCCCAGTAAATGCATTATTTCTGGTGGAATACTGGGGAAAACTGACATTATCTTCAGCAAATCCATTGTTTGTTTTGACAATTTATTTCCAATGGACGCCAGCATTCTGAAGCACAAATGAGTCGCAGGCCTTCTGTGTACAAAGGCCACTCATCGGGCCAATTCTCGCCTGCACAAGGCACAAGGCAATCTTTGAGTTCCTCATAATCTTTGGCGAGAACCATCCCTGCAGGATATTTACAAGATAATTGTACTATTAGATCAAAACTGATAAACCTTGACCTTGACTTGTGTAAGGTGCTAAATACCAAACCCCATCAGTAAACATTTCAACTGCGGTTTATTTCGAGCTGCTAGGTATCCTCCGGTAATCAAACAAGGCGATGAAAAGTCACCTGTTTTAATGATTTCACCATTGAACCCTCCATCGTAAGGGGATTTCCACTTCTCTGACGATGTAGAATGACCCCCTAATGGTTAGTCACACGGATGATTTAAACCCTGGATCCACTGCATAACGCCGCCCCTCAAATAATTTCAAGTCATCAAATCAGTCAGATTGACAGTGCCATCAAGCAGGTAAGGGTGAAGTTAATTTTGCGTTAAATTATATATACGCATGATAAGCTACATATGGTGCCCCAGGTTGTGAGGGAACGTGGGAACCACACAACAAGGCAAACTAGGATGGTTTTTTGGGGAATATATCCATAGTTAAGCGGGTTCATAAACCAATTTAAAACTGAGGGGCGCCATTTTCTTAATATATATATATATATATGTTTTTTTTATTATATGTTTATTTCTGTATTTATTTATATATGTACACAAAATCCAAATACATTCCAAAGTTGCAATCCATTTGCCAAGCGTTCCAGCCAATCACGAGTCTATTGGGAAAAAAACTGTAGTTGTAGGTGTAGCTGTAGTTGTAGTGTAGCGTCGTGGTAATTGTTGTTGTAGTAATGTAGCTGAAGTTGAAGTGGAAGTTGGAGTTGAAGTGTAGCTGAAGTTGTAGTGGTAGTTGTAGTTGCAGTTTCAGCTGCAAGTTGCAGTTGTAGTGTATATGTAGTAGTTGTTACAGTTGTAGTTGAAGTTGCAGTTATAGTTGTGGTGGCTCTAGTAATTGTAGTTGTATGTAGATGTAGTAATTGTAGTTGAAGCTGTAGTTGTAGTTGAAGTGTAGTTGAAGTTGTAGTTGTGGTTCTAGCTGTAGTTCTTGTACTTGAAGTGTAGTTGAAGTGCATTTGGAGTTGTACTTGTAGTTGAAGTGTAGTAGAAGTTGCAGTTGTAGTTGAAATTATAGTTGTACCGTGGTGTAGTGCAGTTGCAGTTGTCTATCTATCTGTCTATCTATTTACCTGATTTTTCTATTTATCTTTCTGTATACCTAACTATCTATCTATCTAGCTATCTATCTATCCATCTATCTATCTTTCTTTCTAACTAGTTTGAAAGCAAAGCTATTCTGCGAGACTTCCTCAATTTTCGAAAGTGGCAATTTCAACAACGAATCAATTCTGCGAGACTTCCTCAACTTTCCAAGTTGACAACATCAAAAACGAAGCAATTGTGCGAGACTTCCTTCGATAATGGAAAGTTGAGTGCAGAGCTGACGGCCTTGTACCAATGCCTTTTGTGATTTTTCTACTCTATCTGTCTAAAGTCCTGCGCCTGCCACGAAAATGTGATGCCAGGTCATGCGAAGTGCCGCACCTGTCACGCAAAATCATCTTAGCAAACCTGAAGAACTGATGCTCCAAAGTGCAACCCCTCTCAGAAATCAGCGCCCTGACCTCCTAACATCTGTGATGAACATGTCTCTTGTACTGCGCTTGCCACGCGAAATTCATCTTTCCAGATCTGCTTCAAATGTCAACGCCTGCCATCGTTTTTGTAAATGCTACAAGACCCTCACGTTTTGCTCACTTTTGGCAGGGTGCAGAGAATCCCTTGCGCCTGCCACGCAAAAACACATCTGAACCTTCAAAAGTGGTCCGAGCATGCGGTGCTTTTAACATTTACGTTCTTCTGACTCTTTTTCTCCTGTGATCTTCTCTCTTCTTCTCTTGTCTTCTCTGACTCTTCTCACCTCTGCTTTCCCATCTGTCCATATTGTCGGAAGTTTGACTTCTAAACTTCCTTCGGCCAGTAGAGAGGGTTTGTACGGATCTGTCTGGGAATATTGGTTTACAGTTTTAGACCCGAATTATGTAATGTTCAGTCTTAAACCATGTTATTCATCATACCTGTCAGCGTCCCATTCAGCAGGGCTTTGATTTTGAACCAATCCCAGGCCACTCCATCCTGATTCATCAAACCATTCTATCTGTCCAAAACCACGTCCTTACGCCATATTTCATAAATTTTGGCGATACATCCAGATACCGGTATATAATTATCTAATATAGCTATGGTATATAATCTAATATAGCTATATAATCTAATTTAATATGATTTGTTCAATAAAGGATTGTGATATTCCGTAGCGATGTTAAATTACCAGAGGGTACATCTCATAGACATGATTTGACATCCGATTCTGACGTCTATGCAGTGGGAGGAACAGTTGACCCCTCCAACGGACCGACCCAAGCATATCCAAACACGGTAACGGCGCGTATTGCAGTAGTCTTATTTCTGGGGGACCCGACCCCATGTGCTTCTGCCCGAACTGCAGGTATCATATAGCAAACAGTGAGTGCAACTTAAAATTTGATGTAATTAGTAAAATTCACCAACAAAAACCTACCATCAGAATCCAATATCAATCCCCACTGCATATTGTTGGTAATGACATCGCGCGCCACAAGGAATGCCCAATGGCCGTGCCTGCGGGTTTAGGCACTTCACCCTGGCGACGCGCGCTCTGAAGCTGCAGAAACTGCCACCTGGAAAGAAACTAGTGCATGAGGTAGTGGGAAAATCCAACAATTACAATTAATCGAAGGAAGTTTAGAAGTCAAACTTCCAACAATATGAACAGATGGGAAAGCAGAGGTGGGAAGAGTCAGAGAAGAGAAAGGAAGAAGAGAGAAGATCAGAGAAGAGAAAGAGTCAGAAGACAGACGATGCAGGTGCGCGAAAAGGTAGCAAAGTCGCGAAATACTATGTTTTTTTCCACTGATTTGTGGCTCCGGAGGGTCGAAAAGTAGGCTCGCTAAAGCGACGGGTGCGGAGCCGTCTGGGGAGATGATAGATGAAAAATTGCACGCCATTGTGGCGCGAAGCACATCTCCAAGTCAAAACGTACGAAACACAAGCTTCGGGCAATTTTTGAATTTTTGGAAGAGTTGAGATGTCGAAAAAGTGCGCGCGGTTGTGACGCGAAGCACATTTCCAAGTCAAAATGTTAAAAACACTACATGCTCGAACCAGGTTCAGAGGTCGTTTCGCGTGGCAGGCGCAAGGGATTCTCTGCACCCTGCCAAAAGTGAGCAAAACGTGAGGGTCTTGTAGCATTTACAAAAACGATGGCAGGCGTGGGACATTTGAAGCAGATCTGGAAAGATGCATTTCGCGTGGCAAGCGCAGTACAAGAGACATGTTCATCACAGATGTTAGGAGGTCAGGGCGCTGATTTCTGAGAGGGGTTGCACTTTGGAGCATCAGTTCTTCAGGTTTGCTAAGATGATTTTGCGTGACAGGTGCGGCACTTCGAATGACCTGGCATCACATTTTCGTGGCAGGCGCAGGACTTTAGACAGATAGAGTAGAAACATCACAAAAGGCATTGGTACGAGGCCGTCAGCTCTGCACTCAACTTTCCATTATCGAAGGAAGTCTCGCACAATTGCTTCGTTTTTGATGTTGTCAACTTGCAAAGTTGAAGAAGTCTCGCAGAATTGATTCGTTGTTGAAGTTGCCAATTTCGAAAATTGAGGAAATCTCGCAGAATTGATTCGTTTTTGATGTTGCCAACTTCGAAAATTGAGGAAATCTCGCAGAATTGCTTCGGTTTCAAGCTTGCAGATAGAGAGATCGAGAGACAGATAGACACAGACAGACAGACAAACAAACAGACAGACAGGTAGATAGATAGACAGCTACAACTACAAGTAGAACTACAACTGCAACTGCAACAACAACTACACTACACTACCAGAACAACTTCAAATGCAAAAATACAAAGCTACAGTACACTAATTACACTACACTACGCTAATTACACTACAGCTATAACTACAACTATACTATTACTACACTAAAGCTACAACTACGAGTACAACGATGCTACATTACACTACACAAATTACTCTAGTTACAGTACACTACACGACACAACAGCTACAACTACAACTACAACTACCACAACAACAACAGCAACAACAACAACAACTACTACTACTACTACTACAACTACAGCTACAACTACAACTACAACTACACTGCATTATATTACACAACAATAAGCTACACAAATTATACTACACTACACAACTACAACTGCAACTGCCACTACAACCACGCTACATTACACTACACTACACCAAATGCACTACACTACACTACGCTACACTACAAAACACAAACTAAAACTACAGCTACAGCTACAACTACACTACTTTACACTAATCTACACTGGACTACACTACAGCACGCTACACTACATTACATTACTCTGCACTCGTTACACCACACCACAACTACAACTGCAACTACACTATACTAATTGCACTACACTACAGCTACAACTCCACTACGCTACATATACAACTACAGCTGCACTACACCACACTACATCCAGCAGTTGTGGGTGAGGTGACCACTGCAAACATTGCAACCACTCCAAAAAACACAACTCCAACCACCTTTCGGTCCATCAGTGGATTCGCTCTGCCATCCATGCATCGCAACAACTCACCTCTTCTATATAGTGTCCTATCTTTGAAACTTCCGCCACCGCCTTGTGCGGTACTATTGGTATAGCTATCCTATTGCAACCTTCATTACTATGGGAATTTTGCCATTGCCTAAAAGCATTTAATTGAATATTGTTATGGGATGATAATCGGGTCCTTTCACCCATGGAATCCCTGTACTCCCAAATCACTGGGATCATTACGGGTCCATCCCCGAATTTACCATACATAAGGGTGGTTGATTTGTGCTTTTCTAACATTATCCATACTAAAAACGTCCCTGTGAGAAATGAGATTGATATGCTGAAGCATCCATGGGCCGGTTCTTCCAACAGTACAATGGCTGTCGTTTTCAAGTTGAAAAAATAACATATAACAATTTAAAAAATAACATGTTTTTTGTTAAGGGCAACTGTGCACTGAAACATGTTACATTGCATAATATCTGGTGGTTTCTGAATTGGAGACCCCAAAACTAGATGGTTTAGTACTCAAAATGAACATGTCTGCAATGTTTGGTCTCCGATCTTATGGGAGACAAACAGAACAGCAGGGTTCATGTGACAATCTACTGTGGTCATCTGGCAGACAGGATACCTTCCGGCTGATAGCCAGAACTGAACCACCCTTTTCAAGTCCAAGTAATGTTGATCCCCCCAGAAAAAGTATAGTCCAAATGGGCACCCGCGCCCGATCTCTACGAAGGCCTTGCCCGGCCACCTTAGGTGTCACTTAGGTGTCACTTAGGTGTCACTTAGGTGTCACTTAGGTGTCACAACCAGTTTGGTCTTGGGTCTAGTTCGCCACAACAAATGCACATATACAGTTATATAAATATTTAATAATAACAAAAATAATGATAATAATAAGAATAATTAATACAGTAGTAATAATAATACATATTATAATTGTATGTACGATATTTAAATATATAAACATATATACAGTTATATAAATATTTAAATATGTAAAATTGTTCTATACCGTGTGTCTTGTAAAAAAAGGTGTATATATATACATATTTATTAGATCACACACGTGCATAGATGCATATTTTAAAAAGAAAACAGCAATATATTATGTTTGGATTCATGGAGCAGAGTCCCCCGGATCAGGATAACTTTGAAACATGTCAACAATGAAGCACAATGCACAATAATGAATTTTACATCCAAATGATACAACTATATACAGTATATAGATATATAAATAATTTCAAACATATCTATATAAGTTCACCTATATATATATATTGAAACACTGCATCTTACATCGCAAAAGCCGTGACATAGCCATGCTGCCATGGGCTAGCCATGCACCTCAGCACGTCGCTCCAAGCAGTAGAGGCTCCAACTCGTCATTTTCTCCCCATGACTATCAAACACAGGGGGTCTAATCTTCAAAAAAATGGGATTGAACCACATTTAGCCAATGCGGATTCGGATTTGGATATGTCCAACAAATAGGATGTACAGTTCCGCTGTACCCTAAAGCCATGGGGTTCAATAGAAAAGAATGCAAAACTAGTCTCATGTTAGATGATTCCGGGGTTACCCCTAATTACTGTAGGAATCATCCTGGTGGCTGACGGATTACACATGAGACACCCATAGCAGCGGCACACCCTTAGCACAACCAGGCAGCCGGACGAATGCCGACCTGTGTCAGTGACCATGATCCACACTTCTGCGAAGGATTCACAATCCACATGCCTGACGCCATTGATTCAGGGAGGTGATCCGGTTGGTTAATCTTGCTATCTTTCAGGATGTTCCATGAAAAACCCCTTCAATAGTAGAGCAACATTTACTGTAAATGTTGATGTCTGAGGCAGGTACTGGTTTCAGTTTGGCCTCTGCATCTGGAGTGTTACAACTATTTGGGCATCAGAATGACTTGAGAGATATCCGTCTCCCAGAATGGGCCAAACAAATTGCTTTACTTGCAGGTGCGGTATCTACAGGCTAGCCATGTGTAAGAATGTCGATATCTACAAATGCAAGTGATCCTACTCGCATGAATATATTATATCCCCTCAAGTTGCTTCGAACCCCCTTGGGGGCCATTTTAGAACCCAAATATGGGTTCTAAAATGGAATCTACAAGGGTGGTCTTAGAACCTAAAATTTTTGACCGCTATTCCGTTTTTGGGTTCTAAAATGGGTTCTGAAATGGTATCTTCCACCCTTCAAAAAATCATGAAAATCATCCAAAACTTGATATACTCGATGATGCACTCATGCGTCAAACTCTTCAACATCTTCACTTCTTGTAATGGTCCAGTGTTTCCAATCAACTGTTGGTATTATAGACCACTGCTGAAATATCATGAAGTAGCATTAAATAGCTGTATTTCTCTGTAACGTTCTTAAGGCCTTATTTGATCTTATTTGACCTTCTGTGTATAGAGCTACATCTATGCGTTCTGAAAAGGAATCCATGGGCCACGGATGTTGAATCACACTTTGACACATGAAGGAAACCATTCTAGAACCCTTCCCTCCTCTCCACAAGAAAAATTGGGACATTCCAGATCAATGTGTTTCCAAATCAACTGTTGGTATTATAGACCAATGCTGAAATATCATGAAGTAGCATTAAATAGCTGTATTTCTCTATACCGTTGTTAAGGCCTTATTTGGTCTTATTTGGTCTTCTGTGTATAGAGCTACATCTATGCGTTCTGAAATGGAATCCATGGGCCACGGGTGTTGAATCACACTTTGGTACATGAAGGAAACCATTCTAGAACCCTTCCCTCGTCTCCACAAGAAAAATTGGGACATTCCAGATCAATGTGTTTCCAAATCAACTGTTTGTACTATAGACCAATGCTGAAATAACATGAAATAGCATTAAATAGCTGTATTTCTCTGCAACGTTGTTAAGGCCTTATTTGATCTTATTTGACCTTCTGTGTATAGAGCTACATCTACGCGTTCTGAAATGGAATCCATGAGCTACAGATGTTGAATCACACTTTGGTACATGCAGGAAACCATTCTAGAACCCTTCCCTCCTCTCCACAAGAAAAATTGTGACATTCCAGATCAATGTGTTTTCAAATCAACTGTTGGTATTATAGACCAATGCTGAAATATCATGAAGTAGCATTAAATAGCTTTATTTCTCTGCAACGTTGTTAAGGCCTTATTTGATTTTATTTGACCTTCTGCACTTTTTGTACACATCCCCTTAATTTCAAAATTCTGCCTCGTTAATTCGGGGTGACGTCGTGACGTCAAATTAAATCGTACAGATACATCATCATATGCTATTATAATATACTATAAAATATATTATACTGTATTATACAAGCTTCCAGGGTTCTACAATGCTTACGGGACCGGGGGTTCTACAATGATTTTTTTTCATTCTAGAACCCTCCGTGTTTATCCCCAGGGGGGGGGCATTCTAGAACCTTCCAACTTGAGGGTATTATATTATATCATACCGTAATACAATATATGAAACGATATTATATTACAGTAAACTATATCATATGATGTAATATGGCATGGTGTTAAACTATATTATATGACATTATATGATATGATATGATATAATATTGAGATTATGTGATACTAAATTAAATTACATGACATTATACTATATGAAAATAAATTATGATAAAAACTATAAATTATTTCATGTTAGACTATATGATATTAAATACTAATATGAATATAAATCATGATTATGATTAACATTATCATTATTATTGCTAGTTCTATGATTATTAAATATCATCACAAAAAAGTATATATTGTTTCACATCCCTCACAGTGGCCCCAAAATAAATATGAACATATATGAACATATATGAACATATATATATATATTATGATATATATATATATATACATACATATTCAACAATAAACATTAATAAACCACGCTTTTGGTTGGTTCTATTTAACATTCTAGGGAATAGAGTAATCGCATAAAATTTCGGTACACCACGATCTTTTCATATCGTTTTTTCTCTGCAAGTCCTGTCGCTGCAAACCATTGGATACGAAAAATGCTGGGGTGCCTTCGCAGCAACTCTTCCAGCAGAAAACTTGGCAATCAAGGAGGGCCAGCTTGCTCCAGTGCAGGATGTGTAGGGTACAGTTCTGTCTATATGGGGGTTTTCATAGTCATGGGGGGTACCCCAAAAGCTGGATGGTTTATAAGGGGAAACCCATCTATAAATGGATTTAGGGGTACCCCCATGTACGGAAACCCCCATATATATATGGATGGCTCATCAAACCTTTTGGATTCTGGTGCTTGGGGACGGACAGCACAAGAGCACCCGTTGGAACCAACATGCGACCGCGGTCATTGGTTTCTAAGCTGATTTCATAGTAGAGAGAAACGGACCGTTGGGTTTCATGTAGTATTTGTAGAATCCAAGGGTGCTGGCCTTGAAATCCCATGGGAACCAGTCGCAACACTTCAAACGAGTAAATTCACAGATTTCAAGCACGATATGTGGAGCCTTCAAGGCGGTGGGATGTGTGTTGACACGCAAATCTGAATCACCTGCGAAATCCGAACAAACAATACTCAACTGCTGGGACGGTACTTCGAGAAAAGTCAACGCACAAACAATGCAACAACACAGAACAATGTTCTGAACAAGTGGCGCTAAACGGCGCTAAACTATTGGAAAACATTAACCATATTAACCCTCAATTGGTCCATGAGCCACTGACCCTATGACTGCAATGCCCTTTTTGATCCCATCCTGGTTTCCTTTCCGTCAGAGTCTGTTTGATTTCATATGTGCTCGGTTTGCTCGTATAACACATTAACACACCCAAATATAACATCAAAAGACATGTCCCACAATTATGGATGCTTATCTTCAGTCTCCTTATCCATGGGCAGGTGAATAGGGCTTCCTCTTACCATCACTTTATGGTCAAGTCGTCGCCGATGGCTCGCCCACTCAGAGCCTTGTGGATCCTTGTGGCACCGCCACAGCTCAGAGCCATTCGTCCTTTTTGGACTCACCGGAATAGACCCAGCCCCACTTCTCGTCCTCCTTCATGACGCTGCGTTCCAGCAGGGTCCCATCAGCACCTGCAGTGACCGATGTGGAGATAAGAAGACTCCAAATCAGTCCCATTACCTCCCATTTCGTTGTTTTTTGAACATAACATCTGGTGAAACTATGGCAACCGGTTGACTCGGCACCCTTGTAAGGGTGACGAAATTGAAATTCTGATGTTTGAGGCTAATAGACAAAATGCTGGTATTCGCAGGAGTCGTCACAAAATGTTTGCAACATGGACATTCATTTCGATTGGCAGGCGTGTGACTCAAGAGTGAAAATTTGCGTTTCGCCAGCGCAGTGACGCGATTTTGCTCTTCAAGGGTCAAAAAAAACATTAGAAATTTATGATTCTCAATCATCCGAATCATATCAGGGCGACATTCACTCTTCCAGTTTTTTCCTCTTCTCCACGCTAGAGCGCTTGTGGCAACGTAGAAGCCACAGTCTGCAACAAGGCAGCGCTGTGACGCCATGTCCAGCTGTAGGCCCAAGTGTACCTTTTTTTTGTGCACGTGTTGTTTTTTTTTGTGGAGCATCGACGGAGGTCGCCATTTTTTCAAGTGTTTCCATGTTCCATCCATTTGTTGAGTACCAGCAACAATGGTTCTATAGGATTTATCCCACAAACGACCTCGAAAATGATAAGTCTTAGTCTTAGTAAAGATATTTTGTTTGTGGTTGACTTGGGCCAACTTGAACCTTTTGTGGGGATAATCTTTGACACAACTGACAGCATGTGCAACGTTTGCATCTTCCGTAACGTAAAGGAAGTGCTCGTCAGGGACGTTAATACACCCCCCCACCCTCCACCCCCACCCCCCTGATGATCATACGACAGCATGCGCAACGTGTGCATCTTCCGTAACGTAAAGGAAGTGCTCGTCAAGAACGTTAATACACCGCTCCACCCCCCACCCCCAACCCCCCCTGATGATCATACGACAGCATGTGCAACATGTTAAAAACTCAAAAAAAATCAAATCCTATACCCCCATTTCCGCAAGCCTCATTTTTGAAATTTGCAACCCTTCCAAGGGATCGTAACTGGCACATCTCAAAATTGGCAACCCTTCCAAGGGCGCCGTATCAGCCGCATGCCTGAAACTACCATAGCTATGGAAATTACACCATCTACAGATTTCCCTATTTCAAATGGATGTTTTTTTCATAGCTATGTTTGTTAACTAAAGGGTCAACCAGATTCGACACCCATTTTTGGACAAGTCAAGGGCCCAACTGGACTATGTTCGAAAATGGGCCATTTAGAGAGGATATACCTATGAAACAAAATATACTGGTTGGTGGTACACCTACCCCTCTGAAAAATATGAGAGTCAGTTGGGATGATGAAATTTCCCAATATATGGAACAATAAAATTCATGTTCCAAACCACCAACCAGATATGTTAAATGGGCCATTTATATGTCAAAATCTATTACTATGGCCCAAATATTCTATTACTATGAGGGTAATTGTCCGTTGTTATGTCAAATTACCAAAACTTAGTCCATGTCCTTGCAAGTTCGATTCTATTCTGACCATCTGCTGAAGAAACAAGTTTAAATCTCCCCAATGCCAAGAAACAAGCTTATATAGTTTTGACGAATGTGAAATATCCCCAGCCAAAATGAATCCATGATGTCCATCTGCTAAGAAACACTACAAAATCATACAGTAGGATGTTTTTTTCACATCCCTTGCCATCCTGCATACCAACCAAGGAGCAGCAAATGTCGACAATTTTATCATTGATCATTGTCTCCAAAGAACAATATCTTGGTTTTGACAAATCTTAAATACTGTATCCTCTTCATTCCTCTCCCATATCCCCATCCACAATCTGTTAATGTCTGCCAAGGAGCAATAAATTTTGAACTCCACCTCATTTCCAGAGGCCTCCAGAATTTCCAACTTTTCAACTTCCCGCAAGTTGGCCGCTTTCCCCGCCTCCGTGTCCTAGAGGCGGGTCCAAGCACAATTTTTTTCACCGTCAAAAAATGTGATTTCGAACTCCCTCAATTTGGGACAAAGGTAAGAAACCCTTAGGAACCAACCATTTCATGTGGATATACTGGGGATGCAAATGCAAAGGGGATATAATGGGGATATGCAAAGGGGATTTCAATCAGGGGATGCGGAACTTAGCAACCACTTTCAGTAGCCTCAAGAAACATTCAGCAACAAGGCCTCTTGAAGTCGTCCCCACAGTCTTTTGTTCCACCCCGTTTTTGTCGCCAGATTTGGGAAGGTGAAGGAACTTCAAGTTCAGGAACTGAGCATTTGATGAAGTTGTGAAGAAAGCTACCAAGAATCCAACTGTCACATCACCAACCAAGCACCCATAGCAAATCAATAAATCAAGCAGACAAATGTTCCAGCTACAAGTCTTACAGTAAGTACGTTTTGCTTTAGGGTACTGAAACTCACGCTTTAGGGTACCATGAAGTACCCTCTGGTAAACTAACATAACTATGGAAAATCACAATTTTTTCATGGGGAAATTTCACTATAAATGGTGGTTTTCCATAGTTATGTTAGTTTACCAGAGGGTACTATTCAAGGTGAACAACAACATCGAAGAAAACACCGAACTTCAGTGCATGACGTGCTTGTCGTTAGTCAGATCCTAGCCATGACTCGGGAACTAAGGTGTCAATGGATTGCTGTCGCAAAAAATCCAGGCAACCCTTGCATGTGTCATAGCATATATGGAATTGTGAATGAATTTCACAATCTCAACGCTTGTGAAATTATCGCTTGATTTTTTGCATGTAGAACATACCTTATCAGTCAGCTATCTTGGACCCAGTCTCAGTCAATCATCTGTATCTAGCATGCTCGTTTGAGTTGCAAGTGCTTGTTGAACCACAGCAACACCCATCAATCGATTGGGGTCTAAAGGTACACCCCCAGCTGTATCCAAAAGCGGGCCGCAGTAGGTAGATTGTACAACATTAACATTTCCAGGGCTGGAACATAGTTCCTCCGATGAACATCAACATGAAAATAGAGCATCGCATGTGCACATAATTTGTCCACAACCATGTTGGATTACCAAAGGGTATCCATCTTCCAGTTCAATTCCATGTTTTTCACTAAAGTCAGATGTTTATAGATTTCTGATGAGTTTTGTTGATGGTAGTGAAATCCCAAGCGCTTCAAAGCCTTTGGGTAATTAATGACCCCAAACATCCCCAAAAGTACGCTGCAAAAACCCAGGCACGTATTCATCGCCCTTCTCGGTACCAAAACCTTGGGCATGAAAGGGAGGAACAGCTGGTTTCAACTCGTCCACGGCTTGGAGAAAGCCAGCAGACAATAATCCCATTTCTGGATGAAGATCATCTCAGAGGCAATAGTACGTATTATATCCCAGTAGTACCGCACAAGGCGGTGGCGGAAGTTTCAAAAATAGGAAACCTATAGGAGAGATTGGCTGTTGTGAATCAGGGATGGCAGAGCGCATCCACTGATGGACCGAAAGGTGCTTGAGGTCTCCTCTCTTTCTCTCTCTTTCTCTGACTATCTACTTACCTACCAGAATATCTTCTATGTATCTATCTATCTATCTATCTGTCTGTCTGTCTATCTATCTATCTATCTATCTATCGAATCTATCTATCGAATCTATCTATCTATCTATCTATCTCTCTCTCTCTCTCTTTGATCTGTCTATCTGTCTAGCTGTCTACCTGTCTATCTATCTATCTATCTGTCTATCTGTCTATCTGTCTATCTATCTGTCTATCTGTCTACCTGTCTATCTGTGGTGCAGTGTCATTCAGTGTATATAATGTAGTGTAGTGTAATGTAGTGTAGTGTAGTGGAGTGTAGTGGAATGTAGTGTAGTGTAGTGTAATGTAGTGTAGTGTAATGTAGTGTAGTGTAATTTTGTGTAGTGGAGTGTAGTGGAGTGTAGTTGTGTAGTCGTAGTTGTAGTTGTAGTGTAGTGGAGTGTAGTGTAATGTAGTGAGGTGTAGTGGAAGGTAGTGTAGTGTAATGTAGTGTAGTGTAGTGGAGTGTAGTGTAGTGTAATGTAGTGTAGTGTGGTGTAATTTAGTGTAGTGGAGTGTAGTGGAGTGTATTGTAGTGGAGTGTAGTTGTGTAGTTGTAGTTGTAGTTGTAGCGTAGTGGAGTGTAGTGGAGTGTAGTGGAGTGTAGTGGAGTGTAGTTGTGTAGTTGTAATTGTAGTGTCGTGTAATGTAGTGTACTGTAGTGGAGTGTAGTGTAGTGGAGCGTAGTGTAACGTAATGTAGTGTAGTGCAGTGAAGCGAAGCGACATCTGAACCTCCAAAATTTGACTTCGAAATGTGCTTCGCGCCACAGCGGCATGCACTTTTTCGACATCTGAACCTCCAAAAGTGGTCCGACACTGAGGTGTTTTGTACATTTTGACTTCGAAATGTGCTTCGCGCCACAGCGGCGTGCATTTTTTCGACGTCTCAACTTCCAAAAGTGGTCCGAGAATGGTGTGTTTTGTACATTTTGACTTCGAAATGTGCTTCGCGCCACAGCGGCGTGCACTTTTTCGACGTCTCAACTTCCAAAAGTGGTCCGAGAATGGTGTTTTGTACATTTTCACTGGGAAATGTGCTTCGCGCCACAACGGCGTGCACTTTTTCGACATTGTAACTTCCAAAAGTGGTCCGACAATGGTGTACATTTTGACTTCGAAATGTGCTTCGCGCCACAACGGCGTGCAATTTTTCATCACTCATCTGGCCAGCTGGCTCCGCACCCGCCGCTTTAGCGAGCCTACTTTTTGACCCTCCGGAGCCACAAATCATTGGAAAAACACAGTGTTTCGCGACTTTCCTACCTTTTTGCGCATCTGCATCTTCTTTCTTCTTACTCTTTCTCTTCTACTCTTCTACTCTTCTTTCTTCTAATCTTCCTCTTCTCTCTGCCTCTTCCCTGCTCTGCTTTTCATCTGTCCATATTGTCGGAAGCTTGACTTCTAAACTTCCTTCGAATATTTTATTAAATTATATGTGAGCATGTCTGTTTTTACATGTAAATAATAGAATAGACAGACAACATCGACAACCAGAAATTATCCACACAGATTATCCACACCTCACCGCGATCTGCGACTTCTGCGACCAGGAACAAATACCCCAGGCCTTTACGCGATTGCTCAGCTTGGATTTCAAGGGATCCACCTCACCAGGGTCACCAGGAAGCAGCCAAAACGGGGAGGAAGCAGACAATCAGCAGACAATCAGGGGAACAGTTTACCTTTCAGAACTATTCAGAAATATAGATCCTGGTTGGTAGTTTTAACATGTTTTAACCATCTTGGAAAATATGAAAGTCAATGGGAAGGATTATCCCATATATTATGGAACATAAAAAATGTTTGAAACCACCAACCAGGATCTAAACAACCACCACAACACAAACTGAAATATATGTCCAGTAGGAGGGATTTAATGAATGAACAAATTTGAACAAAGGGGAATGTCCGTTTGAAATTGAACGTTTTACTATTCATGTGTCAAAAACAAAGATGCAATTCGGCCCGAAACCTAAACCCTATATAGTTATTAAGAACCCATCCAATTTGGGACAAAAAAAGCTGGACCTGTACCTGATCTATCCTGGGTGAACACTGCATCCACACCATGATTTGCCGGGTCTGCTGAGCAGTGAGGACCGCTCCAATCAATAGAGGTGTTGTTATCCTCATTGAACCGGACAATGCTATCACAGATTTTTTGTAGTACCCGTACCCTTCAGTAATTTGACATAAACGTGAAATAATATACCATCTGGCTATTTAACATAGCCTTGGAAAATCACCATTTTTAATAGGTAAACCATCTATTTCTATGGGCCATTTCCCATGGATATGTTAGTCATAACCAGAGGGTATATATATATACTTTCACAGTGGATTGTCCAGTTCTCACGGTGACATCAAATCACGGTCGGATCCTTGCAGTTTTTGAAAAATCAACCGCAACGCAATTTCTGGCGCTTTGTAAAATTGCCGCGAGTCAACCAATCTAACTATGTTATAATCACCTTAAACTCAGCACTTAACGTAGTTAGGAACCAACTCCCCTATCATAAATCAAACATATATATATATATATCATTATGAATCCACACTGTGTGCTGTTTCAGACCGGATTCTTTCTGATTGGAATCGCCTATTTTTGGGTGGTTAAACCCCATGCACTGGACTATGTCCCCCCAGTTCTTTAAATGGTTGATAAATAAACTAAATTAGCTTCGATCTCCAATATATCAACCATATGTCCAATATCAACTACCCTCTGTTAAACTAACGTAACTACGGAAAATCACCATTTTTAATGGGTAAATCCACTACAAATGGCAATTTTCAATAGCTATGTTAGTTTACCAGAGTTACAGAGGCTGTCAACCATATGTTTTGAATCATCCCGGATGAAGCTCCACGTTTCAACAGGGGGCACCCAGAAATCCACCTCCGTCTTCGCCATGAAGACGGAATCCTTGCTGCGGCACGCCGAAAAGCGCGCCCGGACCATGTCTTCCGGGCTCCCTGCGGCGCCGCCCTTCAGGATCCTCGGCGTTTTGCGGCCCCTCCAGTGCCTACCTGTTCAAAGATTTCAATGATGTTTATCAATGTTTATCATAAGTGAGTCTTGAAAAACACCCCTATATATACATAGATGTAGAGAACTGATTTTATTTCTAAATACTGACATATTTACTTTAATAGCACTTCAAAAACCACTTTGTCATCATTCTCGATCATTGCAAATCAAAAATGACCGGCGTCAGCATTTGGATCCATGCCCTTTCCAAAAACACATTATTGTGAAGAGAACAATCTGAACCCAGTGGAACTTGAAAATTGTTGCTTTTTACCTCTCGAAGTTTAAACTATTATAAAATCATTCATGACTAGTTTCAAACGGAGCTTGAAAATCATCGATGTTGGTTTCTGGGAGCTTCAATTTTGATCCAGGTCCCTGGATCGTTATCTTGTGTGTTCCATCAAACATATTTCATGTCAAGTAGGCAGCTTCCCCCTTTCAGAAAGTTGAGTGTACAGTATACACAAACACACACACACACTTTGAAAAACACAGCCTTCCGTCAACACAGCTTGCAAACACATGCATTGTTGTCTCCGAAAAGCGTAGTATCGCTTCACAAAAGGAATGCATGACTTATTTCTTTCAAATATTTAGTATTACTTGAAGTTCAAGAAACTCTTTCTTAAAGCATCTTAAAACAGCAGTCTATGTTAAGAAAATATATTCAGCTTTCAACACACATGTTTTATTCAAAGGATGCAGGATTACTTACAAAAGCACCCTTTGGTTTCAAACAGTTGGATTCCTTTAAATAAGTGCCGTTTTTTTTAAGAATACACCTTTTCTTTAAACAAATGCAAGTTTGTTAGAAGCAGATCTTCTTCTCAAATAAACATTTTAAATGTAACGTATGCAGATCTCCTTTTACAAAGTTTGGCATACACACACACACGTACAAACCACACAATTCCTTCAAGAAGGAAACCCTTCTGTGGCAAAATGCACAGTACCCCTTTACAAAAGATGCAGTGTCCCCCTTGACAATGTATCCCACTTGAAATCTATGTGATATTCCTTCCAAGCATCCCTGTACACAAGTGCAATGTTTTTTGAAAGAGGCAATTTCCATTCAGAAAATGCAGCATTTCTTGAAAAAGGACAGCTCCTTTTCAAACAAACACTTTTTCATTTCAAGTATGCAGTATCTAAAGGAAAGAAATACATACCAACTTTTGAAAGCAACATGTCCCTTTAAGGAAGCAGTACTCAGTACTCTTGCAAAATTTGCAGTATTGCCGCCCCTGCAAATGTGAAGAGTTTCTTTCAAAATGATACAATATTCCTTTTCAAGAAAATTTTGAGTCCCTTCAAATGCATAGCATTGCTTTCCAATGGTAGAAGCAATTCTGATTGACAATGTCCGTTGTTCTCAACGGGCACGTTTATTTGAAGGATATAGCATTCCGTGAAGTATTGAGGATCCTTTGTAAATATCTACGTAACATTCCTGCAAAGAAAGTCAATGTTCTTCAAAAGAGGCGGTTTTCACCTAAACAATGAAGCGTTTTTTGACCCAAATGTTCTCAACAAGGGAATCTTCATTCCAAGTAACGCACTATTGGTTCCAAAGAAATGAAGTATATACTGACTTTAGAAAACATTGAAAAATGTAAGAGGGTAGGATTTTTCAATTTATACAGTGTCTCTTTTAAACATCGCTTCTTTCAACACGATGAATTTGAGGAAGGGACCTTTCTTTCAAATATGCCGTCTTCCTTGACAAACATGCTATCTTTCCTTGAACAAATTGTTTTCAATAGAAAGATGCAGTAGCTCTTACAACTAGTAGTTTCCGTTAGATCCTCCACAGAGCAAAAAAAAACTAAGGTAAAACAAAAAACAAAAAAAATGAAACAGACCAGATGGTTTCAGCCAAATTTAGTGGATTTTTGGTTTTACCTTAGTTTTTGGTTTGTTGGTTTCCTCGAGACGGTCTTTGTTTTCTTGGTTTTGGAATCCAAAAAACCTAAAAAAAAATCATGGAAAAATTGGTTTTTCATCAACAAGTATCATTTCACCTTTTTTTTGTTTTTTTTCGAGATGTGCTGGAATGAAAAACGCAAAAAATATGGAACAAAATAGTTTTTGAGCTCAAGACAACTCAAAAAAACTATACAGGTGAAATGATACTCTTTGATGAAAAAAAAATCCATGAGGTTTTTAGGTTGTTTTGATTCCAAAACAAAAAAAACCTCTCAAGGAAACCAAGAAACAAACTAAGGTAAAACCAAAAATCATATTTTTATGCTGAAACCATCTGTTATGTTTCGAAAAATGTTTTTTTGGGTTTTCCTAAGGTTACATTCAGTGATTAGTCTTTTGCTCATTATCCAAATTACATGTGATTCTTCAGAGACTTTTTTTGCTTGGACTGCTTTTGGAGGCCAATTTCTGGCTCTCTATATAAAAGTGTTCCTTTTCATTGAATTCATGTCATTCATTCATCTTAATATAATTTTCCCAACTGCATTTTACTGCGTATTTTCCAGTATTTTTAAATGACACGCTTTTCATTCACAATATATGTAAACAGCAGGGTACCCTCCAGTGGCTTCAAGGTAGGCCCTGGAGGGGCCGCTTACCATATATATATAGATACATATGGATATAATTGGTAAAATAAATATTTAAAATAAACAAGACCTGTAAGTACAATATATCATATGTTCACTGGTATAATACGTATATAGTATGTCTATGTAATTGTTCACATCCTTTTTGTGCAGATTGATCGTATCCTCATATAGGTATTATCAACTATTCAATGTATCAGCATTGTCTCACATCTTTTGTTGAAATTGTTGTGACAATTCAATCATACATATGTATATATATATATATAATTATGTATTTTGTATATCAAGTAGAGCTACGTTGTGTAGATGTATCATGAACATATACAAATGTGTCTTCAGATGAAAATGTGTATATATACCGTATATATACACAGATTGTTTGTTCTTTGTGTACATAGGCTAAAGCATCACATACGTTTGCATGTTGTATAAATATATGTATAATATATATATATATGAGATTATATATATATATGAGTGTACACACATAAACGACGTCAGTATCATATCAACCAGATTCATAAACCACTGGCTTGTCTAATTCAGTGGGTACGAGTGCCATCTAAATTCCCAATTCCTCATTCTTTTCGAGGATCCCTCTCCGCCCCCGGGAATTTGAAGCAACCAGCGTCTGTTAATCCGAGCTTGACAGTATGCATTGTACACCACAGTATAGTATAATGATGTATAATGTACAGCAATACCCCAATAGATGATATCGGTCTTTTTTGAAGCATTCATAAAACCTAAAACCAAATGTTACCAACATAATACATTTTTTTGGGGGAGGGATTGCTATATCATAATATATCAGAATATACCCTCTGGTAAACTAACATAGCTATGGAAAATCACCATTTTCAATGGGTAAATCCACTATAAATGGCCATTTTCAATAGCTATGTTAAATTACCAGAGGGTATCCAAATGTGTCTTTATGTCCTCTCAGTATCCGAGCGACTTCTCAATGGCGTCTGCCTTCGCTCCGTGGTCAGCCTTCAGCTCCTCTTTGTTCACCGCCTTTCGTTTCCTGCGAAAAACCCACCCGGGACGACCCGGGAACGTAGCGTTCCATTGGGTACCTGATTGGGTTCCTGATATCATGGGTACATATCCGTCTACATTAATGATATCATATGATGGGAGTATAATTCACTTTCACCCATAGAAAAGGAAGAATCCAAGATATCTTTGCATGATATCAGGATGGAATATGATATACTTTTCACCCTGAGATGAATCGTGTTGATGTGAATTTTCATGAGAATGTAATTCATATTCACCAACATGATGGTCAAACCAAACATTTTTAATGGGAATATGATGGTGATAACTCACTTAAAAAACGGGAATGTTCACAATATCATTGGATGTTGGCAACAGCCCATCATTTCTTGGGTACCCGGTACCATCATGTGAACATTTCTTGGGGAAACGTTACCATCTGGTTATGACTAACATAGCTATGGAAAGATCCACCATTTTTAGAAGGTAAACCATCTATTTCTATGGGCCATCTATACCATGGCGAACTGTTTTAGATAACCAGAGGGTAAATAAAATGGGATACACGGGTCTGTCTGAAAATAGGCAAGAAAAAAAACGCAACTCATGGCCATCAAACAATGGTGAAAATCATGACGCGCCTTTTTGGCCTTTTTGGCCTTTTTTTCTTCATCAAGCCAAGCGGCCACTCTGATCGATAGGCTAATGATTCAATAGTATAATAAAAAAGCACTATATAATCAAATTTGACGACATTTAACGTTGATCATTGCCTCAATGCCTTTGAGGGTGTTGCTTAATGCTGAAGCGTATGAAATAACATTTGACCATTTAAGCGGATTCGGAATACTTGGATCAACAATTAGCTAATCACTTTCCAAAATGCAGTTAAACCCAGAATACTGGGTTGAACATGAATACTAAGTTGAACAATTGTTGCCCAATATTAAACATATTAACAATATTAATTCCACAATTGTTAACTAATTAACAATTAGTTCATTATTACCATCTGGTTATCTAACATAGCCATGGAAAATCACCATTTTTCATAGCTAAACAGGGCTATTTTCCACGGCTATGTTAAATAACCAGAGGGTAAATAAAATATAATAAAATGGGATCTACCACAATTGTTAACTAATTAACAATTAGTTCATTACCCAATACTGGGTTCATGTTCAACCCGAAAGCCCAGTTCCATGGATCCAGGGCGGCGCAAAATCGGCAAAATGGCGCGCGCCTGCTGGGGCTCTGCGCGGCCCCAAAGCCCACAGCGAAGGCGTTGAAGGCCCAAAGACCTTGAGGATCACCGGGGACCCAAACGGTGGTCGGCTTGATGTTTCAGGTGGATATGGCTGGGATGACCCCAAAGCTTCACCGGCCAGGGTGGTCTTGGTTGGTCTCTGACTGGCTGGATTTCGGGTTGTGTTCGTCTGGCAAGGTTCATATGAAAGACTTGGATCTCAGAGTCGGTCCAAATTGAAAAACTTCAACATCAGAAATAAAAGTAGCTGCCAAGGTCAAAGCAGCCTAAATCAGCCTAATAATCACCTCACTCACCTTCAGAAATATCAGGAAACATGCAGCAGGAATGACCTGAATTTTCGACACCCGGCAGAAAAACATGCAGCTACGCCACTCAGAAACGCCGCAAGAACTGCCAGGTGAGGTCGACGCACAGCGCGAGACATAGCAACAGCACCGCTGAAATGTGGTTTCCTTCAAGATTGGCTAAGCCCTTCTTACGGGACACTTGAAGACACACACACACAAAAACACATGTCTGTAGGAACAACCAAATGCCAGCTGCTAGCATAACATCTCCCCAAGCGCTTTGGGTGATTGCATTAAAATGTCAATAAAAACATTTGCTGAAATCAGAAAATGTTGGCCTTTTCAGGTTGTGAGTTGTCTTATAATTTCTCTTCGAGTTGATCTGGACCCGCAAACAACGCAGCGAGAAAGCAAGTCATTGCGTGCAAGAGCAGGGCGGGCCAAGTGAGACAGACAGGACAAGAAAGATCGTCAGTTTGTGTCCAAATAAAAGGAGGTACGGAGATACCAAACTGTACCAAAAACAATGAATAGACTCCCAGAGTCTTGGTGTGTTGGCCCATAATTGACAACTTTTGGATCAAAATGGTGTGTAACTCACAATGAAAAGACATCAACACCGGATTAATCAATTCCCTTGAGATTTGATGATGTAATTGGAAAGGTTGCCCCAAAATAAAGTCTTACATGTTTGTTGACATTGGTACCGCCTTAGTAAACTTCTGGTGCTTCTCCTGGGTGAACCGCTCGCCTCTCCAACCACATTGGGCCCAGAGATTCCATGGTCGGAACTGACCTAAAGCTTTCGGTAGATCAATGTCCCAATATGTATGTTACTGTTGATGTGTTGTCCATACATGTGTATATATTCTACATACTGTGGCGGTCTTGCACTCAACATATATATATAATATACAATTATTGGTATTATTATTTAAATGCGCTTTTTGCATATGGAAACACATTGATTAACCCATTGCACTGAGAACTGAGAATATGTTTTTTTTGTGCACTGAAGAAAATATTGCAATAAACGTCTAGTTGAATAATATAAGTAATATAACTAGTTCCAAAAGATTTCACAACTCGATGTATGCAAATCAAAAGATTTCACAACCCTGGGCGGGAAACTCATACGTTTGCCGGCAAATCACCACAATTCCAAATCTTGTTGGCAAACCCCAGATGTTTGCTTCCAAATCAGTATCACTCGTACATCCCACATGTTTGTTTCTACATCAGGATGATCGATGATTAATTCTTAAATCCTACATGTTGCTTCAACATTCGATATGCAACACCTACCGTTTCACAATTTTGTCTGATATGTTCACCGGACCATCATCAGTAAATGCCACAATTTCCTGGGGATCAGTCCCTCCGTTTTCAAAAAAAACACATCCTGTCACATCCACAAATTTGTGCTGATCAAAACCTAGAAACTGTTGATTTGTTCCGAATCCTTTACCAATTGAAAGGTCCTGTATCCCATTGTTTCTACGTATTCAACCACCTTTTTGATGATTTTCAGGATTTCGCATCCATCCACAGTAGTGATAGAATCTACATGTACATATATGTCCCCAGAAATTTCTCCAGAAATCTTGAAGTGCTACCAAAAAATCATAGAAGTAGTTATACCCTCTGGTCATTTAACATAGCTATTAAAAATCACCATGTTTAATAGGTAAATAATTTACAAATGAGCCATTTTACCAGAGGGTTTTCTATCCCGAAAACAGCTACAAGAACTGGGACGCCCAGCTGTCGAGGAGTCTTGGACTTGCATTGATTGAAATCGGCCCAGGCCTTCGCTTCAAGTGAAATGACTATGTTTCTGTTTGTTTACTACAACATACTAATATGATTATATAATTATATGTAATATAAATTATTCATAGCGTCGTCATAAGCTAGAATAATCTGATTGGTTTCCTACCATAATTTGATAATATAATGTACATGATTAACATAACATTACGCAATGACATCCCCATAGCATGATAGAAAAAATGTAACAACTCATCCACCTGAAATAAAATCATTTGGAGATGATTCCCCTTGCCAACCATGCAAATAAATGCATGGGTGGTTTTACTTATCAGTAGTTTGGATGTTTTCTTATATTCCTAGTTGCAAAGGGGTGTGACTTACATTGACTTACTACTAACCAGTGACTAGGTTTGGGAATCATGGCCACATGCTGAATGTACATGAATGTACACTATACCAGCACATGATTTGTTGATGCATTTGTACACTAAGTCTATCATACAGTTACAATCAAACGTGCTTTTCGGACGCGACCGTCAACACGTCCAAAGGCCTCCGCGCCTGCACAGCCTCTGGCACGGACTCTTGCCAATATGCGGCTCCATGGCCATCGTAAGGGTTCACCTTGTCCTTCAAATCCTGGGAAGACTTCCGTGATGTGTTAATGTGTAAAACAAAGCCGAATTGACCTGCCTTTTTTTTGTGACCTGAATTTGGATTCGTGATAAGACCTCTTCATCCTCTGACTTTGCTGATTTTTGCTTGGGCACTCGATGGACATAAACCCCGAATGAAGGACACTGGAGTTTTTTGGCATCTGCCATTCCAAAGCCACCCGCAGTAGATTTCTTGAGGCGCAAGGTCTATTGCACTGCACTTTGAACAAACAAACCCATGTTGCGGCGAACCCAACAATATCAGCTTTGGTCCACATTTGTTGAGATTGTTGTATATCTTGCGAGATCTATTCCGGTGTTGAAGAGATTCAAACAAACATGAGCCAAATGTTCCACGCCAAGCACTCCTTTCCTTTCTACTGGGTACATCATAATCAGCATCCAACATCCCATCACTGAGTCAGCTCTGAGCACACCGCATGCATGGCGATGATTGGCAACTGCATCGAAGCATTGTTAGGCCTCTCAGGGAGCTTCCATCGAAAACCCAAGAAACTATATAGTTAACTAAAATGAAGGCAACAGCGCTGAGGTACTTTCCAAAATCCTATCCCCCAAGAATGATTGTGCTAGTAATGTTTAGTAATGATATTGATGACCATCACCCATATGGGTCCGGCACATGTGAACAAATCCACTGCATTCCAACGGGAGTTCATGTGGATAGTATGTACACTTAGACTGGACATATTTCCAGGTTGGTTGGCCTTCAAGGGGGGCATAAAATCCAGTGCAAATTGACATTCGAACCAGGCTCCGGCCGCTCATGCACGCATCCCAAAAGTCCCAAGTCCTTGTGCATATTGAACCCACAACTACGTCACAACCAAGAACCATCATATATACCATCTGGTTATTTAACATAGCCATGGAAAATCACCATGTTTAATAGGTAAACCATCTATTTCTATGGGCCATTTTCCATGGCTATGTTAAATAACCAGAGGGTAATCACACACGAGTTCAACAACAAAAACATCAACCATACAACTGCAGACTTTGTGATCCTGAGGATTTTCAACCAACCCCACAGAAATGAACCAAAACAAATATGGTCAAACTTCTCATACTTCTGGTCCAACATATCATATATCAATACTTATATATCACAACATATCTCCATAAACTTGGGGTTGATTGAATGCCCATGATTTAGAAACCAAGCCTTGCAGCACCACAGATTAGGGAAATCACTTTCAACAATGATCAAACAATCACCAAGAATTAATGTCGTCAACAATGAAACTTATATATCCCATGTATTTCCCATTAAAAAAAAAATCCATAGAAGTCCCCACATATAACTACCCTCCGGTAATCAAACATGGCAATGGAAAAACAAAAAAAACATTTATACTTTAGTTGATTGTCCCAGCTATGAAACTGAATTATTAAATAGGATTTTCAGTTGCCATGGTTCGTAATCATGGGAACATGGTATTTTTATGGAAATCAATTTCTGACAAACATATAATTATATATATATTCATTTCCCATCTAAGCCTCTGGTAACTAACACAATTATGTAAAATCACCATTTTTAATAGGTAAATCATCTATAAATGGCCATTTTCAATTGCTACATTAAATTACCAGCGGGTAAACCTCTATCATCTTGTACCCTTGGAACATCATCCGCTCCCAGCCTCGGAAGCCGCAGCCCAGCGTTCAGCAGCAGCCCGGCCAAGGCCGGAAAATGCAGCTCGGAGGCCAGGCGCGAACAAAAGCGCGCGCCACGGGAAGAACCTGGGGCCAGGATAGGGGACCTCTGTTGCCTCGTTCGATGGCTGGGAATTGTTCCTTGAAAACTTTGAAAAGTGAAGGATGAAGTTTGGAACCAGATCTTGGGGGATTTTTTTCTTGACAAGTGATGAAGGATGATGAGTTTTGACACTGGATTTTAGAGTGAAATTTTGATATTTTGGATATTGTCGATCCCATTTTGAAAGAGGTTTGCATCATTTCGGGGGTGTTTGGCATGGGTCAAATGTCTCATCCCCTCAATTTGGATGGTTTTATGCTCTCAATGACAGATTTAGTGGAACATGGTATCCCATGTTGACCCATACCCTAATTGCCATCCGGTTGCTGAATCTGTCAACAAAAAAAACATGTTCAAGAAATGAAATACCGTAGATAGGTCTTAAACATGGATGTACCAGTAAATGAATCTACACAACAACAACTCAACAATTGGGATACATTGGCAAAACTGAAGATGTAATCGCCTGCAATCTAAAAGTGGTCCTTGGTGTTCACCACAGCCGCTGATTTTCTTGTTGAACAAAATTAGGAGTTTTGCAGCCACCAAGTTCTTAGCAAACGCCGAGGCTTGGGTTTTCTCTATTTTGTCCAAAGTTGTGGTATACCTGGTATGGTATGGTATGGTAGAGCCACATGTTTCAGCCCCTTTGTTGGTTGATGTGCGTTTTTCTTCTGATTTGTTGCTTTGTGCAGTAATGGTATGTCCTGGTACATGAATCTGGTGAGCGCCGTGTTTAGCAGCAACAATACCCAACAAGATTCATCAATTCCCTGTTGAAGTGTTGCCACTGCTCCGGTTCCCCAATATTGATATAGGTAGACAAATTGTCGACAAACTTAGGTAGTTAGATATAGATGATGATAGATGAGTAGATAAAAAGAAAGGCAGGTAGATAGATATATAGATAAACAGCCAAGCTGAATCCCCATGTGTGTACAGCTGTCGACTTCAGCAGCATTCAAATCAACCCAGAAAATTGGATGGTCCGCTGATCACAAACACAAATCCACCTATCCAAGTTACAGGGGCCTGTACCTATCCAACATCCCAAGTTCGTCCCAGCCTATGCAGTAGATCTGCTGATCATCGATTCGAATTCCTCGGCCCATGGGCTTGGACTGAGACCACCACATCCAACCACTCCAATGGTTTGGTTTTTTTCCTGTGGACCTCGCCATCAGCCGTTTCAACATGGTCATCATTAGTGACATAACCTTCGCAGAAGTAGGTTAACATGGCCCTTGTTGGTTCCCCATGTTGCCTTTTCTGGCTAAAAAAATCTCCTTCTGTCGTCCCCAATACTATGACCTGCCATATCTTGATGTATTTTGGGTAGTATAACTGTATAACCCTTACATCAACATCAAGCCACAGGGTTAGTTCAAGCTCGCAGCCACCGCGCCAAGGCTCTCTTGCCTGCATCAGCAATGACAGCTTTGGTATAGCCTCACTGAGTCGTAGCTGGGTGATGCCGAAGTGAACAAAGCAAACAAAGCAAACAAAGCAGACTATGTGCATCGATGTGTCATTTAATTTGTCATCCCTCCAAAATGTATAGAGGATTATTCATAGAGGATCATATTGCAGCAGCAATAGGATTTACCGTTGCTACGTCAAGAACCGTGTGTGATTTGCCTCCACGGATTCCTATGGATTCCTCCATTGATCCACTCGGATTCTGTTCCAATTCAGGACACCGGGATGCCGAGGGCTACCCTCCGGCAATCAAACATTGCTAGCTGGAATAAATCCACTACAAAATGGAGGTTTCAATAGTAAAATCATCTAGACATGATATGGGGATGGGTCCAAACCTTGTACCCCTGGTGAACATCAAAATAGCTGGTAAATGGACGTTCATTCCCCTAAAAATGGTATTAATAGGTATTGATCCATACCCATATAAATGATGGAATTTTCATCTATGAATTAAAATCGATCGATGACAGTCGCATGGTCTACGTTTTGAATATGCCCTGATGGAACCAACACAAAGTGGTGCCATGTGGTGCCCCCAGTCATGTTTGTTGCTGGTTTATCAACCCCTTTATAATCATTATAGAACTAAATCTGTATACACATGTTAACTAGCATCAAAATGCATTAAGTATAGATATATCATGATATATCTACATAAACCCTAACTATACTGCTTGTGTTCACCCACTTAGCTAAGAAACTGGGGCACCAAGTGGCACCAAGTTGCCGATGTCATCAGGTCGTCCGTCGATGGCACGAGCATCTGCTCCCACATTCAAACGCAAATCCTCGGGAAGTGCCCCAACAAATGTGGATTATTGGGATATATTGGGATTAATGTGGACTGTGGGATTCATTCTGAAAGGGCTTAGTTGGCTTAGTTACTGAACTTAATGGGATATCATGGTGATTATCCATGATATTCATACGGGATTGGGAATATACAAGGTTGTGCCTCAGCTTGTAGCTTGGTAGATATAACTAGGCTACCCTCTGGTAAACGTTTACATAACTATGGAACATCACCATGTTTAATGGGTAAATCAACTATTTCTATGGTCATTTTCAATAGCAAACTGTTAGTTTACCAGAGGCTAACTCTTGAATTTCGGGTGAAACGTCCATATAGTTGGGGGAACCAAATCATGGCAGAATTTTCCCATGATCTCCAACGAGACCGGGCACGAGTCCGGGTGCTTTAAAGCACCTTGGGATGATCAGATCCTTTCATCATTTCATCATGCGATATGGGTCATGGGAGATCCAGACTGGCCAGGCCATTCACTTATGGAAAAAAAAACACCACTTTCACCTCACATGATTGGCCCAAGTTGATCGCGCCGGGTCATCCTGTGCCATGGGGGGCCAAGTCTCCAAGTTGAAAGAAACACATCAAGCCATGATTCCATGCCCATATATTCCATGTGTGTTGAGTACATTCCTGTTTTGTTGAAAGCAAAATTATATGTGAAATCCAAAAATTAGACTGGTGAAATATCCGAACTGCAACATGATTATATAAACTTTGATACCCTGCAACCACTTAGTGTTTCATCCTTCCTAGCTGAAAATAACATGTATCTACACATAAGATCTAAAATAGACTAAGCATCAGAGTAAATATTGGATTCTCCATGGTTCTCCTAGCCCCGGGGTTTGGCTGAAAATAGGGTTGGTACGGGTTGACTTATATTTTCTTCACATTCTGTTATATCATATCCCCAACTCTATTCCATCAAATCATGTAAATTTGATGCCACTATATCCCCACAAAAAATCCCAATATATTCCATTGTATTCCAGTCATATTTCGTGACATCCCAATTGAAATCCCAATTGAAATCCGATCAAATTCATCGAATCCCCATTTTTCCAAACCCTTCACGCTGCATCTGCCAGATCTGGGCCGCCCAGCCACACCTTGCAAGACAACCAAGGCGGTGGAAAATTCTTCAGCCAGGCCTTGGCCGACGAGGATCAGCGCTACTGGCAAGATCACTATCAGTACTGTTTTCTGTTTTTTATAGATATGGCAGTGTGTCAAAACCAATAGTACCCCTGGTGAACATCAAAATAGCTGGTAAATGGATGTTCATCCCTCTAAAAATGGTATTAATAGGTATTGATCCATACCCATATTGGGATAAACTAAACTACGTATTTCTTTGGGACTTTCAAACATGTGTGTTTATTTTCTTGATCTTGTGAAATTTGATAGATGAAAGTTCTCGAGATCTGGGGAAATTTGGATTTCCTAGGATTTTGGGTTTTATTTGAAAGGAATGCCGTGAAAATTGATAGATGGTAACTCATCATAATGGGTATGTTGGGTTGCATTTTTTGTGCATGGATGTATGGATGGATGGATGGATTGATCGATAGATAGATACACAAATATATACGTAGATCGAAGATAGAAAGTACATGGATAGATGGATAGATAAACATATACACAAATAGATACATTATAAATATATATAATTTAGATAAATTTATGCTTAACTGGCATCTGACAAATCATGGATATATGATATATATATAAATATATATGTATTTTATATATATATATACACTCAAGAAAATTACAAACATGTATTATCAGACAAAATGAAAAGATACAAATTGACCCCACAAAATATGCATGTCAACTCCCGTCAAAGTTAATGCCGTCATGGGATCTGACTAATTGAACCACAACATTGATCTAGAACAGTAGGGGGAATTGGCAAAAACACAACATTAATTTTGAATATTATCGAATAGGATATATATATATACACATGTATATCGAAATAAAAGAACACATGGAAAGTATATATGCTTTAGAATAACTGAGAATGTTGATACTCAATTTAGTGATATATTGCCCTGGTGTATTCGAATGATTCCTGTCAACAAAGGTCACTGTAGAGCAAACATCTCGACCAACTCCTCTGATCATCAACTCCAAGACTGCTTGACATTGCAGTGGTGCCCCAGTTCTGTTGCTTGGTTTATAAACCCAGCTAACGATAGACATATCCACAAAATTCATCAAAATTCCCAAGTTAGCCCAGTGAAGGAGCAAGTTCACAACTCAAATGAGATGTGCTACTGCTACAAATCTTGCAGTGCCTTTTAGAAGTGTGGGTGAAACGAATTGAACAGGCTTTTACCTAGAATGTGTACGACTCAAAACAGAACCGGCTACCACATGATCGCGAGAGTGATGGGATGGGCTGAATCATGGGCAAACGGCTTCAGCCACATGTGTATTTTGAAACTTGGCTAACTGGTATATGATCTCATTTAAGTGGTGTACGAGCATATGGAATCATCATATGGGTGTATGTTTTAAAATGGGGCAATGTCATGTTTAAAAGGGACGAATACATAATTAATCATTAGATTGTCGGGTACCCTGTGTTCAGACAAACCCAAACAAACATCACACAAGTTCTTAGACCCTCTAAGTACCTTCGATCAAAAATGAAGTATGCTCATGATATCTCATGATTTTGCGAACTCTTACCCATTTTGCATGTCTATTTGAAGGGCCGAAGGGCCTTAGTTAAAAGAGAACGGTGGGCGAACCCCCAATCAGGCAACGTTCCAAGTGGCTGGTCAAGTCAGCGATGCTTACCATGCCTCGGCTGACATACATGGACATGGTGATTTTCCTTCGCAGACCGTTTCATTCCCAGAGGATGCTAAAGATTGGAAGACATATAACATGTTGGTTAGCAAGTTGGTTAACGAATTGGTTAGCACTTATCCCCCGGTTACAAAAAAAAACAACACAAATAAAACGATGTTTCTGTAGCCGGTGGATAACTCAACTATCCGGCTATTCAACTATGTAGCCATAAATAGCCACTCATAGCTGATACCAACAGGGCCCTTTTTTGGCTGGGAAATCCACAATGGAAGGAGAATCTAAAAACTTTGCAACATATATCTATATCTATATCTATATCTATATCTATCTATACATATATATATATGTATGTATGTATGTATATATATACATGAAGGAAAATCCAGCAATGTTTGATTGCTGGAGGGTACATGGATGTTCGTTGAAGAAAAATAAGGAACATGCCCATCGCCATGTCAGCGGCAAGTGACTCAAGGCATCCACGTTTGTGCCGGGACATAGGAGCCAAAGAGGTAGGGATGTGTTCTCCTCCAGACAGATTTCAGGCCGGTGCCCCATGGAGTTTCACCATTGCGGGTCACTGTTCCGATGGAAGCCCTCCACTACTGTTGTTTGCATCCCAACTACCGGGACTAAAACCACAACCCTAAGTTTCATTTCGCTTTATACAATATATATATATAATTTACACATAAATCATAATATATAAAAAAAATATATATATTGTTTATATATATAAACAATACATATATATATATAAACAATATATATATATATATATAAAAACAATATATATATAAACAATATATATAGATAAATTATGTACATACATATTAATAATATGTATATATATAATGTATATATGTGGTCCTCCGGCTTCATGCTAGACAAATGACATCTTTGGGACCACAAATCCCTTCAGCCCAAGTTGGTGTTGGGATCGATTCGCCTTCCACCAGCCCGTGAGGCGTCTTACCCCCACTGCTCCTGGGTAAATCTCCAATGTGCATCATCATCTGGTTGGTGGTTTCAACCCCTCCGAACAAATATTAGTCAGTTGGTATGATTATTCCCAACATATGGAAAATAGAAAACTAAAAAACAAACCAACAACCAGTCATAATTGATTGCATCATCAGAACTCATCATATAATAGTTCATGAAATCATATCTGTATAGTGATATTGTCAATATGTGTCAATCATATTCATCATATCTTATGATACTGTATCTGCCAAATCTGCCAAATATAGAATCATACCGGTCCAACTTATATAAATATGGTATCCTCCCCGGGAAAAAAACAACACTCACACACCTGCCTCTGCAGAAAGAGGTGCCTCAAAGAGTCGAGTTGCGGTCGTTGCGGTGAAATCGGTATCCACTCGTTGCGCGGTGGTCGATGCGGTGTATGAAGAAGTCCAAATAAGAATAATCTTAGAAATATGTAGCACATACGGGATATATCTTAGAAATATGAACTATGTTGTATAGAATGTCAAAGTCCTGTAATAGTAGTAATAGTAGTATTAAAAAAAAAAAAAACGATAATTAGTACCTGCAAACCTCATGGATCTACTGTGGAGTTGCCCCAAAAAAAGGGAGTTCAATCACTGAATTACTACACCTTCTCCGACACGACAGCGACCATGGGACCGCTCTGCCTGGTATTTTGCTGATCATTTATATAAGGTTTGACACAGAATCCAAACCACAATTTATATATATATAAGGTTTGTTGGCTTATAACCCTATGAATACTACAGTTAAAAGATGTTAAACAATGGTATAAGTATCATAAATCATAGTTATTGGAGTATATTGGGGTTATGTTTGCTAACTTAGCTATCGTTTGTTTGTCCCACATTCACAAGCATGTCTTCGGGATTCTTGCGGGTTGATGCTTTTCTCCCTCGCATCACCTGCCATCAAGAACATACTCAATAACACTATATAGTAATCATACGATTAGTGATGGTAATGCACAAAACAGCTGTATACACATTCATCATCATATCTGTAATAGTGAAAGTAAGCGTAACATAACAAAACATAAAATGATCATATTCATACGATCATGATCATATGTAAATCATATGTCATGATATCATCATCATCATCATGATGATGATGATCATCATCATCATCACCATCATCATCATCATCACCATCATCATCATCATCATCATCAACCATCAACCATCAACCGTCAACCGTCAACCGTCAATCGTCAATCGTCAATCATCAATCATCAGTCATCAATAATCATCATGGCCACTGAGGACCCAGACATAGAGCAAATGCAAGCGTTCCAGGCCCTGGTGTTGCCTCAGCATCACCTTTCAATCATATCCAAGAACATTGATATCCCACAACAGCATGAACATCATGGGACATGACAAAACAACTTGGGTTGTCTAAACATCATTTTTGAATCATCCAATATGAATATATCTTTTCGAATTCATGTTATCGTTCTTCTAATTCAAATCAAAAGGCGCTAATATGTGGATTTGACAAAATGGGGGTACCCCCCTAAATCATCCATTTTAAGCAGATGTTTCCTCTATAAACACTCCATTTGGGGATCCCCTATTTAGGAAACCTCCAGATGTGCAAATCGCATCCGAGACTGGCACGGATCTTGGGACCCTCACCACCTGCGAAACTGCAGCTGCCCTTCGGAAGAGCCGAAAAGCACTGTGACCTGCACAAAGATTGGAGGTATGGACCTGTGAACAACATGGAAATTAGATCATACTGTGGATGGAAGATATCCTGCACCAGTTGGTAACTACTGGTAACTATAAAACACTGTAAATAATGGGATTATAATGGCATAAACCATCTACCATAGGATACAGTTAAACTTAACTGGTTGGTGATATACCTACCCCTCTGAAAAAAATGAAAGTCAAATGGGATGATGAAATTCCCAATATATGGAACAGTATAAAATGTTCCAAACCACCAACCAGTTAAATAAAGTATATAGGTTAAATGAAATCTGAACCTCTTTAACAACCTGCAATTTGTTGGGCATCGGTGGCAAATCGTCACAGGGTTGAGCCAGCCGTTGGTTTCTCTCCGCATCCGGTGGTCACATTCTTGGTTTCTGACCTTCAGGAACAGGATCAGGAAGGGCAGTGGCCCCTCGCCCATGGCGGCTCATCATCCTTCAAGGTTCACATCTGGAAGTGACTGGGCCTAGAGGCGAAGATGGCCTTTTCGGGTCTGCGGGGGTATGTGAAAGTTGAGTCGCATCTGATCATCTGGAAGCCTTGACGCCTTGAACTTGCAACCCTCTGTCCTCCATCCAGTTGCTTCAAAGGAATTCCCACAATGGATTGATTGTGACAATCCCCGAGATATTGGAGAGGGAACCGCATATATAATCAACAAGTAGGCAGTAGGCAAGCCTTTGAACGCTGCTCATTTGTTACACTGGCAAAGCACTGAATGTTTTGGACGCTCCGCCCTGGCACCTGCAGACTATCTTTGGTCCACCACAGCTGCACCGTGTGGCCGCGCACTCTCACATACCACATGGGTTTTCTGTATGGGGTTGGTATATGGGGAATACCATTGGATACCCCGTTGGAATAACAATTATGATCTAAATCCCTTGGATCAGCACCCTATGGGTATGTCTGAAAATAGGCTGCCTTGAAATTTCATGGTTTATCATGGTGCTGCATCCCTTGAAATCACTATGTGGGGCTATGCTGTCTATACTGCAAAAACCGTGTACCCTATTTTTCGGTAACCACTCTATATAATATCAATCAAGCGGAACAGATTAAAATCCGTAGGAGTGTGGACTAGTTCACAAGTCCATCTCTGTCGCAAAGTGATTTGGAGATCAAAACTCTAAACATAAAACAACAGCAAAAATGTGCTGTTTACATCAGAAGAACTGACAGTAGTGGTCATGGATGTATTTTTCCATATTTTCCCATTTCAATATATACACAAATCCATTGTTCTATCACATGTTTTTTTGTGAGTACCGCATCTTTGTTGGCTTGGGTTGCTTTTTTACCCAAGTTCCTGTGCAAAAACTCCGCTGGTTCAACCCTCATTGTACATAATCTTTGGTCAAATCTATGGAAAAATCATCGCTTTTGATTGACCAAAGATTATATACAATCCATGGCAAAATCGATGGTAGATTTTGGTTCAAATCCACCCTGTGATCTCTGAAGCCTCCCATTGTGGATCACTGAGGCGCAGGACCAAAACGGCTGCATGTGGAGGTCGATTTAAGGCCTTGGAAGAGCCAATGACTGGGCCAACCCCAATGACAGATTCAATACGAAACCAGGGGGATCGCTTGGGTGTATTTAATATATATATATAAATATAAATAAATATAATATATATATATAATAATACATACATATATATATACTACAACTACTGGGGTGAAGGGATTAATGAACACAATGAATTACCTTTAGCCTATATAGTTGCATATAACCAGCTTGGAATGGATAAAGGGAAACTAGATGTTGGATTTTGGGATAGCATTTGAAATCGCTAGAAGACATTGTGTGTTTGAATTGTGAGATCGATGGCTCAGATGCTTTGTACTAATATCAATGTGACTGGGTGGTTCTGAGGCTTCTGGGGAGAGAAATACAGAACACAAACCATATTTTGATTGCAACATAAATTCATAATCAAACACAAACAACATATGAACTCATCTATGGAAATGCATGGGAACGAGACCTGAACAAAGACACAGCTTGTGCAAGTGATTGTTTTTGTCGGTTTCTTGGTATATATGTTTGAATCCTTAAAAAAAAACAGCATTGCAGCATTTCCAACCGGCTACATCCAATATTGATTCATATTTTGGAGGTGCACTGATGGTGTTGGGCATGGAGTTGGATCAATATTTGGGGCCCCCAAAATGGGCTATGTCGGCTATGTATCCCTTAAAATGGATAAGAAAAAATAACCAACATATGGATACCAAGAGCATGATCCATTTTGGGATACATAGCCCAAATGTATCCAAAATGGATCTACATCTGAAAAACTGGGGAAACTTCTGACTCTTTTTGAGAGCTGGCCGAAAAACCCGATGCTCCCCTTGGCTCATTGATGGCTAAAAGTCGACTGAGCGATCCGATCACTCTTCAAGTCCTCCAAGATTTCCTCCACCGGTAGTTTGGGGGTGGCCCGCACCTGCCATGCAGAACATCTCCGAGTAAAACAACCTCTTTCTGATAGATTGGCCTGTCTTGTGATCCGCATTTAGTACGTACTAAACTTGCAAAAATTGGCGCTTACATGTCTACTTTGCCATCATTTAAATAGAGTAGTTCCAAGTTCTAAATGGGAAACGAGATGACAATCCGCGGGAAGTGGAGGTACTTCCGCAGCACCAGCAGTGGTACCTCTTGGAAAATCCGGTATGCACGAGTTGGTTCTTGGGGATTCCAATAATAGTCAATGATCCCCATGAACCATGAACTTGAATCCCCTATTCCAATTTGGGATTATTTGGTCAATGATCATGAATTACAATCCCAAATAATCCCGATTTGATAGTTTATAACATGATATAACATGTAATAACCCTCTGTGATGGCCATGAAACAACCACCAGCACCTGCAACTTTGGCAGACATTTTGAGCTGCGTCGTGTACCAATCACCAGCCTCAGTTCTGAGATCATCAGTTTAAAGCACTTGTAAGTAGCAAACGAATCAGTCAAACCTAAGGCGCACGTCTTTTAAATATGGCAGTGTGTCAAAGCCTTGTACCCCTGGTGAACATCAAAATAGCTGGTAAATGGATGTTCATCCCACTAAAAATATATCTATAGGTATTGATTGACCCATACCCATATCAATCAACTGATGGTTTCTACTTTTGCATTCATTCTTCCACAACTTCATTCAAATCCTTTGCTGGTTGGTGGTTTTTAACCATCAATGGGAAGGATTATCCCATTTTTTTTTTAAATAAAACATGTTCCAAACCACCAACCAGTTTGGGTCATTGCTTGATCGTTTTGAGTTGCCTTCAACATCTGATCATGACCATCATCCCCACGCCCCGCATGGTCAGGTAACCCACCAACACAGGCGAGTTTGATGTCAAAGCTAGCGTGAAAGCCCGGCCTAAGAGACGAGAAAGCTGACAAAGTTTCGATCCGAACTGTGCTGGACTCCGTCACCGTGTATTATGCCTTCTTGGAAGGGAAATGCAGGAAAATCTTGGTTTTGACCCATCCAAAATCATACAACAACAGAGGTTTAGTAGATTCTTACTTCCAAATTCAATTCAAATACAATTCGCATGCCCAAAAAGAAACTTCAGTGATTTTCTCGCTCGAAAATTGCTCATCATCCCTGGCTCCGAACAGTTCCCCCAATATCAATGCCGAGGTTTGGTTGGTCTGCAGCCCAAGTCCCTGAGACTTGGCCTGGTCTGCTGTCTTCAGTGCGGACGATCATTTGTTTGAAAGGTACACAGTCTGGCTTCAAATAGGATCATCTTAAGTGGGGACTGCATCAAAAGTAGTCAGATATCGGGAGAATGATGCCTTTGAACAATTACATAAAGAAGAACAATGACCAACAAGTCGCCAAGGTTCAGCAATCCTCCGGCTAAAACAAAAACATATAATTAATATCAATTCATTGACCTCCGTTTGTGGTGAAAATATCTAAGATCGAAGCTTCACCCATAGCAATTTCTGAATAAGAGAGAGAGAGAGATTTCAGTCAAAACCCTCTTCCAAAAATGAATCAAAACGTACATTAGACAGACAGCTGCCACTTTTTTTTTGGGGGTACTACAACCCACCCCAGCCATTCACTGCACTCCAAGTCACCGCCCTGGAAGCCGTGTAGCGCAAGGAGGCCGTCCTGCGCAAGGAGCAGTACTTAGAACATCTCTGGAGTTGGTACTTAGAAGATTTTAGAAGATGACCGGATATATAGGGATTCACCAAAGAGTTGGTTGATATCATAATCAGGATCTATATGATATATATATATATATGTCAATGACAGTTTGTTGGAGTTGTAAAACAACTTATAAATGGGATTACCCCAATAGCTGGATGGTTCATGGAAAATCCGAACAGATCGATCAATCCCCCCAGCAAGATAGTCGTGGAATAGCAAGGCCAATATCATCTGGAACAATGCACAAATCTGAAATATGGGGATGGGTCAAAAACCTGGTACCTAGTGAACCCCAAAATAGCTGGTAAATGGATGTTCATCCCCCTAAAAATTGTATTAATAGGTATTGATCCATAGCCATATGTAAACATTTGTACATTTAGGGCTAAATTATATTACATGTGCACACTGAACTTCGTTTTCTTTGAAGATATAGGACACGTTGATTTCAACGTATTGGTTCATATTGGTTAATCATCATTCTCCCTATCAAAATCAGTATTTTGAGGCACGGCCATACACCTATCCAAGGTGGCCATTCCGGTGATCCCAGTGTTTTAGTGGAATCCAGGTGATCCCAAAGTGCCCCACGGCAGAAATGATCCCCACATGTCGTGATTCCAATCTCCTCTGAAACAAACAAAACATTCAGAATTGAATGATCCCAAGAAATGATCCCCAGATGTTTTCCACATGTATTTCAGAATTGTGTGTAATTGGAAATGATCTCCTCTGATATTGTGTGTACTGCGGTCAACTCTAATGACTCTAACCCTGATTGCTTCAGAACGGGATTCGCAGATTCGCAGCTCGTGCATATTCGTGCATTCTGACAATCCTGAATAAAGGGGTAGGTTAATCACCCCAGCCAGCAACCAGCCATCATTGTGCCCATGTTTGATGGGTCACATGCCTTGAAAACATACAAATGATGGTGAAATCCGCATTCTGAACCACTATTTCATCATACTATAATCATCAACATGGGAAATAGATATGATATAATGGTTAAATGGGGTTAAATCCCCATAAAATCACTATATATATATTTATATATATATATATATATTTATTGATATATATCTATATATATGTCACTGATCATCACGCAGGGCTGTCCTGGCGTTTGTGCCAGCCCACTGGAGACCGCCAAGGCGTACATCATCCATGGACGTCCCACGCATCGCGGTATAAAAAGGTGGTGGCATCGTGTTTTTGGGCTTAGTGAATCTTAGAAGAAATGAATCTGAGATAATTATAGATATGAGAGATTTGAAACATGAATATTGATGAATATTGAATATTGTTCTTCAAGTGCTTGGCAAATGTATGCAAATGTGCATTCTGGACCTTTCACAGTCTCTGCTTGAGGAAAAGACTTAGGTAGACTTGACATAAGGATGTCTGTCAATTCACTGACAGACAAAAGCGGGAAGGTGCGTAAGTATGCGTCAGAGTCGAAGCCTACCATGCAACACATCAGCCCAAACAGCTCAAAAGGCTTGGACCTGTTCCTTTTGTCCTCAGGTGTACCCATGTTAGTCTAAAATTAACCACACTTTGGATCTCATGGTTTGCATATCTCAATGTGTTGAACATTGACGATCCCAAACTGTAAGCAAGAATCAGCAAGTGGAGTACCCAGTAAGTTTAAATTTCTATGTGGGAAATCTTTACACTCGGGCTCCCAAACTTTTTTGTATGAACTAAAGCATCCTCATTTTCCCTGTTGAACTTCTGAAATAGCCAGGCATGGAGGAACAAAATGACAATTTTTCAGCCGCAGCGTTGCCGGTGGTTGGATGGCAAGGCACCTTTGGCGACAATAATCTTTCGCAGCAGCTCCCTCGGCGATGCTGCCTTCATCTGGGCACTGCCAGGTAGGGCACTGCCAGGCTTTATGTCCACTTAGAGCCATGGGAATCCATGGGGCCCATGGGGATACCGAGGATTCCTATAGGGCTACCCCCAGTCATCATCCATTTTCATAGCATTTTTCATAAATCATCCAGCTATAAAGGGGTACCCCATTTATGGAAAACCCCATATAACCTAGGAATGTATAAGAATCCCTTCTGAAAATCGCTCACCTCGAGTACTCAGCTGGTTCTCCCGGTATCCCGGTAGGCGATTTATCACATTTCTGGTTGGGAAACATCGTGTGGTCGTGATGGGTGTGTTGGAGAATGTTTTTTGGAATGGGGTAACTCTCTTGAGTTCCTGGTTGATCATCATGTCCCCTCATTCATTTTGGATTGTAATTCTGGCATATCCTCTAGGTCTTGGACAAACACGTATTAATGATCATATTTGCAAGGTTTCTTCCAAATTCATCTACACCGAGAGCTCTGAAGGAAAGGCATCAGCATGCTCCCAAATCACCACAGCTGACATCGACTGGCTGCACAAGGAAAAAACAGGTGGACGATGGGACAGTTTAGGGGCGGGTTGACTTGAACAATCAGTAATGGGAAACATCTAAGAACCATTGGTTCCTCTACTGTAAGTCATCCCCTCCACCAACATAAAGGTTCGATCATTTGATCCCGTTGTTCCCATGAACCAGGTGAAGGAACTAATGATTGTGTGGCTAGCTCGCACTATAGCGCTCACTATACATGAAGTGGGGGCGAGTGCATCCTGGCACCATGTACACATCGTCTATTCTATAGGATGTTTCCCTACGCATTTTTTTTGAGACCATACCAACACCATGCGAATGCTTCAGTCAAGGCAAGCTTCAGATTGATTTGAGCCCCGCCTTTATGCCCACGCCTTTGGTCATTCCATCAGTCATCATAAGTGGTGTCATGGATAAACAAGGTCATCAACGGTCAATTATTCAAGGGATCCCGTCGCTGTCTACGTCGGTTGATGTTTTGCATGTTTGAGTTGATTCCCCTACGTTCGCTGGCTACAACCCCATATTCACCGTGTTCAGCTCCCATAGTTCGAAACAAGTCAACATGTGTTCAAGGATGACATACGTAACTATATAACTATCTATATATATATGACTCATGTGGGCAATACAACAATAAACCTACCTTTGGGGGATGCTGTATACCATGTATTATGGTGATTTTTGGGATGGTTTATTTAGGGTTTACCACATTCTAATACATTGTATACTATGCATTGTCAAATTATTCAGCTGGGAACCTGAATTACCACCAGCATCCTGCAGTTTTGCCTGTTGGAGTTGTTAATGGTTGATCTTGTTTTTGTTGGGTTAATAATGGTTGATATATGTTGGTATGATTAAAATTGGTTAATATGGTTAACAATGGCTATTGATTGGTTAATATGGTTAACAATGGCTATTGATTGGTTAATATGGTTAACAATTAATAGCCATGAATAATGGTTAACATTGGTTAGTAACGGTTGATAATTGTTCTAAAAATGGCCCCATGCCAGTGGACTTTTTTTCCAGAACAAAAATGATGTTTTGAGACTAAAACAAATCGTGAAATGTTTCTGGTTTGATAGGTCTGGATAATTTCAATGTGCAGCCAATGAAACGGGTTGCCCTAACAAGAATATGGATCCAACATGCAATGTGTTGATATGTGTTGGTCTCTCTTAATTTCCAACAATGATTTGGTACCAAACCATACAGTGTTCAAATCTGAGATGGTGTCCCAATCGTCAGAATACATGGCCCCATCGGTCCATCGGTAGGATATCCAAATCATGTCACACGCCGAGATCACAACAGGTGATGGCCCGAAACTGGCCCCTGGTTTTATGTCCCGAAAAGCTAGAATCTGATAAATTTTGCTAACATCATGGCAACATCTTAAGTTGCAAATGCTCATTTTTTTTTCTTGGGTTTGGCGAAAACACCTTGAGCTGCGGCCGGAAATCATCGAAATCATCAGCGCAGATCCTGCGCAAGCGATTTTTGACCATGCCAAAAAAAGAACTGTATTTATACTAGTTTAAAACATGTTCGGTGCAACCCTGACGTTGCTCCTCGCCGGAATTGCAAAAAGGTTGCGTATTTTTGAAATGCCATGGCCATGTCGGTGGACTTTCAGTATGTACATGTATATGTGATCCATGATCATGATCATCATCATTGTCATCACCATCATCATCGTCATCACCATCATCATCATCATCATCATCATCATCATCATCATCCCTTATGAATATAAGTTGATGCTATTGTCAGATTCAGCATATTTGCCACAGAGGGTGGTGGATGTTTGATCCCTTATGAAGATAAGTTGATGTGATTACACCATGCAACATATTTGTCATAGAGAGTGGCGGATTTATGGGCCCTTATGAATATAAGGCATATAAGTTGATGGTATTACGCCATTCCACATGAGTTGACACTGGTGATGGTGATGATGATGATGATGATGATGAATATGATGGTGATGATGATGATGATGCTGATGATAAGGATGAGGAAATCATGATGATTAGATCATGATGATGATGATGATGATGATGATGATGATGATGATGATTGTAAGTGTGGAGCAACGTGCGGGTTGGGCGGGACATGTTTTAACAGAACACATGATGATTTGTGATGACTAACCAGCAAATATTGGGACACCCTATTCTCAGACATAGACAAACCATATGATACCTCAAGTTGTTGAGGATAAACTAAATACCGCTGCGGCCACTGTGGGATAAGGACGATCAGGAAGCTATGGGTCTGGCTCAAGAAAAGGAAACAACAAATGCCCCATCAAATCCAAACTAGATATGCGCAGATGAAATGTCCTTGCAGAATGTGCAGAGCGTACATGGGTTGGATAAAAGAGGCTCCGTAACGACATATCGTCTATGTGGCCGGGTGTAGAATTTAAACGTTGCTAAGAAGATTGAGGACGAAGCACGACATCCCTTCCTATGCTGCAAAAATGCCATGGTTTAGTAGTTTGATCGATTCGTTTTGGCGGTCCTTACAGGGAGAGTTGAATGTCAAGGAAAAAGGATTAGTTTGTCTTAGTTGCTTTAATGATATCAGTTGAAATCCTTCCTTCCGCAAGACCTCACAGACCTCACATGTTGTCTGGCTGAATTACAACAATCCAGCCTGCAATGTCAGGTGATTTTGGGATGATTCCCCCCAACATGAACCATCATTACTACCTATAGCGACGTTAGCCCGTGATGATGGTGTTCAACCATCGCCCACAAAGCTCCTGAAAATCACCCAACTTGTTGGGTAAACATAGCATGCATGTTGCATGGAAAGCAATGTTTGAAAAAAAAGTCATACCTTGCCCATGCCCATACCCCACAGAGTATTCTTCACTGCGCTGCTTTCTCATTTTCTCCGCGTTCACACTGCTGAAACGTGCTCAAACGAGTGCATGGCTATGGGTCAAAGTTCGACACAACGACGTGTTGAAGCCCGAGCCTAGTCATTTCAAGGGGGCACAGTGCTGGAGGTATCCATGTGGCTTTGTCTAAAAATAGGGGATACCCGCAGCCATTTGAAGAGGGTGATGATTATCCATTGGAACTGGGGGTACCCTACGTTTAAATCCACCTGCCGAAAAGTTCTCCTTCTGGCTTTGCCTCTCATGGTCACATTGGACCGGTATCTGGGGATGCTCAAAAACATGTTGCCAATTCACGACAAAAAACACAGTCGGTTCTTTGTATTTTATCCAACTTGTCAACATTGTTAATTGTTCAAAACCATCCAATTTGGCAGGACACTGGATTTTTTTTGAGCCAATCCCAGTCTCAGCGTCTCACTATGACTCAAAGATCCAAGAAGTCTTTGTTCCTGACCTTCCATTTGAGACATTGCAAAAAGCGGTGGGCACAGCCAACAAGTGGGGATCTACAATACAGTGAAGTTGTCCAAACATCCGGAGTCAACCGACTGTTGATGGGGGTTGGATTCGGTACCTCAAAAAAGGTCAGCCAGGGGGCTACGGAATCAAGCGATACTTCGTGTCGTGGGTTTGCCCAGGAATCTAGGTTCCACCATGCCGCACTAGTTATCCTTTGGCTGAAGTAAGGAACGATTGACCAAACATCTCCAATTCTAAGATCAACTGATCAAGTATGATTAAAGAGAACGGAATGTCAAGTAGCTTACGGAAATTTAACAGCTTGCTGTGGAACATAGCCCATCTATGGGTTTGTCTGAAACTAGGGTACACTGCCAGTTCCCCTGATTCATCATCATTTTACCAATTAAAATCGGTTATTCGACGGTATGCCACATTGTCAGACACACCCCTACAATGCGGGCTTCCCCAGTTAAGCTAAGTTGCTTTATAAACCCCATTATCGTTTGGGGGCCCCACATTTTCCAGGGCGGGCCTTGAGCCGCTTTCTCGGGCCGACACCTGGCGGCCAAGCTGCTTGGTGGTTTTGCACCACCACCAACATGATGGGAATGTCATGAAGATAGGAATAGAAAATTCATGGGAATTAATGGAATTTAATGGGATCTAGTGAGGTTTTAATGGGATTTATACACTGGGAATTTCATTTTGGTATAATGGGCATGTCATGGAGTGGAAGCTGTAACCAACATAGATAGTTGGGTGACTGAAAACGGTGGGTTGATCACCAACACTAGGTATATAAATGTATATAATAGATAATGGTATATCAATGGGAATATCATGATAAACCCCAAGTGATATGGCAATTTTAACAAGGAACATGATGATAAGGAATTGGATTTGCGGGGACGTTCAGACAAACCCATATGATCATATTAAATGGTGATTCAACCAAGAAAAACATGGATATCACTAGAAATCAACTATTTAAGGTTGCAGTTTCAACTGATCCAAAATATATGCTAGTCAATGTTGATCATAATCCCATCTGGGATGAAAGATACAAAAAAAAACAATTGAAACCACCAACAACCAACTTTATTTTATAGGGGGTGGGTAAATGTCCTAATTGAACATCACCCAAATATTGGGGATATAATCTCCAACAGATACGTTTTCAAGTGATGTTCAAAATTCCCAAAATGGGACATTTACCAAACCCTGTTATAGCGGGTTTCAAACTGCTTTGAATTGGATACTTGAGCACCCGAGAAATGTGGAAATCAGCGGGTGATCTAAACCCCTTTGCGGGGATGGGGATGGGATGACTCACTGATTATTCGTGATTGGGTTGTTTAAGGGGAGCTTCACAGGACACCATGCCTTTTTATGCCTTTTCGCCTTTTCTCCCTAGAGGTTCCCTGCTGATTTCCTCAAGAAATTATGGGAATTTGCGAACTCAGCCAGTGCGAAAACAGCTGATTCAGTGGGTAAAGCGTGTTTCATGTAACTGGAGTCTGGAGTATGTTTTTTCTTGGAGGTGCATCCTGTAAATGTTTTTTTATTTAGGACTTACCCTCCGGTAATCCACGTTTGACCGGAGGGTTTGACCGGAGGGTATGTAGCTGCATCTATGACCCAGCTTACCAACTGAGCAGGGCATGTGGGCGAAAAAATACTCTCGAATATATTGGATAAGCCACATCAACAGTATATATGTGCATAATATCTCATGATTATCACCAACACTATGTCACGTATCTATCTATATATTTATATTATACTTGTAAAACATATTTTTGATTGGATAAACCACATCAATAGATCTATATATATATGTATCTATATATAATTATCCAACTAGTATGGTTCAATCTATTCAATGTTTCAAAAGGTATACGCCCCACCTGCCACCAGCGCTTGCAGCGGCATGGCAGCTTCGATGGGATCTGGGGCCTTGTCAGGGAGATGCAGCTGGTGACGAGGATTCATCCATGAAAACCAAGGAACATATAGAAATGACATTACTGAAATGATCTAAATGACCCAGAAACATGGGATGTCTATTATTTATGTTGATATGATTTAAACTTATTTCGATCACAAACAAAATAGAACTAATCAACTCCACTGTTTGCTTCCCCATCATTTTATGGCACAACATGGCAACAAAAATAGGCAAAAACCATGACACTCTCCCAGCAAGGTCTACTACTAGTATCTGGCAAGTGACTCATCGGGGTTGTGGTTGTTATCAACTTGCATTCTTTGAGAATCTTTCTCCATGGATCTGACTCATCCTGGATTCTTTGAGCACCAACTGATCTCAATTCAGTAAAAAACATATCATATCATATAATAAATGATAATATATTATAATATAAGACAATATAATATAACAAAATATAATGTAATGTAATATAATATATTAAATTAAATTATAATATAATATAATATAATATGAAAAAATATAAAATATAATGTACAATATAATATAATATAATAAAATAAAATATGTATAATTAAACTATATAAAATAATTAAAAAAACAATATTTAAAAATATAAAAAAAAAAACAAAAATATATAATGAAATAATAAAAATAAATAAAATATAATAGATAATAAAATAACATATATAATACAATATATAATATATAATATATAATATTATATAAATACAATATAATATGATATAATAGAATATAATATAATATAATATGATATAATAGAATATAATAGAATATAATATAAATACTAAAATATAAAAAAATATAAATAATAAAATGTAACAACATATAATATAATATAATGTTATATTATATATATAATATTAAAATAGAATATGATATAATATAATATAATGAATTATAATACAAACAATAAAATATAATAGAACTAATGTAATATAATATATGAGAATAAAATATAATACAATACATTTTAATACATTATAATATAATACAATGTAATACAATACAATATTTTCAAATATAATATAATGTAATATAATATATTGTAAAATAATACAATATAATACAATACAATATTTTTAAATCTGATATAATGTAATATAATATATTAACATATAATATAATATAATATTATATTATAAAATATACTAATTTAAAGTAAAATAACATACAACATAATATAATGTATTGTAATATAGTACAATATAATATAATAAAATAAAATGTAATATAATATATTAAATGAAAATAAAACACAATATATTATAATATATTAAAATAAATTACAAAAACATAAAATACAATATTTTTAAATAAAATATAATGTAATATAATATATTTTAATATAATACACTATTTTGAATTAACATATAATGTAATATAATAATTAAAAACAACATATAATACAATATAATATAAAAGAAAATAGTATAATATAATATAGTGTAATAATAAAAATAATAATAATAATTTAAAATATAATATAATATAATAAAAATATAATATATAATAGATGATAATAGATAAACACATATAACATATAATATAATATAATAAAATAATATAATAAAATAATATAATAAAATATAATATAATATAATAATATAATATAATATAATATAATAATATATAATATAATCTAATATAAAAAATATAAAAAATAAAATGTAATAAAATATAATGTATTATAATTTAATATAGTATAATGTAATATAATAAAATATAAAGTAATATGATATAATATAATATAAAATAATATAGTATAATATAATGTAATATAATATAGTATAATATAATAATATAATATTTATATATTTATAATATATACGTAAATATGTATATATATATATATATCTATCTATCCTCTAGTACACCGCCATAGATATGGAAAAACAAATCTACCATTTGCAGATCATGTCCTTGAGAAACCATTGTTTTTTTCATGGTTTTTCCCAATGTTTTTTTCATGGTTTTCCGTATCTTGGTTTATCTCAGGTTGCAGTAACCCCCCAGGGTCTTGATACGGATCTTGACCCCCAAGTTCTGGGTATCTTCGTGGTGAGCATTATGGGGATACTATGGGATACTATTTTTTCATATTTTGAAGAACATTGTGACGAAGCGCTGGGTTTGGGGGTACTTTACCCCTATTTTATTCAATCAAAATCCATAAGAATCCGATAATCCCATGGGAGGATCCCCATTGACACCAACAGAAGGCCCTTTTTTCCAGCGCTCGCTTCGGGCTCAAAGCTTTGCTCGGCGCAGGGTTCTCCGCGCCACCTCTGGGGCAATGAAGTCGCCCTGGTCGCGTTCCTTGACTGCTTGCGCGAAGCCAACTTCTTCGGCACGAGCTTTGAACCACATTCCTGGCCAATCTGGTCAAATTGATTCAAATTGAGGATTTATTTTTTGTTGGGTTTACAGTACCATATTCACACCCAGCAAACAATGGATTTTGTAGCAGGATAGGATGTGGAACGCATGCCCTTCAGGTACGTGAGAAGCACAGTTCTTTGTCGATCAGGCTTCATTACGAAAATCCAGCTTCGACCCCCCAAAACTGCCAAACTGAGGGCAGTTGAAATGGATTTTCATGGTATTATATATTATATATCATTGCCATCATTGCTATAAAATGAATTTTCTTAGGCAAAAGCCCAACAGATCTTATGCAGAATATGGGGGCCAACTTCCCACCTGATCTCTAAGCCCCTCCCTAGGATGACATCAATCAGTTGAAACAAGACGCATGAGCAGTATTAGTATGCGCCTATATTAGATATCTATATATTATACAATATATATGTACATATATAATCCTATCCGTATCCTATCCTATCATACCATACCATACCATATCATATCATATCATGTCATATCATGTATATATATAATATCTATATATAATATATAAATTTGAATACATGCTTGATTGCTGTGACTTGCCAATGCACCTCTGCTGCTCTTAACTCTGACTGAGCGAAAGTCTGCTGAACTTCAAGGAGCTTTCAGCATGTCCAATGTGTTTTCTACGGCAACCCCCAACAAAAACAGGTTTCATTTGGTGGTTTCCTAAAATGGGAGATCCCCAAAACCATAGGTTTCAGTACTAAAATTGTCTAATTTTAATTGATTTGGGGGTACCCCCATGTTAGGAAACCTCCATTTTGCTAGTCAACATTCCCTGCATTCAGAAGTACAAGGTTGGTCTTCCGGTTGACCATTTCAACACACAAAACACATATGATCAACTTGGGGTTTTGTCATCTCAAGCAGGGGATGAGTGTCTGCAGCCTGAAACCACAAGCCAAACATCTTCAATCTCTCCTTTTGCCAAATTCTGATGTGAATGGTGTAGGAATAAAACCAGCACCATTCACACTACCGGGGCCCATGTTATACGCACATGTTGGTGATTAGATTCCTCCGTTTGGGCCTAGCAACCATCAAATTCGGGGCACCGGGTAGCCTAGTTTGAACAAAGCAATCGATTTTCTCTGCTTATGGGGGAAAAACAACACAGTCACCTGCCAAACCTCACCTTACCCCCGGAATATATATGAAAAAAACTGCATCCGAAAAATGAAATGTTGCCAAACATATCAGTCAATTTCTTCATCATGGTTTTCCCAGTACTCACTGCATATGTCACTGTTTGATCAATTTTATCTCCAATGTTTGCATATTTATCCCCTTTGCTTTCAGAGTTGCATACTGTGAACTGAAGGGTTTCAACCCCCAAAAAAGTCCGGCCAGTTAGGATCATCATCTGGTGCCTTCGGGCGAATGCCGCGTGACGCCATCGAAAAACGTGGCTAACCCTGAGCGATCGGTGGGGAAACCACTGAAGCGGGTGGTCCTCCGGGCATCAAACCTCACCTGTGGTCCAAACATGTTGAAACTTGAAACCCTCATGTCTCACGTTCCCAAATAAGATTGCCTTTGCCACCCATTGATTGCAATTTTTATTGCCATTCAGGCTATTAGACTTGCCAGTAAATACAGTTTCTGGGCCCGTCCCGTTTGGCCATCGGGAGACGCTGCGTTGCCGCCATCGATGCCTCAATACTTTGATTGATCACCTGAAAACAGTGGGTGACTTGAGTAGATTGGGCAGTGGAAGCTGCGACTTCTTCTTTTCATTGGGTTGGTTTGGTTTATGATGTTTATGGGAAAATCTATGGTAAACACTGTCGTTTCCTACAACGGTCTCCCTGTAGATTTTCACATCCAATTGCTGGATTTACGAAAATTGAGCCAAACCACTAAGAAGGGTCTATGAACAATCTATTGTTGTGAAGTCACCTTTGGGGTGTGGTTAAAATCTCTATGTCCTGGCTGAATAAACATGTTCAGCAACCTGAATTGTCATGTTGAGTTTAGGATGGTTCCGTCCCTGCTATCTAGATCACATATATATAAAGACGCTAATATACATTACATATATAGATTATATTATTGAATCACATATATTGTGTTTGAACAAAATTCATCAATCAGTAATGGCAGGTGATACAAGTGTCGAGTACCATGTGTACTAATACTATGTATACACTAATACTATGTCTCTGTTATGAAACGATCATATATTTATGTGTATATATATAAATATACGTATACACACTCTCAAGATCTGTTCAGAACCTAGAATGTCTGGTGATTTTCAATGTTTTACTGTAATTGAGATAGTTCCTCCAGACATTTGCTATATAACCATCACTATTTATCACGACATCGGCTGGTGATCTAAACCGGCAGGCCGCAGAACCAATCCGCATCAGCCCACCCTTGAGAAACTGCGCCATCATTCGTGGCTTTTGTGTTGTGATGTTATTAACACGAGTGAGTCTTTCGCTATATGCAGCAAACCTTACACCGCAACAGAAATGGCGGAACTTTTGTGGCCACACAATAGACCTTGTTCTGGTATGAATGAAAACCAGCTGCATCCTGACCAACGGCACTCTTAGCACCTTGTGGGTGCAGTTGTGATGTGATAGGCATAGGAGTATAGGATGAATTACCCGAGTTCAGATACAACCCCTTTTAACTTTAACATCATGTATGGTTCTGTCGCCAGCCATGGGATGCCAAACTTCAAGGGTTTCTTTCCCAACCGTGCCGCCAGGTGACCATTTTCTGCATCATCAACTGATTCCGAGGAACGCTGGACATCCGCCGTGCAAGTTCCAGGACGGTCGCATCCAACCTGCGACCATTTTCGGTTTCAGCTGCAAGGTGGGGCTGCTGTGCACCGGTGCAGTGCTGCCTGCAAAATGTCCATCATTGTTCAAGATGGAGGTTTAAATTGAATTTGTACTTTCAAACCTTTGTTAGCTGGATGATGTTTGTTAGGCAGGTCTGACAATTAGAGGCATCATGCGGGAATGCTTCAATACTCCTGGCTCTCAAAAGGATAAAACCATGGGCCATACTAGAAACGTGTCACCAACCAAGGTCCTAAGGTGGTCCAGACGAGAATAAAATTGCACGGTGAAAATAGAACCGGCATATTTGCTGTTATCAGCTACACCATACAGGTGTCAACTCAAATTGCCCCCTATGTGATCCTGGTCTTCTTGGCCTGGTATCTTGGCAGGAGGGCTTAGCATGTACTTTCTGTGCCTCTACATGCTGACACATTAAACAGTATCAGTATCTTTATTTATAGTAATCTACAGTAGGTAAGTATGTGTGTAGGTATCGATTTATCTTTATATCAAAGTATCTGACTATCTAGTTATTTAGTCGATCTAATTATCTAATCGATCAAACTATCTATTATTTCTATTGTTTTATCTATCTATCTGTCTATCTATCCATCCATCCATATATCTATCCATCCATCAATCCATCCATCTATCCATCTATCTATCGGTCGATCCCTCTGCCATCTATCCATCCATCCATCTATCCATCTATAAAATTGGAAATCTATCCATCTATCCATATATCCATATATACGCATCTATACATCTATACACCTATCTATCAATTTATTTTCTATTCAGTTTATCTATCGATCTCGACCATCCATAGTTTCATAATTTAATACTGATCTATTTTATCTATTTATCTATATATCTATCTGCCTGTATGTTTGTCTGTCTACCTATCTATCTACCGATCGATCTAGTCTAATCTAATCTAATCCAATATATCGACCTACCTAGTCTAACTATCTAATATATCTATCCAATATATCTATCTAATATATATATATACATCTAATCAATCTATCAATCTATCAATCCAACAATCAATCAATCAATCAATCAAGCAATCAATCAATTTATCAATATATCTATCTTTCTAGTATTCTATATTTCTATATATCTATCTATATTTTGATCGTTCTATCTGTCTAACTATGTATCTTATATATATCTATCTATATATCTATCGATCGATATATCTATCTATCTATCTATCTATCTATGTATCTATGTATCTATGTATCTATATATATATATTTGTCTGTCTGTCCGTCTGTCTATCTATCTATATATCTATCTATCGATCTATCTATGTATATATATATGTGTGTGTATTATCTATATACCTATGATATCTATGTTATCTAGGTTTTCTAGGTTATCTATGCTATCTATGTAACATGTGTTGTCTATGTTATATGTGTTATCTATGTTATTGATGTCATCAATGTTATCTAGATTGTATGTGTTATCTATGTTATCTGTGTTATCTGTTATATATCTGTGTGTCTGTCTATCTATCTATTGATCTATAGTTTCAAACACATGTTTATCTATCTATATAATCAAAACTATGTATATATATATATACATACACATATCATATATGTACAGAATACATATACAAAGCTGCTGTGTAAATCATACACTGATAGATCCCCATGGATCTGATAGACCCCCGATGGATCTGTCCCCTTTTAAAACGCCACGGCACTGATCGACCGGGACAGCGCGCAAAACCAAACCCATCTGCGCAGCTTCAGTGCCAGTGATCAGATCCTCACAAAGAGAGATCTTCACCAGCCAGGTTGGAAACTTTCCATTCCCCCAACTATCATAGTGCCGGCGGTGCCCAATAGTTGGGTAGCTTCGTGTATAACTAGGCCAACTACGGTTTATGGTTGGTATATCCAAAGTCTATAGTTGATTGGCTGTATACACCAACTTACATTTGATGGGCACCATCTTGCATTCCCCTAACCAAATAGACCCTGCTAGGGGTTGGATGCTTACTTTCCTGTGAGCTATTCTCCGGGTGTTGGCTGGCCGGGATGGTAAACAGTTCATGGCTGTAATAAGTAGCAACAAATGTAGCAAAAAACAAAGATCTGAGAGTATAGTGTAAATGTACTTTTTAAAAGTGAACGTTATTATTGTATAGTATACCAACCAAACAATATGAGGATCCCAACAACACATTGGTCTACAACCCGCCAAAATGCGGATTTGACAAACATGTTTGACCCTCTTGACTCCCCCAAACAAAACCACAAAGAACGACCACACAACTTTTAAACACGACTACACACGACGAAAGTGCTCATACGGCAGATCATCCTTACCTGGCATATATATATATATATTCAGCTAGATTCAGAGCACACCCAAAAAATGAATCAATGATCTTACAACAAGCATCCCTGGTTTCTTAATCCCCCCAATATCAACGGCCACCCAGGAAAATGATTTTACGAGTGTGGCTCAAACTTGGGTCCAAAAGTGCATAGTCTACATAGTTGATGATCTCATCTCAACAATTCTGCGCCCCACCCCCTCCTGCGACATGTGGATTGTCATCCTAAATATGTCTGTTCAAAGTGGCCACCCCAGGTTATGCTTGTTAGATGTTAATGCTGTTTTTGAACTCTAAATATAACCTGCATAAATCTAACAGACAGCAGAAACCTTTAAGGACCTCCTGCAACAAGGTGGTTATCTCCGCCAAGCATCGCCCGTCAACAGCATCCTCTTAGCCCTTTCAGGGCCCAGCCGAAAGGTCCACATCGCTGTGGTGGGACAGCCCCAAACACGTGCCGGTGGATATCCGATCTTCGCGTCCTTTTTGATCGGAGGTCTTTGGCAAGTTCAGTTTGATCAGAAGCCCAAAGGCATTCTTGGTAATCCCACGCCCCGAATAATTAACATGAAATAAACCTCCAGCATGGTTCCTCAAGATGAATAGATTAAGGAGAATGTTTCGTTGGAAGGGATTAAAACCTACCATGCACCCACAACCGAAGAAAACCACGAAAGGCGGTCACCGCCAACTGATCGACGATCCTCTAAGGTCCAACCATCCGTGGTTCTAGGCTCCATACATCTCTTTGACTTCTCATATCCCCGTCCCCGATGTTGATGGTCAAATCCTCATGCTTTCCAATGCGTCAATGCGTCAATACCAAATCTCCATGTGTCGCTGCATCTCCCTATCCTTGGTGAATGTAAAAGAAGTCAAACCTCAGCCCCTCGGCCCTTCCAGGACTAGTCCTCGGCCATGACCACCAAATCACAGCAGAGAGCAATGTCACTGCCACCTGCAACCTGGCTTTGGCGCTCTGGAAAGATCTACAAAGAGGTGCTTGCAGCCACCCTGCAGTCATGGCCCAGCTAAGAGTTGTAAATGGAATTATAATTCCTATTTAAAACTCATTTTACATATCATCACAATTCATCACAAACCCCTTTATCGCTGTTTTGGGCCATAAGTGTGGAACATGTTGGTTAACTAGGATCATCATCCCAAATAATGAACCAGCAAACATCACCGGGCCCTTCCTGCAAGATTCCTGCAATCTGGCCATGCAACGGCCCTAACTTGGAATATCACCCCCCAAATATTGAGAGGTTGCCACCAAGTGGGCACATACCCAATTGAACAGCCCCGGGGTAAATAATGTTCTGGTGTTTACATTAACCCAACTAACATCTGAAAAAAATAAGCAATAAAACCACGAAACCAAACTGCAAAATACTCACGAAAGCAATCAAAGCAAGAACAAAATCATTTAAAAACAAAATCATATATATATACATGTACAATGTAGTATCCCGATTAGTGTGGGGATTCTGTATTGTGTCAAGATTTCCCAAAATACTTCTGAATCAGTGTAATTGTGGGGTGGGTCGGTATTGTGTCAAGTTTTTTATGATGCCATTTTTTGTTCAGCATTTGTTTAAATGTATGTTTTTTTTCACTTTTAGAGTTTGTTCATTTTATTGAAAATAATTAACTAATTAATTCTTTGATGAATACTTGCAAAATGTTTTTGAACATACAAAAAAATAGGATGTCTTATTAAAACCCCATTAAAAAAACAGCACCCACACAATTTTTCTTTTCAAGGGGGTAGCCCATGAGCAGCATTGATCTTCAAAATTGTATGTTTGTTGTGGTGGTCCTCTATTGTGTCCAGTTTTTGTTTGAAGTGATTTATTTCCAAAATCCTTTTCTCCTTTCCTTTTCCTTTCCTTTGCTAAAGCTTTTCTCTTTTACTTTTCTTATCTACATTCTTTTGGAATTCTCAAAATGTCTAATTTCTCAAAATATAGGATGTCTTATTAAAACCCTATTAAAAAACAGCGCCAAAACAATTTTTCAAGGGGGTAGTCCATGAGCAGCATTGACCTTCAATAGTATGTTTGTTGTGGTGGTCCTCTATTGTGTCCAGCTTTTTTTTGAAGTGAACATGTTCCAAAATCCTTGTCTCCTTTCCTTTTCCTTTCCTTTAGTTTTTCTATCTTACTTTATTATCTCCATTCTTTTGGATTTCTCAAAAAGTCTAATTTCCCAAAAAATATGAGGTCTTAGTAAAAAACCATTACAAAACACAGCACTGCACCCAAACAGTTTTTCAAGGGCGTAGCCCATGAGCAACCTTGATCGTCAATAGTATGTTTGTTGTAGGGGTCCTCTATTGTGTCCAGCTTTTTTTGACGTGTTTGTTTTTTTCAAAATCCTTCTCTCCTTTGCTTTGCTATAGTTTTTGTCTCTTACTTAGTTCAATTCTCCTGGCATCCTCTCTGTGATTTCTATGGTGTTTCTATGGGATTTCTTTGAAGTTTCTATGGAAATTCTATGCAATTTCTATGGTGTTTCTATGATATTATGTGGTGTTTCTAAAGGTGTGTCTATGGTAGTTCTATGGGATTCCTCTGGGGGCTCAAAAGGATGTCTATGGGATTTTCTTTGGATTCCTATGGGGTTTCTTTGGTATTGTTATGATATTTCTATGGGATTTCTTTGGATTGTCCATGATATTACTATTGGATTCCTATGATATTTCTATGAGATTTCAAGAGGATTTCTTTGCTAATTCTATGGGGTTTCCATGAAGTTTCTTTGGATTTTCTATGGTGGTTTTATGATATTTCTATGGAATTTCTATTGGCTTCCTGTGTGATTTCTATCGGATTTCCATGGTGGTTCTTTGGAATTTCTCTGGGATTTACAAAGGGATGTCTATCGGATTTCCATTGGATTTCTATCAGATTTCTATGGGATCTCTATGGTATTTTTATGATTTTTTAACGGGATTTCTCCGGGATTTCTATGGGATTTTCATGATATTTCTATTGGATTTCTATGATATTTCTATGGTATTACTAGTGGATTTCTATGGGGTTCCTATGGCATTCCTATGGGATTCCATGATGTTTCTATGATATTCCCATGAGATTACTATGGGATTTCTGAAGGGATGCTATGGGAATTCTATGGTATTCTTCTGGGATTTCCATTGGATTCCTCGTGATTTCTATGGTATGTCTATGATGTTTCTATGGGATTTCTTTGGGATTCCCATGGGATTCCTATGGCATTCCTATGGGAGTTCCATGATGTTTCTATGATATTTCTATGGGATTACTGTGGGATGTCTGAGGGAATTATATGGGATTCTTATGGGATTTCTTTGTGGTTCCTATGCAATTTCCATGTTATATCTATGATCTTTCTATGGGATTTCTGTGGGATTCCTCTGGGATTTCCATGATATTTCTATGATAATTCTATGGGATTACTATGGGATGTCAATTGAAAGTAAGTTTAAATCAATTGAACATAAATTCAAACTTAATTGTAATCAACTGAAAATCAATTGAACGCAAGTTGAAATCAATTGAAAACCAATTGAACGTAAATTGAAATCAATTGAACATAAATTGAAAGTAAAGTGACATCAATTGAACATCAATTGAACGTAAATTGAACATAGATTTAAATCTATTGAATGTATACTTGAAATTAGTTAAAACTAAATTGAAATCAAATGAAAGTAAATTGAAATCAATTGAAAGTAAATTGAAATCAATTGAAATCAATTGATAAAATCTGATACCATATTATTCAGACCCTGGTCCTTGAAATAAAACACATTAACGTGAAACCAACAATTGTTTGGGGAAGGGGGGGTCCCCCCTACACTAATCAGGATCCAACATTATATATAGTAATACATGTGTTGTGCCATGCAATGCAGTGTTGCTGTTGAGGTGGGCCATGATCCCATTGGGCTGTAAACTCATCGACTCCACTGGAAGATCTCCTGAAGAGGACTCCGAAAAAATGTAGAAAACTGGCCCATCAATTGCAGTAACCCCTCAAAATCGAGATAACAAATACTTCAAACAAGGTGAAAAGAACAAGCAGTACCTTCTTGTCATCTGAAGATCTCGAATTTCAATACGGAAAATCCAGGATGAGTTTTACTGGGTTCCGCCAGAGCTTTCTCCACCAAGGGACCGCAAATCCATGCACCTTGCAAATGGTGGGCTTGAAGGAATGCCAGAGGGACCTCAGGCACAAGGGAGTGCCCCATAGGCCTATAGTTATTTTGGTAAGTTTGTGGCCACATAAGCAGACAATCAGGGATGGCTTGAAAAGGGGGATATATCATATCGAACCAGCCACCTGGGTGAACATCAACCAACAGTTGAATAATTGGGGGTTCATCGTGAAAGTCACTTGGGGCTGCAGTTGAAATTACCATCGGAAGCAACAATGGTGATAACATCCAAAGTTGGGTATAACCCCTAGGCCCTAGGCCCTTTATAACCTAACTATATATATATACATATATACACACACACTTAGAAATTGGAACTGCAAACTGCATCCCCAACTAGTGCAATTGATTGGTGGTTGCGCCGGCACCTCTGATAGTCTTGCAAGTCCACTAACCAGGCAAGAGAATCTGCGAGAATCTATGCCAGGACCCCATTCTGCCAATGTCAGGTTCAGATCCAGCTGGAAAATATTGAAGTGAACTTTGCACATCTCCTTCTACCCTTTCATCTTCCCAAAGAAATTGTGATCTTACCCCATCCATAGCGCTGAGATTACGACAAATTCCCATGTCCGTGGCAACTTGCCGATGCTCAAAGAAGCACTCAACCCTCAAACTGCAAACCGAAACCCTAACACCTTAAACCCTGAAAGCATGAACCTCACACCCTAAATCACTGTGTATACTCTGCGTGTTGACTCTGCGCAAAAGTCTCAGTTGTACTCTTGGGCATATGGTTAGCCTTTGGGCGTGGATTTTCCAACTGATCCTCCAAACATATACAACACGTAGGTATAGTATATTTTACAGATGATATAGCCAATCCCTGAATGAATCAAATTGCACGGATTGAAACTTTGAGGGTTCCAAGATTATCCAAAAAAACATCCTAGACTAAACCAAACTCAATAAATATACAAAGAATTGTATGTATATATATATATATGCATATATATATATTATAATATACAAATAATATATATATATATATATGCGTATATCCACCAACCAAAATACAAGTGCGGGGATCCGACCAGCAACATATATATATATATATAGCCGTGTGTTCGAAGCGGCATGAAATCCTGGGTGTTGGTCCACATGAAGTGGAAATCCACCGTGGGGTCCCATGGCATCCCTTGATTTGGAGAAGCATCGCCTGGATGACGGAGATTTACGGCCAGGACATCTTGATTCTTTGGCCACATTTTCTGTGGATATAACTATCAACGGCCATTTCAGGACCCTAAAAAGAGGTACAGTCTGATATTATTGCCCACATTTTCTGTGGATATTCCCTGAAATTGAGTTACAAAATAGGCCTTATATATGGTAGGTACCTACAATAAAATCAATGAATTGGTTCCTGAAATGGCCATTGATACTACGCTCTGGAAAATTAACATAGCTATGGACAATTATCTTTTTTAAATAGGTAAATCAACTACTGTATAAGATGGCCATTTTCAATAGCAAACTGTTAAATTACCAAAGGGTATCTGCTTTCTTTTTTTGGCGGGGGGGAACATACATAAAAATGACATGATCTAAGAATCTAAGATGTGTACTTATATCGTATACATGGGTTTCTCTGAACAAGGAAAAAAACGTAATCTTAATGTTAATAGATTATCATCAATCAGTTGTCCTTTGACATAGCTATTTGGCGGGTATACCGTTGTAATTATCCCTTTTTCAAATACACCCGTATATGAATTCTTGTTGTAATATTTGAAAGGCACTGAGTGGAAGCTAGTGTTCTGTTTAGTGGACATGGAACATAGTAAAACGGGTGGTGCCAGCATATCCTTTCCCTCTCGGAACGTTTAATTGCAGCAGAACGAAATAGGGATCCGACATGCACAAACCACGGTTGTTTTAAACAATACCCCCTTGCTAAAACTATAGTGGCGTGAGATGTCAAACATTGCATGTTCCATGCACGTTCCATGATTGAGGGCACACTTACAATGGGAGTATGTATGTATTTTGTATATATATATATATTATACATATATATATATGTATATCATATGTTTTTTATACTATTTTTTATACTATATATATTATAATATTTCATTACTATATCCTCATTCTGTCCCCCATTACATCCCCACTTTGTTTTTCTCCGGGGGTCACCTAGATGTTTTTTTTTTGTAAAGCTGCCAAGTCGCCCACTGGTGAACCTTCGGAATATTCCTTGAGGTCATACCTTGGAAACCGATCCAGTGAGATTCCTGTTTGTCTGCGGGATATCCAAACACATAGCCATGGAATAATGGGAAAACACATAGAGGAAACTGATGGAATATGATTTGATTGACCAGTGATTTCAGGGTATCCTATTTGATCCGAAACGCCCCATGGTGTTGGCTATCCCATGACACCTCCCCCGAAACCCAACTGTGGATAACCAATGGATTGTGGATATGATTCTGGTGTTTTCCCAACATGTTCAGTTCCCAAACCCATGGGAACGGCACAAGCCAAGCGGAAGCGCGGAAACGCCAAGAGACCCTGCGCAAAAGGCCCGTCCTAGACCCTGCAGAATGATGGCATGCACCCGATCGTCAGCCTCTCTTGCGGTCTCACATCAGTATGGGTCAAAGACTACCCTCTGGTAATTTAACGTAGCTATTTTGAAAATGACCATTAATAGTGGATTTCCCATTAAAAATGGTGATTTTCAATAGCTATGTTAAATTACCAGAGGGTAAAACCATTTAAAACCTGGCAAATCACTTGGTGTTTTCAAAGATCAAAACCATTCACCAAGTTTCACATGACGACCCTGCCATGAGTCGGGGGCTGGTTTCAGCAATAAAAAGCCCACAAAAAAAAAATGGTGATTTTCACGGTGCTGGTGATTAGATATTGGATGGTCTATGTAAGTCAACGATTTCCCCTGAAAATTCATGCATGATCAATTATGATGTCTGATTTCTAAACAGTTGGACAAGATCATGAAAAGTGAAACCATATCTGGACTTGAAGAAATGGTTCTACCGATCTTTGAAACCCTAGAAACATGTAACATTCGAATGCCAGGCACACTGAGGTGGTGCCTCACCAACATTCACACCAAAGCTCTTCATACTGTTCTACCATCTCCAGCACTGACAAACATGGTCGGATCACCGACTTGCTATCCGTATGCCCAACATATCCAAAAAACATCAACAAAAACTACAAAACCCGTTGACATGTCCACTTCCAGCATGTCTTTTGAATCTTCTGCGGACCATGGAAACCTCGATATGCCCATGGTACCCAGCGGTTGATCAAACCATGGGAGACGCTTCTGAATCAAACACTTATTCTGCGCCCCAAAAAAGCCCCACCACAAAATACCAAACTGATCGAACGTTTTTGCATGTTTGTGCATGTCATCATTTTGAGGTTCCACATAATCATAGTATGTATATATATACATATACTCCCGAATGCTGGTTTGATCCATGTCTTGCTGGTCAAATCCCCATCTCCTCTGCTACTTCAATCCTCATTTCTTGTTGCTGACATCCCTGTTTACTGTTCAAACATGTTAGATACATGTTAAATAAGTCAACAACCTGCTTTTCACATCGAAACACCAAAAAAACACATGGGTGGTCATTCCCAACAGTGGTATACCATATATATATATGTATATATATATATATATGTATACATCATATATATATATATATATCATATGTATATATAATACATTGCTATCCATGTCCATTCCCATAACGTCCCGTGACGCTGCAACGAGAACGTCCGTGGCACATTGGCCAACGCCACACACTTGGCGATCTCCCTGGGCATCACATCGTCGATGGCATTCAGCCGCTTGGGGCGCGCTAAGGAGATGGTAGCGATCCTGCAGCCGAAGAGACGGGAGCCATTAAGATTGAAAAAATAGAACCACTAAAGATTAAGAATTCTGTGCATATTTAGTAGATAGTGTACATGTATAGAATTATACATATATATATATATGTGTATATTAGCTTGAATTTATCGAGTAGACATGTTTATTTTCGATTGTTTCTTCAAGTTTGACGGAACGTCTGATCTGCCATCCAAAATCGTGCGGCAAGCGGTGATTCCAATCCCCTATGAACATCACTACCTTCAACGCTTGGCCCGCTTTGAAGCCATATGGAAGTCACATAAATCTAAACAACCATATGTTACCAATCAACGCAACAATCACCACAAACTATGAACAAATAATCCAATAGGAATATCATCTTCAAGAACCAAATGCGGGGGATAGAAATATGAACATATATGAACCAACATGACCCAACGTTCTTGGGTGAAGGCATTATGACCCCAACGTTCCAATGGACTTTCCTGTCTGGTTCCCTTTTCGTCCTGGTGGTCGGATCCACGACATATTCAACGCTCTTCAAAGATGTCTCCATCTTCGACGGCGCAGCAATCGACTGCAAGATCTACCCGCGAAGTTGGTTCAAGATCTTCGCATATTTCATGAGATGTGGTTTCCAATTCAACGCCGGCATTGCCGGGATTCATCAGCGGAACATTTTAGTCGTATTATATAGTTGAAGGAACACATCAGATTAAGAATTAACAACTAAAAAACATTGTTTGATCATGGGAACAAGCCATGGTTTGCGGTAGATTTCCTCTGGTCACCCCAATAAGTTCAATGCTGCTCATGCGATGCGTTGAGATGAAACAGCTAACTCCAGGCACCATGCGCAGCGGTGCAGATCAGGATGTGGATGTGTCAAGCACAAGTCTTTCATGAACACTTCAGAACAAAAAACAAAAACTAATATATTGAAACTTCTAAGATATTGAAACCAAAAACCAAACACCAAACAACTTTGTTTCTGTGATCCATCTAATATGTTGAAACTTCGGGATCTTAGTCTGGTTCAATGCATGCAGAATGCTTGACCATAGCTTCGCTCATAGTCCTTACTGGCTTGTAAAAGTATTTTGTCACTACGGCAACACATGTGGTAACGTGTTTACATTATTTTACATGTATGTTTGGTTTATGTCAGTGTCTGAAGCTTTCTGCATGTTACCTAAGCACAAGTCGTGGAGGAACAGTTCGCCACTTTCAGGATGATTCCCCCATTCTTGACCATCAATCATAAACATCCTGACCTAGTCCGGTGACGTCGCTATAATTTACCAAAATCATATCAAGTTGGTTCTGTCATCTTATATCTATAGCTTCTTTATTGAAGATCTACATTATACAATATATATATATACCCTCTGGTAAACTAACATAACTATGGACAATTACCATGCTATTAATGGGTAAATCCACTATTTCTATGGCCATTTTTCCAATAAAAAAAAGGGATTTCCAATCCATGAGCCCCCATCATTTCCATCACCTCCCCGGGACTGAAGCGAGTCAACTTCTTGGGCATCAAGGGCAACATCTCGGCGCCAGAAACGGCGATGGCCACGGTGCTTCAAGGGGATTTCAATGGGATTTCAATGGGATTTCAATGGGATTTTGATAGATCTATTAGTGGTATTTAAACTTAATGGGATTGACACATCTCTTAATGGGATTTAAAGATATCTGAATGGGATTTTGATAGATTTGAAATATCCCATTGATTTACAGATTTTAAAATGGCATCCCCTTGATAGAATTGAAAGTCATAATATCCCATCAATATATATATATATATCTTAGTGGAATTTGAGTGGAATATTCATGGGATATTGAACATATGATGTGAACATGGAATTATACGGTATTTGAATGGGAGTTTAGGGAGGGTACCCTCTGGTAATTTAACATATAACTTATAACTATGCTGTAGTGAATTTATCCGTGAAAAATGGTAACTGTCCATAACTATGTTACTTTACTATATAAGTCTATATTAAGGGTAGAAGTTGAAGTCTCCCCAGCACAATGGTTTGGTAATCATGTTTGTTTCACAAACATCCAAGTCCAAGCCCGATGTTGGCGTCATTGTAGTGTGAGCTCAAAGCAAATGTCATGGAACTGAACCGCGGTGAGTCGAAAACAGAAGGAATACTCTAACAATGACCAACAAAAAAACAAAGTGACATGGATTCAAATTGCCCGAACCATCTACTTCAACCGCTGCTTGGTGGAGCCAACTTGCTCGCAAGGCTTGCTACTCAAGATCCCCAACCTTGGAGAGTTACATTCCAAGTCACTTGGGATCATGATCTCATCGGAGGTGGAATAAGTGGAACAACGACATCCCCATTTTGCTAAAACACCAAGCATTTCGGTTGGAAAAGACGTGCTTGCTCCTTGAATTCCGAATCATTGTTCCTCAGTTGGGTTCCTTTCGTGATTCTATTGGACAAACTTAGATAGCCTGCATTCTTTTGATGCTTAGTCTTAGTAGTCTTAGTAGTCTTAGTACATATGTCCATTTATGGCAAGATATGTTGGAGTACCAAAACATGATGACCAATTTGCAAAATTATGGTATCACATGGTACCACCAAAATTAGATCTCATCTAAATAACATCAGGACAAAATATAACAATTTACTAAGCTGAAAAAAGGCTATATTGGGATAATTTCCCTTACTGATCATGATTTCAGTGAGGTCACGACGTGAGGTCACCATAATTTACCCAGCAGAAATTCCGAGCTAGTGGTACCCATAAAATTTGCTGGTGCGGAAAGCGCCAAGAGACGTCGAAATCCACACGGCCATCCGTGCCCTTGAACAGGGCCGGCATACCCAGCGGGCACATAGATAGACTAAGTAGCTTTGGTCCACTTTAAGACCTGTATTTTACTTTGCGAGTAAGTTAAGCTTAAGCCATCAAATAGTCGTTAGATTGAAATCCGTAGCTGTGAGTTCAGATTTGTACGTTTGTTTGGGGTGCAACAAAGAAATCTAAAGCTCCCAATTTTGGCTCCAAGTGAAACAAACCATTTATAACCGTTTAAATCTCATCCAGTATCTCGTCCTGTTAGTATCAAATATTTACAAACGTATGTCTTCAGGCATCACATTTATCGGCTGATCGAACAATTTGATTCAATTCGTAGAGTGGTGTCTCATATAGGTAAATGAGAGTCATGTTTTACTTACCCTCTGGTAAACTAACATAACTATGGAAAATCACCATTTTTAATGGGAAAATTCACTATAAATGGTCATTTTCAATACCTACGTTAAATTACCAGAGGGTATCTTGAATGTAAACATCAAAGCCAAACCCCAAGAAGTCTGCATCCCCAACTGCTGTCAGAACATGCCAGAAGAAATCCATTAAACACACGAAAACATGTATGTATGTATATATTTATATTATATATATAGTGTATCTATATATATATAGTGTATATATATAGTGTATATATATATAGTATATATATATGGTGTATATATATAAAGTATATATATAGGGTATATATACATATATTTAATAACACCATTAATATGTGAAAGCCCCGCATTTAGACCCTTGCCATAGAAAATCAGAAGTGCCATATTTGGGCGAAAACTCATCGGGCCCATGGGTGCCTTGGGCAACTTGTATCTCTCGACCATTACGTGTGGTGCCTCACATGGGCGACATGGGCGCTGGAGAAGTGGAGAAGTGTTAAGTAATCAGCAAAATGGATCTGTTTTGTTGGGAAAATCTCAAGAAAACCATAGAAAACCCATGTGTTCTGTAGCCAAATAGAAGGGTTTCCTGCTGATCTTCCCTAAACCTGAGAGGATACAAAGGCTGGTTGCAAGAACCATGTGACAAGTGATACCTGAGATATTCAGACCTTGATCAAATTCTGATCGGACACCCCTCATCAAACCACTGGAAAGCCACTTGCCTTACTGGAAAGACACCAGGGTGCCTGAAGAATTAGATGGACCATTGCGACAAAAGGATAATAAAGGAACCAACAAGACGATTTATCTCATTTGGGCCATGCTGTGCTTCCAGAAACATCTCCACAAAATTTGTCAGCACTTCCCTGACCATGAAACTTCCACTTTCTCCGACCTGCTCAGCAGTCCACACCATTTTTTCATCATCCCAGCCTGTGGGTTCATCCCCGGGTTTTCTGCTGGAAGTTTCAGCATGTTTCCGAATAATGCGGAGTCATGTCAATGTGGCAGAACCTTAGCCTTTGATGGTAGCACATGGTCATAGTCCCTTAATGGTTTCCATGCTATGATATCAGCAAAGATCCTCCAGGTCACTTGTTCTTCTTTGGGGGAAATCCACTTTATAAACACTGGTTTTTTTAAGGATTGAGGGTTTCAACCATTCTTGTTTCCTTTTTTCCCAGCATCTCAGCTAAATCCGGGAGGTTGGCGGTTTCAACATCCAGAAGGGAACGGACGAATCCGACCCGAGACCAATTTCAAACCCTCAAGCTGTGAAGAAATTGGGGGTGCTCCCAACATCTAGTCAATCTAGTCCCAAGAAATTGGCTGGAACCCTGGAAACAACATGAAACAACCAGGTACAAGTATTGTTGGGGTCGCTTGGACCTTCATCACAATGAGCCGCGTGTTTTCAGCAAATGTTGCTCTTTTGTACTCTTGGCATTGGGGAACCCTTGATCCAACTGGCGAGGACCTTCATGACAGGTGTTCGGTGGCTATCTCCAAGTCTATAATGACTATAGATGTCCCATAGAGTTTCGATAGACTTCTTCGTTTCTTATTGGAACTCGATGAGAATTTCATGGCTATGGGGCAAAAGTAAACACTAATACTCAACAATCAACATCAATCAACACATACATCACCTGAATCCTGAGTCTTGTGGGTATCCATCTGATCTGTGGATCTTCATAATAATATACCCATTAAGATGGATAAAGCACGATCATGGAATATTAGTGTTATACCATCACCATTAATGATATACCATGACCACAATCCTCATCAATCACTATCTCCAGCTATACCCCACCACACGGAAAATCTCGGTTTCCCAACGACGCACTGGCAAGATGACCTTGCCAGACCTCGGCAGTGCGACCAGAAATCGCAAGTTGTTTTTTTTTGCTGACCCGTGTATGTATGTATGTATGTATGTATGTATGTATATATATATATAATATATTAATGTATGTGTATTAAATATATAGACATGCATACATTACATTAAATTACGTTACGTTACATTACATACCATACATGAATGCATACATACATGCATACATGCATACATGCATACATGCATACATACATCCATCCATCCATGCATACATGCAGCATTACATCAATTAGTACATACAGCATACATACATACATACATACATAAATACATACATACATACATCCATCCATCCATCCATACATACATAGATACATACATACATTACATACATTACATACATTACATACATTACATACATTACATACATTACATACATTACATACATTACATACATTACATACATTACATACATACATACATACATACATA